AAACAGACGTACGTTTTCGCAGCAATTAATACTCACACTGTACGTTCTTGCATGTAATGCTGGACAATTGGTGCATCTTGATTGTGCAACACTGAGTGAGTGCTCAACAGATGTCCAACAATGTAATACAGTCCAAGTGTTTGAAAAGAGTGTCGGCCCGTAGGACCGTGGCAGGTAGATCTCGTGTCTGGCCCATTGTTTCATGTCAAGTTATTTGTGTAAATGAGGGCCTGAAGAGTTTAATCAGGGTTTGCAGCTTCTAAAGTCTGTGGGTCCTGATGACACTCTGGCAATTTTTTAATATTTCAAACACTGTACTGTCCAGCTATAAAGTTCCATATCAGCTGCTGACACATTGTGCATACTCTGTGGCTCCATGTTACCACCTGTGTTAATATGTTTGGTTTTCTTGTTGTTTGAGGCCACACCCAGTAATATTCCAGCTACATGATGGCAGTCTGTAAATAATAGTCAGGACCAGACAATCCAGTGAATGATATGAGCATCAATCCATGCAATTGGGATACTATGACATGCATCAACCAAGTCAACGAGCCTGACCACCCGATCCCGTTAGCTGCCACTTACGACAAGCATGGGTTGCTGAAGACATATTCTAACCCTGATCTTCACAGGTCACATGTATTAATGGACATATTTGTCATCAGACGGCAGTGAAAACCAGAAACATGTTGCTTCTGTGGGATTTAATTCATGAATATGGCCTCAGAAATATTTTAGCATTGTCAGGACAATATGGGCCAGGTAATCCCTAAAACAAGACAGTCAGTGGAAATGCACTACTTTCTATGTGACCATCTCACTCATATTGTACTTGCTTGTTGTACATTGGATTGACAATATTTCAGGAATAAAACAGGCTGAACGTAGAAGCCAGCCCACAGTGATACAGGTCGTAGATGTTTAGCACCTTTGTGAAACCCATGTGCAGGTGAAACCCACAAGCAGGTGAAACCCATGAGGTGGTGAAACCCCTGAGCAGGTGAAACCCATCAACAGATGACCCATGATCAGATCATGGTGCTGACAAACTGAAGATAAGATTTGAACCCACAATCTGCAGATCATGGCATGACTAAGGTATGCAACTCTGCACAGACATTGAGTGTGTCTCAGATGACTGTGCCACCAGTGACCACTTCAAACCTTCAAAAGAAAACCAGACCAGTACAAAATTTGGTTATATTGCCAACACAAAATATTTATGAAAGTAGACAACAAAATATTTGCTCTTAAAAAATCATTATCTTTAACATGTGCCATATACACAAGTGGACGGACGGTGAAATAACCTCTTCAACATGAGCAACTGTTACATATCACTTGGATCATCAGCCTGCTCCAGTCTTGTGATATTGTCTTTGCTGACTTGATGAACAATGCTATATTTACTGATGGACCCAAGGTGAGGTTCATCTAATGGCCAACAGCGTAAAGGTAGGATAAAATAAGATAAAGTTCTTGTCTAAGGGAACAATTTCTTTAACATAATCCTAAGGATGTCTGCTGGTATATGAACAATGCATAACTTGAACTGCTGAGCATGGGAGTGTTCCAATGATGTTGTAAGTTAATCTGTTACCAACATGTAGTGGTGAACATGGTGAAGCTATTACTAGTATTAGTCATAGATTCAGACTGTCAAAGATACAGCGAAAATAATATTAAACAAAAAGGGAATTTTCCCATTTAACACAATGTTGCAAACATATTTTGACATATTCTTTAAACTATGACGTCACTGTAATCTTGTTACTTGATGTGTATTGACACTGTCTGAATGTCACTACATGTTAGAAAGTGAGGGAAATACATTTTTATCAATTTGAGAAAACAATAGTATACTAACATAGATGCTTGATGCTTTCTAAAAAATAAATGCCTTATCCATGTGGTTGAAAATGCATAAAAAGTTCAAAACTAGTAATTGAACTTCTGTGTAAAACTGATAACCCCAGAGTAATTTCCCTGTATTCCAACAGTAAAGAGGGAAGTGGGCGTGGTAACATAACAATTTCACCTCTCGCAATAAAATGCACACCAACACCATTCTTTTTTCACTTGTACACTAATATTGCATAATACAGATTTTAACACTCTATATCACTTGACAAAACTAACACTGTTGAAGCAGACCAGCCGACACCCCTGTTGCCCACTCAGCCTCTTTACCCGATACTGCTATGCAGAGCCTTGTCTGAATGATCCAAGTAATACAGAAACTTCATACCCTCAAGCAACACAACAAACATCCACCATGACATATGCAGGTAGTTGAAACCAACTGCTGCTATTCTGAAGACAAGGCAATTACAATTCATCTTCTCAAAGATCAACCATTTGATTTTCAAGGGGGAGGGGGAGAGGATTTTAGTAAGGGGTAAGCATTTTTCTTTTTTCATGTTTAGGAGCTCAATTATTCTTCAAACATCAGCCGATGCATGAGGACCCCCCTCCTGAAAATCAAATGGTTGCTCCCTTAAAGGAAATGGTCATGGACGGCAAACTTCAATCATTATAACAAATGTTCAATGATTTCTTGATCACAAAAAAAACATTCTCAAAATGGCAGCACCTTGCAGTGATATTTGGTAACACAGTGATTATCACAGAAGTATATGTGTTTCTGGAATGTAAATCAAAATGATCCCAAGGAGTGGGAAAATATCAAGAGCTTCTGGACTGTGCAACCATGTGGGTTATCCTTATCGTGCTGATGGACGGGTACAGCAAATAATCAACATTCAAGTATCTAAACAGTTTAGGGCCAATTCCACAAAGCGATTGTACTGCTACGACTGTTGTAAGCCGATGTGAAAGAATGGGAGTTACAATCATCTTAGCGCTATGTTTGTGGAATGGGGCCCAGATGGTCATATTTGTAAACCACAAATTCTCTTGGTGGTAATACTACCAGAAAAGGTAAGGTTTCATGTGAACGCATGCATCTCAGTATCGCAGTGATGACATTACTACATTCATCAGAGGTACAAGTCACTAAGATACGTTCATGAGGTGGAACAATAACTCCCCATCATCCAGACATGTCTTGCTCAAGCGTGGTCTCATCTGGGCTGGCTAAAAAGATTGATAATCAGAATTATCGTTTATGTAAAGAAATATTAATAATAATCGATATGAAAATTGTATCATTGATAATATCTTACATGAACTATTGTGATGAAATATAGTTCAGATAACCAAAACTTGTTTTGTCAATAATATGGAAAGATGGAAAGCATGTTATATCATAAATGTTCACAAAGTTATCCATGTATATATGTGCCACCACTCAAGAGTGGGATGAAATATGTCGATTTCTTTCTGACCTTTTTTTGCATAGTTGCTCAATGTTACTACTCTGATATTCATTGATAATTGATCGATATTTAGTTGACAATTGTCGATCTCTATGATCTGTATCGACGGCCAGCCTTTGGTTCCATACACTTCCTAACTTTGAACATGTTAACATTTGTGAGATCCTACCACCCCCTCCCGTCATGTTTTCAACAATGTGAGAAACATGCAGACATTCTCAAGTAGTAAGCAAATCATTCAATCTGTTAGTGTTACCTTAAACACTTGTAGGACTTAAGAAGTAACAAGGGTCATCAGTGTGATTCAACAGGTACTCACCTTCCAGCTTTGCTGCTACCCTATTTGCTACCCTAACTTGATTTTCAGTATAAATTCAAAAAGACACTAATTTCATAATGTTCTTTTTCACTAGCTGACTATCAGAGTGACAATATAATGTCACGTCATGCAGCATCAGAAATTGCTACAATTCCTATAGTACCTGCCAAACTGCCCAATAGTTAAGATATCATGAGGACTGGTAAACATTTGGCATGATTGAGGGTTTTGCTATAACAACTGCTATATGTTATCATAATAAGGACCAGTGGAACAAAACAGGTAGTTTCTATCTGATAAGGTAATTGATTAGGTGGAACTAAAATAGCCAAGCACACAATGCAGAAACATCTCCTTGGGAAATCTAACCACTTAACATCTAAATAAATATCGCCACAGTTTCACTATACATGCTATAGCTCACCTGGATATGTAGTCAACAGTTTAAAATGTCAAAATAGGACCAAATGATTACCTTTTGAGAACAGATGGTTTCATCATTAGTGGGAACAAGTATGTGAAGTTTTAGTTTCATTGGTCCAGTAGTTTCTGAGGAGATGCTTACGATGGACAATGAGGACAAACACACCATGACCAAAGTTCATTGACTCTGAGTCAGGTGAGCTAAAAACACATAAAAGTGTCTTCACATATTCACATTGTCAGGATACAGTTTAACACTAATTATGTATAAAGCCATTAATATAGATTTTAAAACAGATTCGTTTAACATACTGAGATTCCTAAAACATTGTAATTATAATATTACACATTTCCATTATACATATTCTCCACTACAGAGTTTCAACAAACTTTGATTAAATATCAAGGAATGGTGAGAGAATGCAAAGAACAAATGGTTGTAAAACTTACATTAAGTTGTTACATTAACAAAACGTCACCGATTTCTCTGGCGAAAACGGCAACTATATCACCATAGTGACAGGCGAAAACGGCACCTCTATTTTTAAGAACGATTTATGTAGTAGTATAGCTAATTTATTTTATTTGTTACATATTATTTGATGTACTTACATGTTATTTCCTGTTTTCCAGTTTTTCACAGATAACTACATAAATTCACATATATCATGATATATATATATACAGTTCTTCACAGGTTTCATCTTCATCACAGTTTACAATATCGGCCCATGTACCACCAAGCATTGTGATAGTAGCCGACTCAGGGGGCTAATTTCTAATGTAAACTTGTTTGAACTTTTCACAATTATTGGTGTTTGTAAGAGACGATGTGAGTTTAATTTCATTTAGTTTACTTCAAAGCATATAATGTTTTCACAATAAGTGAGCGCCTCCCAATCAGAGTCGGCGAGTAAATTGGAGTAGTAATTCCTAATGTAAACTTGTTTTAACATTTCACTTTTATTGGTGTTTGTAAGAGACGATGTGAGTTTAATTTCATTTATTTTACTTCAAGGCATGTTATGTTTTCACAATATGTTGTGTTGCGTATAGGCTATGTTGGAATATAATTGCAATAGAGGCTAATTTCTAATGTAAACTTGTTTTAACATTTCACAATTATTGGTGTTTGCAAGCGACCATGTAAGTATAATTTCATTTATTTAACCAAGGGAAAAACAAAATAGGGTGCCGTTTTCGCCAGGCAATAGTAGCCGATTTCGCCTGAGGCACGGTGACGTTTTTGCCAATCGGTGACGTTTTAGCTATAACCTGAAAAAAAGTTCTGGCATATAGAAAGTTGAATGTTAGTACCATCTGTCAACATCATTAGGCTCGAATGCCTTGGAAAGAATGAGATAACATTGGATTCGCTGAGAACAGCAACTGATATGCAAGTTGTAACCATGGTAACTATGTCTATCTGATGTACAAATTGTCCCTACAATGCACAGTACTCATTAATACTGGTAGCAGTGATCATTTCTTTCCAATAACTAAGTCTTTAATCTGGTCTGTCAACCACTCAACGCCTTCATGCAGGCCCTCCCCTGTGAGGGCATTGCTGGCACATATATGCCATGGTTTATCTCCGATAGTCGACAGACCCATCAAGCTTGAACACTTCACGCTTGACACAGCATCTCTCAGGTCAATCTTGTTGGCAAAAAAGAGCACAGGTATTCGGCGGTTTCGGATATCTTGATGCTGAAGCAGTACATCCAGTTCGTCCCTAGCAACCACCATCCTCAGTTTATCTGCACTGTCAATAACAAAGATAATACCATGGCATTCTTTGTAGTAATGTTCCCAAAGGTTCCGGTAGCGACCCTGCCCTGACATGTCAAATATAGTAAACTGCAGACTCTTGTTCTTCAGTTTTTCTACATTGAATCCGACTGTTGGCACGATGTCGTGTGTGTTTTGAGCGTCCGCAGGTTTCAACTGATTGATTATTGTTGTCTTTCCACAGTTGTCCAATCCAACGACAAGTACATTAACCTCCTTCTTTTTCAGTCCAAGTAGTTGGGCAAGTCTATCAAAGAACCCCATGTTGAGTCTACTGTTGAATGTGTTTACAACCCAAGTTGGATGTGTTGAGGTTGCCAAGGTCTCCCAAAGTCTCCGCCGTGCGAGAATGTCAGCAGCTCATTCACATGTGGCAATATCAAACTCCTGAAACAAAGTAGTTACATCCGATTATTGTACACGGGACCGACAACCTGGGGACGATTTCATGAATGATGACAACGACATACAATAACACTGGTACCTTTGCCTGAAGCCGGCGTCATAAATATGTCCCACAAGCACCTGTCGTTTCCGATCATGCGCAGAAAGTATTGAAGTACTACTTTCGTCCAACACATTGTATATATATATATGGCATGCACACGCTTCTGTTTACGAAATGGCAAAGGAGCAGGGGTGGTAGAGATGAGCTTATGATAATTTCTTTTTCATTTTGTGGGAATAAATGGAAAATGGCGTTACACCAAATGGAATTTAGAAGCGATGAGAACTGTTGCAGGTCTATTGCTGTCTTTTTCTCTTACGATTATTTTTTCTTCACTCAAGGCAGATGTCATAAAAAATCTATTGTTTCTGGTCAGTTGAAAGGGCCAAAAACACACTGGCCAAAACGGGCACACTAAAAGTAAAAAAGGCCACAAACCAAAAGTGGCGACTATACAAATATATAAGAATACCTCGCATGTTTCAGGTCTTTATTCATTTCATAACAAATATCTTTATGCATCAGGATACAAGCACAACTTCATTTGAGCAGCACGATCAGAATTGTCTGATTTCATTTTAATTGTCACTGCAACATTCAGATTTGAACCTGTGGATAACAAAGCACTCTCCACAAGACTGTATGACAAGAGGGATGACTTCAACTTTCCAATAATATGAATATCAAAATACCTCATCATTTGTAAAGTTCACTCAAAATGTCGCCAGCTACATGTACTATATAGAACCTGCCACAGATAAACTCAACTCTGATCTTCTTTGACATAGACATAGAATGCACAATACCATTACTGACTGACTGAGGTTGGGGATTTAACGTGCGCTTTCCGACTAACAGCGTATGTCGCACACGGGCCGACCAGGCCATTTAGTGTATTAGCCGAAAAGGGCGTAAATAATTTGCAATCCGATTTGGGGCTTTTAGGGATTGCTTATATAGGAATTTTAAAATTTGGAGATTTGGAATGTACGCCAGGCGGTGGAGAGCCTAAGGGAGGTGTGGTTTGAGTTTGAGTTTAGGGGTTTTGTTCTGGTTAGCTTATTTGCTTATTTGGAGGGGTTTTTTTGTTTTTGTTTTTTTAATTTTTAAATGCGATTGATTAGATCTGTTTGGATTAAGTATTTGCCTTGGGCTTTAAAGTTGGATGTGTTGTTTTGAGGGTTTAATATTGTCCCTAAGAAAGTTAATTCGTGTTTTGGGTTTAGTGAGTTTTGGAGTGTTTTTCTGTGTGTTTTGTAGTGTGGGCAGTGGATGAGCACGTGTCTGTGGTTTCTTGTTGTGTGCAGTGTAGGCATTTACCTGTAGCGTGTATTTTTAGTGTTTTTTCTTATGAAGTTTTATACCAGTAAAAAGGTAAGAGAAGATTTCGGAGATGGTGAAAGGATTAAAACAAATAGGATAAAGCATTCACTGCCAATTTTCTCTAACAACACTCAGGATGTTAGGAGCAATTGTCAACAATCCCTTATGAGATCCTGGGCACTTGGGCGCGCCCGGTGAGTGTTAAGATCACAATAGACTCGTGAAGATCCGTGTTAAGATAGGTCTTCAGCAACCCATGCTTGCCGTGAAAGGCGACTACGCTTGTCGTAGACCAACGGGATCGGGTGGTCAGGCTCGCTGACTCGGTTGATGCATGTCATTGTTTCCCAATTGCGTAGATCGATGCTCATGACGTCAATCACTGGATTATCTGTTCCAGATTCGATTAATTACAGACCGTCGTCATATAGCTGGAATATTGCTGAGTACGGCGTTAAACAACAAACACATATTACAATGACTGCGACGTGTCGGTGAAGATGCTAACACCGTCATGAAGCAAGTGATGTACAGAAATGAGAAGTAGGGGGTTATATACATCTGGATAATTAACAATCACAGTATTGTTTTACTATCATGCCTTGTTAATCCCATTTATATGTACATCATCACGCTTCAGACTCCAACCTTATCTGTTGTGTAAACACAAATCTATCAAAGTAGACACATTTTAATAATAACAACTTCTTTATTTACTGTAAAGGCGATGTTTCGGCAAGGATTGACAGCGGTATAAGGAACTATTCCGAAACGTCACCTTTACAGTAAATAAAGAAGTTGTTATCCGTCAACTTGTAAGTAATGCCTCTCAAACAATTCCTCAATCTATCATCATTCTTCTTTGTATAAACATCATTCATCCACATGTATATAACCTTCCCACTTCACATGTGCACGGGCGGTGGGGTAGCCTAGTGGTTAAAACGTTCGCTCGTCACGCCGAAGACCCGGGTTCGATTCCCGACATGGGAACAATGTGTGAAGCCCATTTCTGGTGTCCCCCGCCGTGATATTGCTGGAATATTGCTAAAAGCAGCGTAAAACCATACTCACTAACTCACATGTGCACACGTCACTTGCTTGATGACGGTGTTCGCGAAACGTCGCATTCATTGTAATAAAGCAGTTGTATATCAATGACAACGTCGACATGCCACTTAAATAAGTTCAATGTACTTGTTTGTTTCTATCAAAAATATATATTTTCAGATACTTAGCGTTAGTCTAACCAGAGGCCATAAAACAGAACCTCTGATCTAACATTTCCAGCTGAAGTTCGATATATCGATCTGTATCGTTTCACCTTGCCCACGTGACGTCGTCTCAACTTGGGAGGCTTCAACCTCTAACGAGTTTAATTACCTGTAAAATTACTCATTACTCCTCCTAATTACCAGACAAACAATCAGACTATCTTCGCCCTGACCCCTAGTTTAAACCCATCAGCGCAGTGTGTATTACAAATACTTAATAAAGACAGCACACACAGTGAGTGGGTATGGTTTTACGCCGCTTTAAGCAATATTCCAGCAATATCACGGCGGGGGACATCAGAAATGGGCTTCACACATTGTACTCATGTCGGGAATCGAACCCGGGTCTTCGGCGTGACGAGCGAACGCTTTAACCACTAGGCTACCCGACCGCCCCCAACACACATAGGTTTCATTCAATGATCAAAGTTTATTTTAAATCGTTTGAATTAATTAAATAAATACAGCAAAGTAACACAAGTTGTGATCTACAGTTATACTTTTCCATGTGGCCGTTTTGACTTTTGATGTGGTCGTTTTGTCTTGTAGGTCTGTGGTCGTTTTGTCTTGGGTCTGTGGTCGTTTTGACTTTTTGATGTGGCCGTTTTGTTTTGGGTCTTTGGCCGTTTTGTCTTGGGTCTTTGGTCGTTTTGACTTGGGTCTTTGGTCGTTTTGTCTTGGGTCTTTGGCCGTTTTGTCTTGGGTCCTTTTGTCTTTGGTCCTTTTGTCTTGGGTCTTTGGTCCTTTTGTCTTGGGTCTTTGGTCCTTTTTTCTTGGGTCTTTGGCCGTTTTGTCTTTGGTCGTTTTGTCTTGGGTCTTTGGTCGTTTGGTCGTTTTGTCTTGGGTCTTTAGCCGTTTTGTCTTTGGTCTTTGGTCCTTTTGTCTTGGGTCTGTGGCCGTTTTCACTGAGCAAGCCAAGACAGTTGATGAAGTGTGACGGACGTGGACTGTGTACTTACTCACTTACTTACAAATGGGCTCTGCAGAGTTGCGTCCTCTCCATCCATTGGCCAACTTCCACATCCATACAGAGTAGCTGCTGCGAAACCGAATTAACCCGAATAATCACATGTTACATTTTAAAATTTTTGGTCTCTCGTTGAGATCCTAGCAAAGTGCCTCTAAGTTTCAGTGAATGAGTATTTTTTTATGTCGCCGTCAGCATTTTATTTGTGGCAACTGTTTATCACAAGTGTGACGGCCACGCTAGTTAGTTCATCTTGTGATGAAATCATATATGACTTTTTGGGTGTAAATATGTACTTTGTATAACTTTTTGACATTATTAGGACGTTTTGATTCCATAGATCTCCGTTAAAGCGAGACGTGGAGTCACGTGTCATCCTTATCAGCTGGGAGGCACCTCAGTGGTCACGTGAACAAGACATCCGACAAAGGAAAGTTCGTGGTTCGAATCTCAGGACGGATGTGCGGATATTTTATGTAGGCGACATCGTGATGAATTGTGGCGGGATACTGGCTACATGGATCAATGTGAGGGTCTGTGTGAGAATGTTGTGGGATTCTTTTAATGAAAATGTTGTGTGAAGATGCGGATTTTGTGTGAGAGTTTGTTTAAGGATGAGGTGTGGGAATGTTGTGTAAGACTGTCGTATAAGATTACTGTGACAGTTTCTTGTTTGACAATGTTGTGCCAGGATGTTGTGTGACTATATTGTGCCCGGATGTTGTGTGACAATGTTGTGCAAGATAAGCTTGGGGAGAGGGGGATATTGGGGGTACTTTTTCCGATCCAAAGTTAACGTGATAAATAAATGCAAATAACCTACAAAGCAATGAGCAAATGTTACTTTTCAAAAAGATTAATTCTTTTAACCAAATGAGTTTGTTGTACAGTTAGTTTGTTTCTTCCAAGTTTTCTTGAAGTGTCTACTTGCATGTGTGGTGCCGTCTTCGCTCCACAGTCTGACTCCATTAAATTGGTATGTAAAAGTTTCGTTTGAAGGAAAATAATCGCTAGTAAAAATGTCACGCATCTAGGAATGGCCGTGTGATTCAGCTGTCCAACCCGTTTATGTGGTTCGGGTGTTTCGCGCCAAAATTCGCCTCATGAACAAAATGTTAAACTTTATAAATACGTTAAATTCATCTTGTCTAAGCCTGCCGATTCTCAGTTTGAAATTCTACTCTGCAAAATATTCAAAGGTTTTCGGGTGATGCTGAAAGGAAGTTCACGTTTTGTTTGTTCTTTGTTTACATGAATCCTGGCTTTAGATTTATGCGTGTTTTGTTGAATCCAACAGAAGCCGGTAAATATTTAGTTAGTTGTATTGGAAATAGCATTTCGGGAAGGGAACTAACTCTGTTGGGAAAAGTCGGTCAAGATTGTTGTGATAGAAGGCGCATTTGACACCAATTTAGCCGCTTTTGTATAGTATTGTACTACGTTACACACTTTTGCATATAGGCTTTTGATATCTTGAATATCCGTGTCGTCTGGTGGCTGATGACTGTTGCTGTTTACCGCCTGACAAACCCGTGGATGGGGTTTTTATTTCCTGTCCTTGAACTTTTGGACATTGGCAGATTGTTGTGTGGACACCAGAATGATACCGGCTCAGCGAACAATACTGATTGGCCATCGATCACATGTGCATGACCCAATTTCAGTAATTCTTTAGCTTAAAAATTTGCAGTTTATTGGACATCGTTAAGACGAGGTGAAGGACGAGAGTGTGCAATGTCTTGTAGACGGTCAGTATACTCCCGCGAGCATGGATCAAGTGTTACTGGATGATAGGACTGGACGGAGGACTCGCCAATCATCGCCTCACATGACACAGTCCAGCTGGCCACACTAGCAGGTAGTCAACATGTAGATAACACTGACCTACTCTTGTTGCTGACACTGTTGGCAGCACTGTACACAAAGCTGCTATGTACACTCATGACAATGGAGGCCAACACCAGACATTGATATGTTATTTGTGTCCCCTTGTCTGTAGTTTCATGGGTGATAAGACAAACGGTGACAAAAGTTAGTGCTTAGTCTGATATGTAGTTACATGAACAGGTAATCATTGCTGACACTTGATCACACCTGATCACACAAGCATGGCATAGAACTTATGCTGGTCGATAACATGTTTTGCTATGAGTTAATGCACACACCAGCCCAAGCCAACCCACAATCAGGACTATATACCCCCTACACATCACACACACACACACACACACACACACACACACACACACACACACACACACACACACACACACACACACACACACACACACACACACACTCAGGACTATATACCCCCTACACACGCACACACACACACACACACACACACACACACACACACACACCCATCACAAGACCCATGAACATGCTACAAGGATGCAGCTCCGTGGATGCATGTGACACGCTATGAGGATGCAGCTCCGAGGATGCATGTGCCAGTTGAAATTTCAGCCATTTGTTCCACAAAAAATATCTACTAAAATGTGTAAAGTGAAAAACAACCATATTGATGGAAAGAGTAAATGTAACATCTGTCCAGTCGTGTGTACTTCCGTTTTATTTTGCCAATTTTAGAAGACATTTCATGAATGAGATTCCATCCATGTCAGTATTATCCCGCATATGCATGAATCCACATGTTTCCAATATTGATATAGCTATGTGGATAATGATTGTGGTAATTCAAGAGGTTGTGCAAAAGTTTTGGTTGTGGATCTTAAAGTAATTACTGAGTGAAATTTAAGCTTAAAGTGACATGTTTACAGACAGTGTAGTCTACATGGTCTAGTATAGTGTTACAGAAGTGTAACATTCAGAATTCTGTCATCACCATGATCACAGATAAATTGTCAAGTTTGACAACAAAGTCACAACACTACTGACAGATAGAGCGCTATCTGTTCAGTGCTTTTTAATAAACAAGTGACAGCACTATGAACAAGAACATGAACACAGGGATTTATCAAGACCTGCCCAGAGGCCCATATTCAGCCCCAAGTCTGCTGCAGAGGATAGTAAAAATTCCAAATTTGAATTACATATTTCCCAGTTCCTCAGAATTTATGAAAATAAGAACATTAATAGGATCAAATTTTCAACAGTATTGCCATTTTGTCCCTGTTTGCTTGCCAAGCGTACTTACTTTGGTGTTCCTAGATAAATCCTTGAAACATGTTTATGGAAAGTTATGGTTTGCGTAACTGTTTGGTTTTGCATGAATATGGCAAACTGTAATGTAAATAATCTGTGTAAACAATTTACTTTTCAGGATGGCTACTGAGTATTGTCGCAGAATGCTGCGAATCTGCATAGCTCAGCTGTGTCAGAATCTAGGATGGAATGCAACACAGTCGTCTCCTCTTGAGTTGCTCACCGATGTCTTAGAGCGCTACCTTATAGACCTTGGCAAGATATCTCACCGCTACTCGGAGCAGTGTAAGTGCATAGAGGGGATGAGATTCAGTCAGCCATTGTCTAAATAGTCCATGCAGGATGTATCTGGACCTGCTGAGAGGCCGATATTTGGCCCTAAGTCTGCTGTAAATGCCAAATTAGAATTAAAAACTTCCCAATTCATGTTAATTTATATACAGTAACTATCAACTAATTTTCTGGCTTTGTAGACATTACCTGTATTTCATTGATAACATGACCACGTAAGGAGGTTTTAATGCTTAGTTTTATATTATTGCTTTGAATGGAATCTCAAAAAAGCTAAAATACCTTTGAATTTGAAACTATGAAATTTATGTAATAGATCCCAATTTGTACACAAAAACGACTCTCACGAGTCTTAATTGAAATAGAGGACGCAATTGAGTATGCACACTTCTAAATGCCTTTCAAAGACCTGTGCACTGTTAAGTTCTTTTCATTTCTTGAATAGTTGTGAGAGATATGTAACCACAGCTAAATTAGAATTTCTTAAACATAAGTTTAATAACATAATGTAATAAAATAGTGATTATCAGTGATTTATCATGTGCACTATTTGTGGGAACATTTTACATGCAATGGACCATTGATTATGTGACAATGTTGTCATGGTATTATCATGAGTAAAGCCATGTATTGGTGCTATTCAGAGGTTGGCATGGTGCCATATGAGCATGATGAGTAAAGCCATGTATTGGTGCTATTCAGAGGTTGGCATGGTGCCATATGAGCATGATGAGTAAAGCCATGTATTGGTGCTATTCAGAGATTGTCATGGTGCCATGAGTAAAGCCATGTATTGGTGCTATTCAGTGATTGTCATGGTACCATGAGTAAAGCCATGTATTGGTGCTATTCAGAGATTGTCATGGTGCCATGAGTAAAGCCATGTATTGGTGCTATTCAGTGATTGTCATGGTACCATGAGTAAAGCCATGTATTGGTGCTATTCAAGGATTGGGGGCGGTCGGGTAGCCTAGTGGTTAAAGCGTTGGCTCGTCACGCCGAAGACCCGCGTTCGATTCCCGACATGGGTACAATGTGTGAAGCCCATTTCTGGTGTCCCCCACCGTGATATTGCTGGAATATTGCTAAAAGCGGCGTAAAACCATACTCACTCACTCACTATTCAAGGATTGTCATGGTACCATGAGTAAAGCCATGTATAGGTGCTATTCAGTGATTGACGTGTGATGGGGTATTCAGAGTGCCTCTGTATGCATGTTAGGAGCTGTTTCTTCAGGATATTCACGGTTATCACCATGATCACAGTGGTTGTCATGGTAGTGGGGAGTTTTCCATGTCAGTTTGGTTTCACTTCTGTATTTCAGTTACATCACTGTGAGTAGACGTGATGTGGGAGGCAGTGTTCGAAATAATTTTACACGCCAACACGCCAGAGTTACCTGCCCGCATTCAGACATTATATATATTGCAAAAAATAAGAGACGAATTGCGTCTTGATTCAGTTGAAATAATGCACACAATTACTGGAGAATCTACAAGGATACATAAGTTGGCTTAAAATTAGCTGCGAGACAGTCGGGCAGGTGGAGGAAAATTTCATGCAGCCTGACAGAAAAGTTACAAGTCACGGGCAGGTGGGCAGGCAGTTATTTCGGACACTGGTAGAAGGACAGCGTGAAGTGATACAGGGCTCTCACAGGTCTCGTGGTGATAACCAAGAAATATCTCACATGTGCTCATGATCAGTGTTGCCATGGTTACATGGGTTTGCTTGTGTTGCAGTTGGGAGAACTGAGCCAAATCTGGATGATCTGGCCTTGACATTCCGCCACTATGGTATTCAGCTGGGAGAACTCGAGGACTACATCCGCCATGTTGAGCCAGTGGCGTTTGCACGAGAGGTGGTGTCATTTCCTGCCCGGAAACGTAATAACCTCGGATTCCCTAATCCGCGAAGTCGGGAGTTACTACAACATCGAGAAGAGCATGTACATGACCACCTCCCCTATATGTACCCAGGCATGGAGGGTAAGATAAGGCTATAGACACAGCCGCAGGTAGACTGTATACACAGTCACACACTATATACACAGCCATGGTTAGACTATACACAGTCATACACTATATACACAGCCATACACTATATACACAGCCATGGTTAGACTATATACACAGCCATGGATAGACTATATACACAGTCATGGATAGACTATATACTCAGCCATGGATAGACTATATATACACAGCCATGGATAGACTATATACACAGCCATCATGGCCATAGATAGACTATATACACACCCAGGATAGACTTTATACACAGCCATGGATAGACTTTATACACAGCCATAGATAGACTGTATGAACAGTCATGGATAGGCTATAGACATAGTCATGCAGAGACTATATACACAGTCATGGATAGACTATATACACAGTCATGGATAGACTGTATACACAGTCATGGATAAACTATAGACATAGTCATGGATAGACTGTATACACAGCCATGGATAGACTGTATACACAATCATGGATAGACTATATACACAGCCATAGATAGACTGTATACACAATCATGGATAGACTATATACACAGCCATGGAAAGACTGTATACACAGCCATAGATAGACTGTATACACAGTCATGGATAGACTATATACACAGTCATAGATAGACTATATACACAGCCATGGATAGACTGTATACACAGTCATAGACTATATACACAGCCATGGATAGACTATATACACAGTCATGGATAGACTATATACACAGTCATAGATAGACTATATACACAGTCATGGATAGACTATATACACAGTCATAGATAGACTATATACACAGCCATGGATAGACTATATACACAGTCATGGATAGACTATATACACAGTCATAGATAGACTATATACACAGTCATGGATAGACTATATACACAGTCATAGATAGACTATATACACAGCCATGGATAGACTATATACACAGTCATGGATAGACTATAGAAATAGTCATGGATAGACTATATACACAGCCATAGATAGACTGTATACACAGTCATGGATAGACTAGACATAGTCATGGATAGACTATATACACAGCCATGGATAGACTATATACACAGTCATAGATAGACTATATACACAGTCATGGATAGACTGTATACACAGTCTTGGATAGACTATATACACAGCCATGGATAGACTGTATACACAGTCATGGATAGACTATATACACAGCCATGGATAGACTATATACACAGCCATGGATAGACTGTATACACAGTCATAGATAGACTATATACACAGCCATGGATAGACTATATACACAGCCATACACTATATACACAGCCATGGTTAGACTGTATACACAGCCATACACTATATACACAGCCATGGTTAGACTATATACACAGCCATACACTATATACACAGTCACGGATAGACTATAGACGCAACCATGGGTAGACTATATGCACAGCCATGGATAGACTATATACACAGCTATAGATAGACTATATACACAGCCATGGATAGACTATATACACCGCCATAAATAGACTATATACACAGCCATGGATAGACTATATACACAGCCATGGATAGACTGTATACACAGGCATGGATAGACTATGTACACAGCCATACACTATATACACAGTCATGGATAGACTATAGACGCAACCATGGGTAGACTATATACACAGCCATGGATAGACTATATACACAGCCATGGATAGACTATATACACAGCCATGGATAGACAGTATACACAGGCATGGATAGACTATATACACAGTCATGGATAGACTGTATACACAGCCATGGATAGACTATATACACAGTCATGGATAGACTATATACACAGCCATGGATAGACTATATACACAGCCATGGATAGACTGTATACACAGGCATGGATAGACTATATACACAGTCATGGATAGACTGTATACACAGCCATGGATAGACTATATACACAGCCATGGATAGACTATATACACAGTCATGGATAGACTGTATACACAGCCATGGATAGACTATATACACAGTCATGGATAGACTATATACACAGCCATGGATAGACTATATACACAGCCATGGATAGACTGTATACACAGGCATGGATAGACTATATACACAGTCATGGATAGACTGTATACACAGCCATGGATAGACTATATACACAGCCATGGATAGACTATATACACAGTCATGGATAGACTGTATACACAGCCATGGATAGACTATATACACAGTCATGGATAGACTGTATGAACAGTCATGGAAAGACTGTATACACATCCATAGATAGACTATATACATAGCCATGGATAGACTATATACACAGCCATGGATAGACTATATACACAGCCATAGATAGACTGTATACAAAGTCATGGATAGACTATAGACACAGCCATAGATAGACTATATACACAGACATAGATAGACTGAATAAACAGGTATGGATAGACTTTATACACAGCCATATATTAGGGCTGGCTAAAATGATTGATAATCAGAATTATCTTCGATATGAAAACTGCATCAACGATAATATCTTTAGTAAACTATACAGCAGCTGTTTTATATATTTCTTAAATGTTCACAAAGCAACCGATGCATAAATGTGTCTCTACTCACTAATGATGTGAAATATGATGTTTTGTCTTTGTGATATTTGTATGTTTGCTGAAAGTTACTTCTCTGATATTTATCGATAATTGATCAAAATTTAGTTAACATTTATTGATCTCTAAGTTCCAATGGATAGCCAGCGCTAACACAGATACGGTACTGTTCACATGTGTGTGTGGTGTGTTGTGTTACAATCTCATTGAAATCAGATCTAAGTTCTCGTTGCCGCTAAACAAAAATGTGAGGACATTCCATTACTGGTCACGTCAGAACGACCTATCGCAAACTTTGACCGACCACTGAAATGACTAACAAGAAGTCAACATCAGCCAATTAGAAAGCAGCTTTCTCAAGCTTTACGGCACTCGTTTCAACCTAGCGACTTTCATTTCAGACTACGCTTGAAAGATGTGTTGACACAGTTCTCGATTAAAATTTTGAAAACTGAACAAACAAACATTCCGGAATGTCTAACATATGGTTGAGATTGTATGGCAGTGTTTCCCACGTACTGTGCAACGCCTCCTCCTCAATAACCCTGTGTTAACATTTTCATGATTAGAAAACACATTCCGATTGTTACTTTCGTGATGTGGTAAGCGACGCTTTGATTGGTCGGATGAAAGGTCATTCTGATGTGACCCGTAATGGGATGCCCTCAGATCTTTGTTTAGCGATAGCCAGAACTAAGATCTGATTTGAATGAGATTGGTTGTGTCAAGTTGTGTTTGAAGACATCCCTGTCCTCATCCATGGGTGGTTCTTTGTTTTCCAGATGAGGTGGAAGAGGAACCCTCCCTGCCCACACCCTGCCAGCTACCTCAGGAATCTGTGTCCCCACTGGCAATCAGCCCCACCCCCACTGACAAGCGTCCCCTGTCCAACTCGGCCGAGGGACCCCCACCAAAGAGACCCAGGTCAGGAAGTCAGTCCACAAGCAGGCAGGGCTGTAACAACACTTTACATGTCTCGATAACCCATGAAGATCCGGGTTGAATAGGTCTTCAGCAACCCATGCCTGCCATAAGAGGCGACTATGCTTGTCATGAAGAGGCGACTAACGGGATCGGGTGGTCAGGCTCGCTGACTTGGTTGATGTATGTCATTGTATCCCAATTGTGTGGTTGATGCTCATGATGTCAATCACTGGATTGTATGGTCCAGACTCGATTATTTACAGACCGCCGTCATATAGCTTGAATATTGCTGAGTGCGGCGTTAAACAACAAACAAACAAACAAACAAAGTATGATAACCACAGCTCTCAATGATCTCTAAGTAAAGTAAGGTCAAGGTCACATTTGAGTAAAATGTCAACAGTATTGTCATTTTCTCGTGAATATGACACAAAGTTTATTGGCATTAATAAAGCCTGCCCTACAATGGTCTTATACCACGTGGACAGGGAATTCTTTTGGCATGTGCTGTAAGTAGGTCAAAGGCCAAGGTCACAAAATAGAAAGTCTCATGGCTTGTTATACTTTCTCAAAAGGTATTAATGCATGTTTAGTTAAACTTGACGTATACCTTCCCTAGGCTGGGTCACAGTCTTGAAAAGTCCCATGCTTGAAACTGGTAGTCTAGATCACATACTTTGTGTACCCCTCTGACAAGTGCAAAGTGGCACGGATCCCATGGCCAAAAGCAATGAATACAATGCCACTCACCCTGGCAGTGTGGGTTTAAATCCTGGATGGGACTCAACCCCCAAAAGTACTAGAATCTGTACTTTACTGAGAATGTGTTATCCAAATATAACATTTGTTAAAGGCACTTGTTTTGGAATGCATGGTACTCCCTGTAGTGACTGACTGTAACCGTGGTAACTGTTGTTGTCCCAGGTTGACGAATCTGCCGGAGGAGGCTGGCCACTCCCAGTACGAGATGAAGAGCGTGCTGATGAACCCGAGCGGCGTGCTCACCCCGACCAGGCAGGGCAAGCTGCCCGACGCCCGCACTCCGCCCACGTTCAGACAAGCCCTGCAGTTCAAGGAGGACAAGGAGAAGGGGCGAGAAAACAAGGACCAGCTTCCGAAACTTGCAGACAAACGTGATCGCCAAGATGGGGGCGCAGATAACATCAACAAGTCCAACAACTGTATGGAGAAAGTGGCACCAAAGAAAAAAATGCTGAAGCAGTATAAACAAATGGCAGCGGATGATGCCGCGTCGGGGATGCCGCGGTCGCCGAAGGTGGGGAAGCTGGCCCGGCCCCCCAAACAGGTGTCCCCCCTTGTGACGAAGAACACAAAACCCAAGAACAAGCTGAAATCCAAGGATAAGCTGAATGTGAAGAAGAGTGACAGCAGTGGGGGACCGAGTGGGGGTGGGGCGGGCACTCAAGGGGAGAGTTGTCTCAAGGACTTGCTTCTCTCATCCAAATTAGACTTGCACAAAGGAGAGAAAGCCAAACTTAGTTCACCCAAACTTTCATCCCCCAAAACCAAATCAGATTCTAAACACAAGCACAAAGAAAAGAAATCCCGGGTTGTTGATAAGACTCCGAGGGCAGAACCAGAAGCCCAATCTAGACAGCAGTCCGTCGGTGCAGACGGAGCCCAGTCGAAAACGGAGACTGGTTCTTCGTCACGACTCCAACCCTCCCTAGAGGAGGAGTTGTCCAACAACTCGCGTGATGACTCCCCCCAGCGGTTGGTAATCGCGGAGGGGGAGGTCCGTGTTAAGAACACGAAGGAGGCCCGGCTGGCCCGGCTGGCTCTCATTGACGATAGTATTGAAAGTGTGATCCGAGACTCCCAGTCCCACAAGGACAAACCTGACACCTTCACCTTCAGTGAGGAGGTGGCAGTGGATGTGTCACCCAAGATTGTGAAAGGGAAAAAGAAAGACAAAGTGAAATCAGGTAAAGATTCTGATAAACAGAAAAAGAAGGAAAAGAAAGAGAAATCAGACTCTCAGTCAATTGACGAAAGTATAGACTCTGTGATACGACAGTCGTCAGAGGAAACGGAGTTGGTGGCTCCACCATCTGTCACTAGTGTTGAGGAAGTGGTGAAGCGTGTGGTGGAGGAGTTTTCTCCCCCTGTTAGAGAAGTGCCACCCGTGTTGTCACAGGTACAAGGCAACAAGAAAGTCAAAGAAAAATCAGAAAAAAAACAAAAGAAAAAAGGGGTGAAGAAAGATAAAATGGGTTCTACAAAAGATAAACTAAAGGACAAATTGAAAGTCAAAACAGAAAAACTAGACTTGTTCGAACCTGACAAGAAACCCTCAGTGCTAGATAAGTTTTCAGCCAAGGAGTACAGTGTGTATGACTTCCCGGAAAGTCCGCCATCGTTCCCACCTCAACCCAAGAAAGCCACGCCCAAGTCAGGCACCTCCCCTAAACGCGCCCCACATCCTCCAGTTGCGCCTCCACCCACACCCATGTCCCTGCCCCCTCCTCCACCCCCTGCCCCACCTGTAGTGCCCCCTCCTCCACCTCCTGCCCCCCGAGAGGAGCGCCCCCTGCCTACAGACACTGATCAGCCACCTCTCATGACTCTCAAGATTGATCTCAAACACAAGCAGAAGGACAAGGAGAGATCCAAGGTAACCATGGTAACAACACTCCCTCTGGTCAGCCTGTCGGCTGCTTGTAGCAGAAGTATTGAGTATGCAAAATTATCCACCTTGTATATGCAGGTTGTATATTAACCATTTTGAAATAATCCATGTTGTATCTTACCAATGAAGATCCAGGTTACAATAGGTATTCACCAACCCATGCTTGCCATAGGACATGACTATGTTTGTAATAAGAGGCGACTAAAGAGATGTGGCAATCAGGCTCGCTGGCTTGGTTGATGCATGTCATTGTATCCCAATTGCGTAGATCGATGCTCAAGATGGCAATTACTGGATTGTCTGTTCCAGACTCAATTATATACCGACTGCTGCCATGTAGCTGGAATATTGCTGTGTGTAGTGTTGAACAACAAACATCTTATATGTCTGCAGGATGAATACTACGTATGTGAAATAAGCCATCTTGTATGTCTGCGGGATGAATATTATGTATGTGAAATAAGCGATCTTGTATGTCTTCGGGATGAATATTACGTATGTGAAATAAGCCATCTTGTATCTCTGCAGGATGAATATTACGTATGTGAAATATGCCATCTTGTATGTCTGCGGGATGAATATTACGTATGTGATATAAGCCATCTTGTGTGTCTGCGGGATGAATATTATGTATGTGAAATAACCCCTCTTATATGTCTGCAAAATGAATATTACGTATGTGAAATATGCCATCTTGTGTGTCTGCTGGATGAATATTACGTATGTGAATTATGCCATCTTGTATGTCTGCAGGATGAATATTATGTATGTGAAATAAGCCATCTTATATGTCTGCAAAATGAATATTAGGTTTGTGAAATAAGCCATCTTGTATGTCTGGGGGATGAATATTACGCATTGTGAAATAAGCCATCTTGTATGTCTGGGGGATGAATATTACGCATTGTGAAATAAGCCATCTTGTGTGTCTGGGGGATGAATATTAACCATTTTGAAATAAGCCATCTTGTATGTCTGCGGGATGAATATTACGTATGTGAAATAAGCCATCTTGTATGTCTGCGGGATGAATATTATGTATGTGAAATAATCCCTCTTATATGTCTGCAAAATGAATATTATGTATGTGAAATATGCCATCTTGTATGTCTGCGGGATGAATATTACGTATGTGAAATATGCCATCTTGTATGTCTGCAGGATGAATATTATGTATGTGAAATAAGCCATCTTATATGTCTGCAAAATGAATATTAGGTTTGTGAAATAAGCCATCTTGTATGTCTGCGGGATGAATATTACGCATTGTGAAATAAGCCATCTTGTATGTCTGGGGGATGAATATTACGTATGTGAAATAAGCCATCTTGTATGTCTGGGGGATGAATATTACGTTTGTGAAATAAGCCATCTTGTATGTCGGGGGGATGAATATTACGTATGTGAAATAAGCCATCTTGTATCTCTGCAGGATGAATATTAGGTATGTGAAATATGCCATCTTATATGTCTGGGGGATGTATATTACGTATGTGAAATAAGCCATCTTGTATGTCTTGGGGATGAATATTAACCATTTTGAAATAAGCCATCTTGTATGTCTGGGGGATGAATATTACGTTTGTGAAATAAGCAATCTTGTATGTCTGGGGGATGAATATTACGTATGTGAAATAAGCCATCTTGTATGTCTGGGGGATGAATATTACGCATTGTGAAATAAGCCATCTTGTATGTCTGGGGGATGAATATTAACCATTTTGAAATAAGCCATCTTGTATGTCTGCGAGATGAATATTACGTATGTGAAATAAGCCATCTTGTATCTCTGCAGGATGAATATTATGTATGTGAAATAAGCCATCTTATATGTCTGGGGGATGAATATTACGTATGTGAAATAAGCCATCTTGTATGTCTGGGGGATGAATATTAACCATTTTGAAATAAGCCATCTTGTATGTCTGGGGGATGAATATTACGTTTGTGAAATAAGCCATCTTGTATATCAGGGGGATGAATATTAACCATTTTGAAATAAGCCATCTTGTATGTCTGGGGGATGAATATTAAGTATGTGAAATAAGCCATCTTATATGTCTGGGGGATGAATATTACGTATGTGAAATAAGCCATCTTGTATGTCTGGGGGATGAATATTACGTTTGTGAAATAAGCCATCTTGTATGTCTGGGGGATGAATATTAACCATTTTGAAATAAGCCATCTTGTATGTCTGGGGGATGAATATTAAGTATGTGAAATAAGCCATCTTATATGTCTGGGGGATGAATATTACGTATGTGAAATAAGCCATCTTGTATGTCTGGGGGATGAATATTACGCATTGTGAAAAAAGCCATCTTGTATGTCTGGGGGATGAATATTACGTTTGTGAAATAAGCCATCTTGTATGTCTGGGGGATGAATATTAACCATTTTGAAATAATCCATCTTGTATGTCTGGGGGATGAATATTACGTATGTGAAATATGCCATCTTGTATGTTTGCGGGATGAATATAACGTATGTGAAATAATCCATCTTGTATGTCTGGGGGATGAATATTACGTATGTGAAATAAGCCATCTTGTATGTTTGCGGGATGAATATTATGTATGTGAAATAATCCATCTTGTATGTCTGGGGGATGAATATTACGTATGTGAAATATGCCATCTTGTATGTCTGCAGGATAAATGATACGTATGTGAAATAACCCCTCTTATATGTCTGCAAGATGAATATTACGTATGTGAAATAAGCCATCTTGTGTCTCTGCAGGATGAATATTATGTATGTAAAATATGCCATCTTGTATGTCTGCAGGATGAATATTATGTATGTGAAACAAGCCATCTTGTATGTCTGCAGGATAAATATTATGTATGTGAAATATGCCACCTTGTATATCTGCAGGACAAGGATCACAAGAAGGAGAAGAAGGAGAAGAAAAAAGACAAAGAGAAGAAGAAGAAGAACAAAGATAAGGACAAGGAGAAGTCTCGGGACAAGACTCGGTGGAAGGAGGACCGCCACAAGGAGGACAAGGTAGGATGGACACCGGTAGAAGCTGAAGTTGTTTACTTGTTAAGATACAAACGAGAGTTTGTAGAAGTCGTGTACTTGTTGAGATATCAGAGAGAGTTAATAGAAGTTAGAAGAGATATACTTACAGTGGATGTGTAGACAGAGTGCGTGAATGTTTCATTCTACGTTTGCCCGATTAATGCAGATGAACATTGTTTCTTGTGTAGGATGGTCCGAGCAGTGCACCCACAGGTGGTCTAGTGGCTCCCATCAAGCTGAACATCAAGTTTGGTGGCCTGTCTGCTGCAACCAGCACTGTCGTCACGGAAACCAAGACAGCCTCACCAAAGACTGAGACTGTTCTGGATTCTCCTAAGACCTCACGACCGGAGCCCCTACTGTCCCCCAAACGGGATATCCCCAAACTGTGAGTATCACCCACAAATACATTGTCTAGTACGTTTGTTCTGAAAGTCAAGTGAGCTTATGACGTGTTCCATTTGTCTGTTGTGCTTCATTTGTCATCTGAGGGGGCACAGGTGGCCCAGTCGTCTAAGGTATCGCGATTCACTGTGCAGAGTTGCGTCCCTTGGACACGCCAGAAACCTATGATTGTGGGTTCGAAATCCCGGTTCGCCCCGATTATGTTTCTAGGTTTGTCAGCACCATACCCGCGCTCGTGGGTTTCACCAAAGTGGTAAACGTCTGAGACCTGCATCACTTAGGGCTTTCCTCCCACATTAAGCTGACACGCCGTGATATAACTGGAATACTGTTAAAAATGGCGTTAAACCCAACTCACTCACTCACTAATTTGTCATCTAAACATCATCGGAGAAACCAGCAGACCAATGAAGCTGAAACTAACTCCACAGGCTTGGTCTCACCTTTGATCTTAACCCAGTTTCAATCAGATTTTCAGTGGCAGCAATATTGAAAAATTATTCATGGTCATAATTCAGGTTTGTTTAAGTAATGGAATTTGTTATGTTAGGTTGCTTGTGAGACACAATACAATTGGGGTTCCGTTTTTGCAATATTTAGCTCACCTGGCCTGAAAGGCCTTGCAGGCTTATGTCATTGTCCATTGGCGTCTGTGTCTGCGTCTCTCAACTTTTCATATGAACTTGTCATATACTTAAAACTACAGAAAGCCACCAATTTTTTCAAGAGATTCAAATCTGATATATGGCTGCCGCTTGTCATGCAAAATGCGTTTAAAGTAATCTACAATCTGTATCATAATGCTGGCACATGTATCAAAATCAAACAAGGCTCTTTATCAAAACCAAACATGGCTCTGTATCAAAACCAAACATGGCTCTGTATCAAAACCAAACATGGCTGTCCTCGCACGACCTCAGATGTTGTTGTTTTAACATCAAGAAAGTTTACTTGGATTTTCTTTCTGAAGTAAATAAACTGCTGAAAGTTTTTATTTAGCAAGCAGAGCATTTATCTATATCATACATGTTTTCAGAGTTATCAAACCAATTCGTCGGGAGTCTTTAGAAGCCAAGTCCAAGCTAGGAGCAGCATCACGATCACCAGCCATTATGTCTCCAGCTAAACCTCCTACCCCGCCCCCACAGCCACCCCCCAAACCCCAATCCCCTCCCCCTCCTCCAAAGATCAAAACTCCACCTCGATCTCCACCCCCACCCCCTTCACCTCCAAAACCCAAAACCCCACCCCCAAAATCTCCAACTCCTTCGCCTCCACCCCCACCCTCCCCCTCACCACCTCCTCCCCCAGTCCCCAAATCACCCCCTCCCCCATTACCCTCACCGTCTCCTCCCCCAAGGTCACCCACACCTGAGAAACTTCTCACACCCTCCCCTGAGCCAAAGGTACGTTCACCTTTGAGTTCCCCAATTCACAAATCTCCAACCCCAGTATCCCGCTCCCCATCACCGAAGTCCCCCCATCCCGTTCAACTTTTCCCCCCACCCCCACGGAGCCCCTCCCCGCCACGTGTTCATTCAGTGAAGTCCTCTCCCCAACACTCTCCCTCCTCCCCCAAGCTTCAGATGGATATTGACTCTGAGTCGGAGAAGGATCAAGATCCTGAGCCTAAACCCAAACCAGCTAAATCATCTCCAAAGGGAAAAGGAGAAACAAAGCCTTCACCAAAGGGGAAGCGAGGTCGAAAGCCCAAGGAGGAGAATGCTGGGGACACGAGAGCAGCAGGAAAACCCAGGACCAAATCTGTTCCGTCGGTGACGTCGGAGACCGTCAGCGAGACGCCCATCACAGGACCCATTGTTCAGAGGACTGTGGTGGCGGAAACTGTGGGATCATTCATTGTGAGTTGTTGTGTGGGATCATTCATTATGAGTTGTTGTGTGGGATCATTCATTGTGAGTTGTTGTGTGGGATCATTCATTGTGGGTTGTAGTGTAACAAGGGCAGGGATGAAATGGCTGTCCTTGTTAAGTGGGTTGTCTTGATCCATATCCCTCCCCTTGTTAAGTGGGTTGTCTTGATCCATATCCCTCCCCTTGTTAAGTGGGTTGTCTTGATCCATATCCCTCCCCTTGTTAGGTGGGTTGTCTTAATCCATATCCTTCCCCTTGTTAAGTGGGCTGTCTTGATCCATATCCCTCCCCTTGTTAAGTGGGTTGTCTTAATCCATATCCCTCCCCTTGTTAAGTGGGTTGTCTTGATCCATATCCCTCCCCTTGTTAAGTGGGTTGTCTTGATCCATATCCCTCCCCTTGTTAGGTGGGTTGTCTTGATCCATATCCCTCCCCTTGTTAGGTGGGTTGTCTTAATCCATATCCTTCCCCTTGTTAAGTGGGCTGTCTTGATCCATATCCCTCCCCTTGTTAAGTGGGTTGTCTTAATCCATATCCCTCCCCTTGTTAAGTGGGTTGTCTTGATCCATATCCCTCCCCTTGTTAAGTGGGTTGTCTTGATCCATATCCCTCCCCTTGTTAGGTGGGTTGTCTTAATCCATATCCTTCCCCTTGTTAAGTGGGCTGTCTTGATCCATATCCCTCCCCTTGTTAAGTGGGTTGTCTTGATCCATATCCCTCCCCTTGTTAAGTGGGTTGTCTTGATCCATATCCCTCCCCTTGTTAAATATACATTTATTTTTGTGATGCAGAATACCATTAATTTGTGAATTTGCATTAATCCATCAAAATACTTCCTTTGTCTCATGTCTCTGCCTTTGACCAGTGTACTTTGACCTGTGACCTGTGATGTTGTAGGATGCAGATGGCAACAAGGTGTGGATCTGCCCGTCGTGTAAGATGCAGGACGATGGCAGCCCGATGATTGGCTGCGACACATGCGACGACTGGTACCACTGGTGAGTTCATATATCAGCACCCTGTTGTTTATCAGTACCCTGTTTATCAGCACCCCGTTTATAAGCACCCCGTTTTATCAGCACCCTGTTTATCAGCACCCTGTTTATAAGCACCCCGTTTTATCAGCATCCCGTTTTATCAGCACCCTGTTTATAAGCACCCCGTTTATAAGCACTCCGTTTTATCAGCACCCTGTTTATCAGCATCCCGTTTTATCAGCATCCCGTTTATCAGCACCCCGTGTATCAGCACCCCGTTTATCAGCACCCTGTTTATAAGCACCCCGTTTATCAGCACCCCGTTTATCAGCACCCCATTTATCAGCACCCTGTTTTTAAGCAAGCCGTTTATAAGCACCCCGTTTATCAGCACCCCGTTTATCAGCACCCCGATTTATCAGCACCCCGTTTATCAGCACCCCGTTTATCAGCACCCCGTTTATCAGCACCCCGTTTATAAGCACCCCGTTTATAAGCACGTGTTTATCACCACCCTGTTTATCCAGTGTATTATTTTCCTTTTTATTAATGTACCGGCGCTCGAAATATTCCCTCGTCTGCTTGTATTAACGAGTGGCAGCATGTTCACTCTTCCTACCATATCAATTGATTTCAATTATCGTTTTCAATAAAATATGCAGGATAATTTCGAACCTAAAATACATTTTCATTTCTTGTCATTCGTAGTAATAATAACAAAATACATAATTAAGTTGCTTATGTCATGAATAGAAGGAATACTTGGCAACTGTCTGTTGAAGAAATAAACAAAAAGTGTTTCAATTCTGTTTTTGGAGGGATGCAATTGTTATTTTTGTTGTAAGCGAGTCGTTGCTGATTGTGAATAATTTTGTGAGTGTAATGGCTGTTTTTAATCGGGAGTGTTGAAGTTGATGAAAAAAGACATGATTTAATGACCAAACAGTCCAAAAAATGAATATATTTTAATAAAACTGTGTGACAGTAAAAACGAAAAGAAATATTCATGGCTGAATGATTTTAAATGGGCAGAGATGAATGTGGGTGGTAGTGACTGAATCATTTTGTACTCTGTGTCATCAATACTCTCAACTCAAAGGTGAATTACAGTAATTGATATGAATACCCTGGACCTATCCATCTTTGTCTACTGCACTGTTATCTAACATGATACATTGCCAGAATATTACTGGGTTAATCTAAATACACTGGAATCTAACAGTTGTCAGGATTAGAGAGATTTATCAGGAGTTGCGTCTCTTGCTGATGAAGTCACGTCAGGGCAGTTAACTTGGTCCAGTTGGTCCAGTATTGCCAGAGTCCAGTTTTCACTGGATAATAATAGTAACCCACAAAGAAATAGTTTCATCATGTGACTTGTTAGATGTTTTGTGAGTGCTGACTCAGCATCTGTTGGTAATTACAGGACGTGCATGAGCATCACCGAGGAACCCAAGGAGGACGATTGGTACTGTCCTCGATGTCAGGAGATCAGAGCCCGAGCCCCGAAGGGAGGAAAAAACAAGGAGGGAAAACCCAAGGGGAAAAAAAGGGGACGCAAGAAAAAAATCTAAGGCAGCTTCTAGTAACATGGACTCAATGTTGCTTGTTATCAGATAATTATCATGTATATATTTTATTTGCTCAACCGTGGTCTGTACAGTAGCTTTGTAAAGCTTTGATGATAAATTGTCAAAGTGCTGGTACGTCTTTGTTATTTCTGTGCATGGCCCAGGTCAGCGACCTACAGAGGGACGGAGATGTATGCCTCCGTGGTCTTGTGGTAGAGCGGAAAGTTCGGGGTTTGATCCCCGGCCGTGTCATACCAAAAGACGTTAAAAGATGGTATTTGATGTTACCCTGCTGGTGTTTGGCCTGAGGGGTTAAGCAAGGGCTGATTGACTCGGAGTCAGTATTCTGTGTCTGAGGTATTCATGTTAAACCACGGCATCTCAATGGGCTAGCATTAAAATCAGCATCAGTTAAGACTAGTACAACCAGACACACACACACACACACACACACACACACACACACACACACAGACACAAACGTACGTTGCTTGGAAGTAATCTTGGACATGCCGTTAAACCCCATTTCACCTCACCTTTTGTCATGAAGGACTAGAGATAAAAAACACTTTAATTATGCTACTCAACATTTGCTAAGGAACACCTTTGACTAAAAATGACTATTTTGATCCTTAGCAAGTGTTGCATAGCATATATTTGAAATAAGACATACTCCACATGCACCATTCAAGCTCTAAATTAGGCTACTTGTTCACTGACAACTGAGCCACATCCCCAGCAGTACCCTAGGTGTTCCTGCCAACCTGGAACCCCTCGTGTACATCGCTTCTCATCCTGCATACTGGGTCGACTACCTCAACACGATAAGGCTGTCTTTGATGCCTTCCGTTTTTTTAGACTCCAGTGATGACATACATAAAGAACAAGCATGAAATACTCATATCCCCCCACCAATACCGCCATTTTCAGTCTAGGTCAGTTGTTGCCATGGAAACTCGATAAAATAAAAAAATCCAAAACTGTGAAAAGGTGCCAAGTTTGGTTAAGCTATCTCTCGTGGTTTTTAAGTTCTGCTCTGGAAAACGAAACGTGACCAATGGACAGCACAAATTCCTGTATCCCCCTTCTACTTCGTGTTGGGGGATAATAATACTGTGCCATCCACTACTGCACTGTGAGCAAGCCCTCTCTCTTCTGGGAGTGACGCAGGCTGCTACAAATATTAAGAGGCGACCAACGGGATCGGGTGGTCAGACTCGCTGACTTGGTTGATGCATGTCATTGATCCCAATTGCGTAGATCGATGCTCATATTAATCACTGGATTGTCTGGTCCAGACTCGATTATTTACAGACTGCCGTCATATTGTTAGAATATTGCTGAGTGCAGAGTTAAACAACAAACCAAACCATGTAGTTAGAATCTGTCCCAAGTACCCCATTGCTAGTCTTACAGTGAGGAGTGAGTTAAGATTTAACATCACATCGGAAATATTTCAGCTGTGACGACATAAAGATTAACATTGACAACAAAGATATTTAGAGTGCATAAAACCGAAGATAGTACAATAACTAGACTATCACAGAATTGAGGAAAACCAAGTTTGAGAACATGTAAAAGAAAAAACTATCAGTAAACAACACAATATAAATAAAGGCAACAGACTGCCAGCAACCAAAAAGTTAGGCCACTGTACCAGGGACCCTTGGGACTTACAATACTTCTGCTACCTGCACGGTTCCCCAGCAGGATTTACACCATCCCTTCAACCGCTGGCTATGATATGCGATTTTAGCCATCAATTAAAATAACAAATATGCTCCAATTAAAACCAAGGTAGAAATAACCTACTTTGAAAAACGTGGTCTTGCAATATCCTCTCAGAGGACAATGAAACCTTGAAATATTGATCCCTTGTGATGGAAAAATCTATAGACGCCCTCTAGGGTATACAGGTGGGGATGTCTGTGTTGTAGCCGGTGCTGGGTGTAGGAGTCAGAGTGGATGGAGTGGTCAGACTTGTTGACTTGATTGATGGTGTGTGTGTTGACATAACCTGATGCCGTGGATTGTTGCTCATAATATCAATCACTGGAATGTCAGGTCCAGACTCAAATTTACAGATCACCATCGAACAGCTTGAATAAAAAGTGCAGCATTAAACACACAATGATGAATGTACACATAGCTGACAGCAAGGTATAGATGTTTCCCTGTCGATCAACCAAAATCTGTTCATGCGCTGAAGGAGACTAGAGAAGTATTGTCTACCCACTAGATTGTGTGGATATTGCCAAGGCAACCCATGTTGTAGTTCTAGTCTCATGGCTGCTATTTAAGGAGGGGCGGTGGGGTAGCCTAGTGGTTAAAACGTTTGCTCGTCATGCCGAAGACCCGGGTTCGATTCCCGACATGGGTACACTGTGTGAAGCCCATTTCTGGTGTCCCCCGCCGTGATATTGCTGGTGTAATGCTAAAAGCGGCGTAAAACCAAACACTCACAGTATTTAAGGAATCACAACATGTGGGTATTCATTGTTTATGTACAATTTATTACAAAAGTAAGGTTTGTCATGTTTAAAAATGTTACATGTATTTACAAGACTTGCAGTGATAAATGTAACAAAACAGTGGGAAACAGTTTAATACTATGGACAAAGTACAAGGTGTTAAGCTGACACAGGGGGCATTCTACAAGAACTCAGTACTTTGTCCTGTGAGAGACTTGACTAAAGCTGACATAGTCTGACTGACATTTATCCTGCATATAATAGCACTGGCTATAGATCTTAGAGATTGGTAATCATTAACTTACCATCGATCTATCGTCGATAAATATCGGAGAAGTAACTATCAGCAAATATGCAAACAGCACAGAGACAACACATCGTATTTCACATGAGTGGTGACATTGATGCATGGATTCCTTTGTGGACATTTAAGGTATAACAAAATCAGTTGCTTGCCGTCTTGAGTAGTGGGCAAAAACAAGTAACCTAAAACTTTATTTCATTACAATAGTTTATGTAAGATATTATCAATGACACAATTTTCATATTGATTATCTTTAATATTTCTTCCCATCGATGATAATTTCGTTTTTTCAATCTTTTTAGCCAGCCCTAGCATTTAACCTGTCGTAGTCCTTCCTTCCTTCTTCAGGAACAGCAGCACTGACTATCTGGGCAACTGGCCCCGAGAAGGGAAGCATGAATATCTATTAGTAGCATTTAATCCCCTTTGTCTAAAACACAAAGTAGGATATCACAAATACAACTGTCCATGTCGGCATCGGATTACACAGCAGGAGAAATCCCTGAATCTTTCACTGGTTGCTACACCAACTTGCTGCGAGTGTCTACTGTAAGTCTCCAGTTTTCACTCTTGGAGAAATGGCGATCTTCATGGCGCCATATTGCACAACCACACCAACAGTCACAAGTTTCATCATCCATTGCTGTAGCCTTGAACTGTCTATAATGACAAAGGTCACACGCTGATACTGATGGAGCGCAGGACTTGCTTCTCCGACTCGTTGTGGTGTGAGCTGAACAGTGAGTAGCACTGCGAGCTGGAGAACACCTTCAGGTACTCAGTCAGGTAATTCTGGAACAGACAACATCACGGTACAAACACAGGGGCACCGGCTACATACAGGGAGGTACCGGGAAGAGCCGGGGTGGAATAGGTCTTCACCAACCCATGCTTGTCCCCCGTGAAGAGCCGGGGTAGAATAGGTCTTCAGCAACCCATGCTTGCTGTAAAAGGCGACTATGCTTGTGAGAAGCGACTAACGGGATCGGGTGGTCAGCTCCATGACTTGGTTGATCTGTGTCATCTTATTGCAGTTGTGTGCCTCAATGCTCATGATATCAATCACTGGATTGTCGGGTCCAGACTTAATTATTTACAGACCGCCGTCATATAGCTGTAATATTGCTGAGTACGGCTTTAAACAACAAAGAAACAATCAAACAGGGAGGGAAGGGCACCTGCTACAAGGAGTAATCTACATACAGCAACATCTACATACAGCAACATCTACATACAGCAACATCCACATACAGCAACATCCACATACAGCAACATCTACATCCAGCAACATCTACATACAACCAGCAACATCTACATACAACCAGCAACATCTACACCCAGCAACATCTCCTTCCCGCTGGGAGGCACCTGGCACTGACCTGCAGGTTGATCTACATACAGCTGGGAGGCACCTGGCACTGACCTGCAGGTTGATCTACATACAGCTGGGAGGCACCTGGCACTGACCTGCAGGTTGATCTACATACAGCTGGGAGGCACCCGGCACTGACCTGCAGGTTGATCTACATACAGCTGGGAGGCACCCGGCACTGACCTGCAGGTTGATCTACATACAGCTGGGAGGCACCCGGCACTGACCTGCAGGTTGATCTACATACAGCTGGGAGGCACCCGGCACTGACCTGCAGGTTGATCTACATACAGCTGGGAGGCACCCGGCACTGACCTGCAGGTTGATCTACATACAGCTGGGAGGCACCCGGCACTGACCTGCAGGTTGATCTACATACAGCTGGGAGGCACCCGGCACTGACCTGCAGGTTGATCTACATACAGCTGGGAGGCACCCGGCACTGACCTGCAGGTTGATCTACATACAGCTGGGAGGCACCCGGCACTGACCTGCAGGTTGATCTACATACAGCTGGGAGGCACCCGGCACTGACCTGCAGGTTGATCTACATACAGCTGGGAGGCACCCGGCACTGACCTGCAGGTTGATCTACATACAGCTGGGAGGCACCCGGCACTGACCTGCAGGTTGATCTACATACAGCTGGGAGGCACCCGGCACTGACCTGCAGGTTGATCTACATACAGCTGGGAGGCACCTGGCACTGACCTGCAGGTTGATCTGGTTGGTTGGATCCGCCTGAGCATCTGGGTCATCGTCCTCTTCATCGTCGAGATCCAGACCTCCATATTCCCCTGCATACTGGTCTATAAGCTCCGACAAACTCTGGCCACCAATAGCAATGTCATCATCAAGGTCATCTTCCTCCTCTTCCTCCCATCCCTCTCCCTGCATCATCAACATTTAGAGTCACCAGAGCTTTAGGTTATAAAACCCACCCCAACATCTCACCTCCCCATACCATCATCTCACCTCGCCCACCCCAACATCTCATCAACCCCAACATCTCCCACCTCAGCCAACCCAACATCTCACTCACACCCACCCCGACATCTTACCTCGACCACACGGACATCTCACCCATCCCGACATCTCACCCATCCCAACATCTCACCTTGACCACCCCGACATCTTACCTTGACCACCCTGACATCTAACCCATCCCGACATCTCACCCATCCCAACATCTCACCTTGACCACCCCGACATCTTACCTTGACCACCCAGACATCTCACCCATCCCGACATCTCACCTTGACCACCCCGACATCTCATCTTGACCACCCCGACATCTCATCTTGACCACCCCGACATCTCACCCATCCCGACATCTCACCCATCCCAACATCTCACCTTGACCACCCCGACATCTCACCCATCCCGACATCTCACCCATACTGAGATCTTACTCTCACCCATCCCGACATCTCACCTGGGCCACCCCGACATCTCACCCATCCCGACATCTCACCCATACTGAGATCTTACTCTCACCCATCCCGACATCTCACCTGGGCCACCCCGACATCTCACCCATCCTGACATCTCACCCATCCCGACATCTCACCCATCCCGACATCTCACCTTGGCCACCCCGACATCTCACCCATCCCGACATCTCACCCATACTGAGCTCTCACTCTCACCCATCCCGACATCTCACCTTGGCCACCCCGACATCTCACCCATCCCGACATCTCACCTTGGCCACCCCGACATCTCACCCATCCCGACATCTCACCCATCCCGACATCTCACCTGGGCCACCCCGACATCTCACCCTTCCTGACATCTCACCCATCCCGACATCTCACCTGGGCCACCCCGACATCTCACCCTTCCTGACATCTCACCCATCCCGACATCTCACCCATCCCGACATCTCACCTGGGCCACCCCGACATCTCACCCTTCCTGACATCTCACCCATCCCGACATCTCACCTGGGCCACCCCGACATCTCACCCATCCTGACATCTCACCCATCCCGACATCTCACCTGGGCCACCCCGACATCTCACCCTTCCTGACATCTCACCCATCCCGACATCTCACCCATCCCGACATCTCACCTTGACCACCCCGACATCTCACCCATCCCGACATCTCACCCATCCCAACATCTCACCTTGACCACCCCGACATCTCACCCATCCCGACATCTCACCCATACTGAGCTCTCACTCTCACCCATCCCGACATCTCACCTTGGCCACCCCAACATCTCACCCATCCCGACATCTCACCTTGGCCACCCCGACATCTCACCCATCCCGACATCTCACCTTGGCCACCCCGACATCTCACCCATCCTGACATCTCACCTTGGCCACCCCGACATCTCACCCATCCCGACATCTCACCAATCCCGGCATCTCACCTTGGCCACCCCGACATCTCACCCTTCCTGACATCTCACCTTGGCCACCCAGACATCTAACCCATCCCGACATCTCACCTTGACCACCCAGACATCTCACCCATCTCGACATCTCACCTTGACCACCCAGACATCTCACCCACCCCGTCATCTCACCCACCCCAACATCTCACCTTGACCACCCCGACATCTCATCTTGACCACCCCGACATCTTACCTTGACTAATCAGACATCTAACCCATCCCGACATCTCACCCATCCCGACATCTTACCTTGACCAATCAGACATCTCACCCACCCCGTCATCTCACCTTGACCACCCCATCATCTCACCCATCTCACCTTGACCACCCTGACATCTCACATCTCACCCACCCCAACATCCCACCCACCCTGTCATCTCACCCACCCTGTCATCTCACCACCCTACTGTCACTATGTCACCTATTGTATTGAAGGAATCTTTGTCTTGTAATAACCTCTTGGGAGGGTTTACTTTTTCCTAGTAAGACCTCACCCTGGGTGTGAAGTTTTACTCTTTCTCTAGTAAGACCTGGTACGAGGTTTTACTTTTTGCTAGTGAAACCTGATGAAGCAGATGTAATTGTGTTTCAAAAGTCAAATGTTCTAAGATCGAAGACAAGAAATGACACTTTTTCATTACGAAGGACGGAAATCAAACTGAACCTCACATATCGTGTTAAGTTTTGTAACCCACTGTTTTGCCCACTGGGGCAGGTGGTGATAGAACGTTTAATTTTAGATGCCATGACTTAAGTTTTAATTCTATGCTGCACGTGTTTCTCTCTCTCGCACACTTTGATTTGCACTTTATACCGCGACACACTTGTGTTTTTTTACAAGAAGATATCTCCTGGTTTTCTTTTTTTCTCTATTCTTTCTTGCATTTAGACGGTTTATAAGTGAGATGAAACACTCCTATTCGGTTATGGTCGAGGAAGTAAGACCTCGGCAATCGGGTATCGGCAATGTAAGAGTCGTGCTCTATCCTTCACATACACACCTCCTCCTCCCCGACCTGGGCGGACAGACTGGACTCTATCTGGTTGGACAACTCGTTGATGAGGAGCTTGTAGATCTTTACCAGCAGAGGGACCGTTGTCCATTCCTCGGGGTCTGAAACACCACAAAATAACCGGTGACTCTCCACCCAACACACAGCAGTCCTAGGAGGGCCTCATCCATTAGGGAAACCCTTTGTGACAGTTGGTAGCTCTGTTTGCAATATTACGCCTAAATGACGGTGGTCTGTAAATAGCAAGTCTAGTGATTGATACCATGAGCTTCGATCCACGCAATTGGGATACGATGACGTGCATCAACCAAGTCAGCAAGCCTGACCACGACAAGCATAGTTGCCTTTTAAGGCAAGCTGTGTTGATGAAGACCTATTCTACCCCGGATCTTCACTGGTCTGGTAGCTTTGTCTGTTAAAACCATAACTACACCCACCAGTCTCGGCCAGTATCGTCCACACCGCCGTGACTCACCCGAGGCGCTCTTGGAGCGTGTTCTGATGCCTCCGTTCTGCTGCATGATCTGCTCGCCTCGGACCGTGATGTTCTGTAAGCGGGGATCGTTGCTGGACACAGCGTGCTGCAGCAGTTTGCACAGAGCCACAGAGCTGCAGGGAATCACACAACATGTATTGTCTCTGACGCTCAGAGTGAGTGAGTGTTGTTTTACGCCGCTATATTCCAGCAATGTCACAGCAGGGACACCAGAAGTTGGCTTCACACATTGTACCTATATGGGGAATTGAACCCGGGTCTTCGGCGTAACGAGCGAACACTTTTACCACTAGGCTACCCCACTGCCCCCTGAGGCTTAGAAATAGCAACTCTCAGTTCTCAGTTGCAACTAAAACGGTCGCCAATTCGAACTTAATTTCAATTTGTTTACTGTCTAAAATTCAGAGGGAGCCAAATGACTACCTTGAAAATATCTAAAACTAAATTGTATTGTTTCATATTTGAAGAAACAAAAATAAGTAAAAGCTGATTGTGGAACATGTCTGCTAATAATTGTACTTGCGTATAATTCCCCCTAAAGTCAATAATGAACAGAAATACAGGTAAATGTTAATGTAATTAGTACTGTATTTCCGTTGACAATGCTCATTGGATAAGCAAGGATCAACCTAAATAATCTAGTAGCATAAATTGCATCACTGTTCAAGTCACAAATACAATGTGTGAAGCCCATTTCTGGTGTCCCCCGCCGTGGTATTGCTGGAATATTGCTAAAAGCGGCGTAAAACCATACTCACTCACTCAAGTCACAAATAACAAAAATTCAAGTACAGTTTCCACCAATATACAATTCCAAGACTAGTGCTATGACTGGTACATATAATAATAGTTATTTGATTTACGATAATTTCAAATGGTTTTGGCTACCTACAATATTGGCTTGACTTCTTGATTTTACGACTGGCTACTAGGAAAACAATACTTTTAGCAAAATGGTAAAACTTTGAACTTCGAGGCCTGGTTCTACTAACTCAGTGGAGACATGTAAGTGTCTCGTATCCTTGGAAGTAATTCGGACCTACAGTAAGAAGAAATGGCTTGCATGACAAGGATGCCATCTTGAGACAGTAAGACTATCAACTAACCTGACTTTCCTCTCATAGCTGCCATAAAACAGATGTTGTCTGGAGCACCACTCCGACATGACGAACTCCAGCGCTGGTCGGCCAGTAGGACTTGGGACACTGGTCAGGAAGTCCAGGACCGCCTCCATCTGCGTGTGGATCAGGTGGGCGAACACCATCACCAGACTCTGTGGTGGGAATGAAGGACATGGTTACAGCAGTCAACAGATTGACTCTACACACCTGCACAACACCGGGAGTCCCTACACACTTGACATGGGGAGTCTCTACACACCTGCACAACACCGGGAGTCTCTACACACTTGACATGGGGAGCATCTACACACCTGCACAACACCGGGAGTCTCTACACACTTGACATGGGGAGTCTCTACACACCTGCATGACACCAAGCTTCTACACACACCTGCATGACACGGAGCATCTACACACACCTGCACAACACCGGGAGTCTCTACACACTTGACATGGGGAGTCTCTACACACCTGCATGACACCAAGCATCTACACACACCTGCATGACACGGAGCATCTACACACCTGCACAACACCGGGAGTCTCTACACACTTGACATGGGGAGTCTCTACACACCTGCATGACACCAAGCATCTACACACACCTGCATGATGCCGAGCATCTCTACACACCTGTATGACACTGAGTCTCTACACACTTGACATGGGGAGTCTCTACACACCTGCATGACACCAAGCATCTACACACACCTGCATGATGCCGAGCATCTCTACATACCTGCTTTAAACAGAGTCTCTACACACCTGCATGACACCGAGCATCTACACACACCTGCATGATGCCGAGCATCTCTACACACCTGTATGACACTGAGTCTCTACACACTTGACATGGGGAGTCTCTACACACCTGCATGACACCAAGCGTCTACACACACCTGCATGATGCCGAGCATCTCTACACACCTGTATGACACTGAGTCTCTACACACTTGACATGGGGAGTCTCTACACACCTGCATGACACCAAGCGTCTACACACACCTGCATGATGCCGAGCATCTCTACATACCTGCTTTAAACAGTCTCTACACACCTGCATGACACCGAGCATCTACACACACCTGCATGATGCCGAGCATCTACACACACCTGCATGATGCCGAGCATCTCTACACACCTGCATGACACTGAGTCTCTACACACACCTGTATGACACTGAGTGTCTACACACCTGCATGACGCTGAGCATCTCTACACACCTGCATGACGCTGAGCATCTCTACACACCTGCATGACGCTGAGCATCATTACACACCTGCATGACAGAGAGCGTCTCTACACACCTGCATGACACTGAGGGTCTCTACACACCTGCATGACACTGAGGGTCTCTACACACCTGCATGACACTGAGGGTCTCTACACACCTGCATGACACTGAGGGTCTCTACACACCTGCATGACACTGAGGGTCTCTACACACCTGCATGACACTGAGGGTCTCTACACACCTGCATGACACTGAGGGTCTCTACACACCTGCATGTCACTGAGGGTCTCTACACACCTGCATGACACCTGCATGACACTGAGGGTCTCTACACACCTGCATGACACCTGCATGACACTGAGCGTCTCTACACACCTGCATGACGCTGAGCGTCTCCGCCTGCTGCATCTTGCTGAGGACGGCCCTCAGCATCAGGTCCAGGTTCTCCCCCAGCTGTGTCCCCACCTTGCTGATCACCACAGAAACAAGGCGGCCAACAAAGGCAGCAGTGTGCTCAGACGTCTTCGGATCAAGGAGTTTGGAAATCACTTGCACAATGTAGTACAAGCCATTCTTACCTGCAACAAAGACCAAGCATGCAATACTCCTCCCAACAAAAACAGATCGACGATGTATGACGATGTCTGTTGTCATTGTACATTTGTTACTGAATATCTAATCAGCAATATGCTTGCCAATGATGGTGGACTGTATATAATTGAGTCAGGGCCAGAGAAACCTTTAATACTTCTATACATGGGCCAGGTGAGCTGCGTCTCCCTACATATTTAGGTGAGCTAACACTCCTGACATGGGTACATAGTCAGGTGAGCTAACACTCCTGACATGGGTACATAGTCAGGTGAGCTAACACTCCTGACATGGGTACATAGTCAGGTGAGCTCACACTGCTGACATGGGTACATAGTCAGGTGAGCTAACACTCCTGACATGGGAACATAGGTAGGTGAGCTAACACTCCTGACATGGGTACATAGATAAGTGAACACTCCAGACATGGGTACATAGTCAGGTGAGCTAACACTCCTGACATGGGAACATAGTGAGGTGAGCTACTCTACTCACCCTGCTCATCCTGCCATGTTGTCACTTGGTCCAGTGCTTTCGATGAGTAGGCTCGAAGACACTCGCCTCCGCTCTGAACAGAAACAAATGTAAAAGTGGGTGAGTGAGTAAAATATGCTTTATGCCAAAATCAGCAAAGTTCCAGCAATGCCCTGTATAACTGTAAATCATCAGGTCCAGACCATCTGGGCTCTACCACAAACATGGCACACAAGGGACTCATTCCGGGCCAGAACTAGAAAACCAAAACCATATGAGTCCCAGACCACTGGGGGAAGGTATTAATCTGCACGAGCACTGCAGGACAGAGTCCACCCACCTGCATTGATGCGTTGTCGTCTGTCTTCAGGGTACACTCCACAGCGGCAGGGAAGGCGGTCATCAACACATCGGACACCAGCTCCTGACTTCCTCGCACCAGCGTCGTCAACATGTCCAGCGATACCTGCATAATCATCAACATCATCAACATCATCAGCCCCAGCTTCTACGTCAGCCGTCATGTCCAGTGATGCCTGCATCATACACAGTCTATCTCTGCACAACTGTGTGACAAACTAGACACCTGCTTCGTAAACAACATGGATTGCAACTTGCACATTTCGGTCGACTGCAGGATTTACAAAGTAGGTGTACCGTTAACTGGCCGTCAACAGATATTTTGCAAGTTTTTCATGTTTTTAATCAAGGTGCTCAAGTGATTTTATGCACTTCGTGAGATAAGACCTGTTTTATTACAATATAGATCTCGATTATCGATCAGATTGTCTGGACTGGGTGACGCCATTTTGTTTGAAGCATTTGCATGTGATATGAAAGGTGGAGTCTGATTGGTGAATAGGAGGGACATAGAAGGTACATAACTCTAGTAGTAGCCACTAGTGGCGCTACAATCGAGACTGGTATTCCAGCCTAGTTCGGCAAGGGTGGAAACTGAATTTTCATAGTCAGTTAACACCTTTGCCTCGGGAAGATGCACATATGGATGACCTGCGTCCCATGTCTTAGGTGAAATGGGGTTTAACATCGCGTCCAAGATTATTGCACTTATATAGAGACGTGCATGCACGTGTATGTGTGTGGCTGCTTGTACTAGTTCGGACTGATGCCGATTTATAGTGCTAGCACACTGAGATACCATGCCACAGTTTAACATTAATACTGACTCCGAGCCAACCAGTCCTCAGCCCCTTAACGCCGAGGGTCAGACAGGGTAACAACAAGTACCATCTTTGAACATCTTTGGGTATGACGCTGTTTGGGATCGAACCCCGGACTTTCCGCTCTCCGGGTGGACGCTCTACCATTAGACCACGGAGGCGGTCCTGTAGGGTCTTACCGTGGTGAGTCCGGGCATCACGGTGTCGGTGGCACTGCGGAGGATGCTGACGAGGGTCGGGACGAGGCGTTGCTCCAGAGCTGCAGAACATCCAGGGTTTTCTGCAAGCTCTTTGATCATGTCCTGCACCAGAGACACAATGAAGGGATCTGTAACAGACAGGTAACACAATGAACGCATCTGTAACAGACAGTTGACACAATGAACGCATCTGTAACAGACAGTTGACACAATGAACGCATCTGAAACAGACAGTGAACACAATGAACGCATCTGTAACAGACGGTTAACACAAAGAATGCATCTGTAACACAGTTAACAATGAACGCATCTGTAACAGACAGGTAACACAATGAACGCATCTGTAACAGAGAGGACATGTGAGGAATTGAACATGGGTGTGAAGAGCGAACACTTGAACCACTAGGCTACCCTCCGCCCGCAGTGTCTAGAAGGCTGGCTGTACCTGTGTTACAGAAATGGGGCGATTGGAGGCTCCCTTAAACGATTTGGCTTGCAACCTATCTACTTGCCCAGAGTGAGTGAGTATGGTTTTATGCCGCTTTTAGCAATATTCCAGCAATATCACGGCGGGGGACACCAGAAATGGGCTTCACACATTGTACCCATGTCGGGAATCGAACCCGGGCTTTCGGCATGACGAGCTTACGCTTTAACCACTAGGCTACCCGACCGCCCCCTACTTGCCCAGAGCGGACAGGATACTTATTGGAAAACGCCAATTTTTCGGCCTGCTAGACATTCAGATTTCTGGGTTAGCCTTTGCCTTTCAATTTGGGAATCAACACGTGATAGGAACTGCCATGTCTTCCAACAGTAGGTCTTTCAAGCTCAAGTATGTACAGAACTATTCTTACCTCCGGAGAACTTGAGGAACGTAGCAATGGCAAGGGGAGACAACTTGCTTTCTTGGGAAGCTGTGAACGCTTTGTCAACCTGCAACATTCAGGAGACGACCATAGATAAGATACAGTTCAACACCGCTCTTACATATCTCACTGCTCCAGATAAATTTTCATCCAATTCGTACAGCACTGGTCATTATCATAACTGACAAGTACCACACATATATTTTCAAACCAATAAGTAAATACACCGTTTGTACTTTGTAGAATAGACAAGTACTGGAATGATATTGCGCCATCATCATTCAAAGACCGTGTGTTGTACATTTGGACTTTGGTGCCAAACTAACGTAAATATAACGAGATGAACAACATAACAAGATGAGCGTGTTATTATTAGCTAACAACAATGCGGGATTTGGAGGAAAATCCATTTGCTGCTGACGCAAAATGAAGTATTCCCGTTTAAGCAAAAGGTAATCCCCGATATTCTAAACAGAAGTTTATCACTGTTTGGAGAACATTTTAGAAAATAAACAGATAAGAGTGTATTGTATCGTTTGCCCCTGTATTGGATACAGTTGCAATGTCTGTGTTTGACTACATTTTATCTGTAAAATACACCAATACGGCATCTATCTGGAGCCCTGTACATTGTACAGTGAACACACAGCTCTACATAGTACTACTGCATATCAGACCAGTTAACACTACAGTGATAGCATTCTGTGAGGCAAAGTGAGTGAGTGAGTGATTTGGGTTTAACTTTTAACCGTATTCCAGTTACATCGCGGTGTGTCAGCTTAATGTTGGAGGAAAGCCAGAAGTGATGCAGGTCTCGGATGATTATCACTTCTGTGAAACCCACGAGGACGGGTATGGTGCTGACAAACCTAGAAACATAATCATAGGTTTCTGGAGAGCCCAAGGAACTCAACTCTGCACAGCGAATCGCAGCGCCTCAGACGACTGGGCCACCCGTGCCCCCTGTGAGGGAAAGTTAAAAGGGGAAAATTATTGTACTTATATAGTGACGTGCATGTTGCGCTTAGCGACTTGCATACTGACTCTGAGCTGACCGGTCCTTGTTTTAGGTTTTAGCCCCTTAATGTTGATCGCCAGGCAGGGTAACAACAAGTACCCTGTTTTAACGTGTTTTGGTATGACAGACCTTTTCTCTCCAGGCGGATGCTCTACCACTAGACAACAGAGGTGGTCAAGTAAAATGGGAATAACATCATGTTCAAGTTTGCACTGGTATAGTGACATGTAAGCATGAGTGCATGTGTGGCTGCTGTCACAGTGCTGGTCCGCTGAGGTGCAAGGGAGATAACTCACCATAACAAAAGTCAAGGGAGACTACTCACCGCAACAACAACTGTTAACGTCTCCAGACAGAGGCCAAGGACTTCTGCAGAAAACTGTGTTGCTATGGTGACTAGTTCCGACACAATATTGGGTAGATATGGCACAAGGAGCTGGGTGTTGTTCGACGTCTTGAGATGGTCACAGAATCCGAACACAGCTCTGATGGCCGAGATTCGGATGCTGGGTGGCTGAGAGATGTTCAAACCTCCAACTGTCGCCTGCAGAAACCTGAAATATTTCAACTTGGTCAACAAAATATCCTTGGGCTAAACAAATAAGGTGAGCTAAGAAAATATCCTTGGGGTATACAAATAAGGTGTGCTAAGAAAATATCCTTGGGGTATACAAATAAGGTGAGCTAAGAAAATATCCTTGGGGTATACAAATAAGGTGAGCTAAGAAAATATCCTTGGGCTACACAAATAAGGTGAGCTAAGAAAATATCCTTGGTCTACACAAATAAGGTGAGCTAAGAAAATATCCTTGGGCTACACAAATAAGGTGAGCTAAGCAAATATTCTTGGGCTACACAAATAAGGTGAGCTAAAAAAATATCCTTGGGGTATATAAATAAGGTGTGCTAAGAAAATATCCTTCAGCTAAAATACAATAATAAGGTGAGCTAACAGCATTTCTTTTTGTTGGTGAGTATATAACAACAGATGGAAATATTACATATCTACTGTTTACACCAGAAATCTGGCTGGAACTGAACCTTGACATGAACTCTCTGAAGGAGTCGCACATTGTACCTGTGTGCAATATTAAATGCGACACATTATCACCTGGCAAGACTGGAAGAGACAGTCAGCTCAGGATCCAACAGTTACAGAAGTCGCCGACCATACAGCTCACTGAAACACTGTCTGTGTGCTGTGCTTACCTCTGTAAGAGTTCCTGGGGCATGGCTTCGGCATACCTGCTGCCCATCCACAAACACCGACCCACCAGGAACGGAGACGCTGAAAACATCGGAAGTATTGGTCATCATCATGTACTCAGGTCTCAGAGTGTAGAATTAGCAAGCTTCAAATCCATGTGCAAATTGTCTTGAGTGAAGTGCAAATGATTGAGTCTATTGTCTTGAGTGAAGTGCAAATGATTGAGTCTATTGTCTTGAGTGAAGTGCAAATGACTGAGTCTATTGTCTTGAGTGAAGTGCAAATGATTGAGTCTATTGTCTTGAGTGAAGTGCAAATGACTGAGTCTATTGTCTTGAGTGAAGTGCAAATGATTGAGTCTATTATCTTGAGTGAAGTGCAAATGATTGTGTGATCACACCACACTGACCCGGCCCACAACTCACCAGACTGATTGAGATCCTCTAATACAACAGACTGCAGGAAGCCGATGATGTCAAACTGGACTTTGCCCGACTGAATGGACTCCAGGACTAAGGCCTTGACGCTGCCAAGGGCCATCATGCTCGACTCGTGGGTCTTCCACCTGCAACATATTACACTATGTCATACACCTGTAACCATGGTAACACATATGCCACTCCTGTAACCATGGCAACACAACTGTAACACACCTGTACATCACAAAATGTGCATATTGTAACACACCTGTACATCACACATCTGTAAAACGGCTGTACATCACACAACTGTAACACACTTGTATATCACACACTTGTATATTACACACCTGTACATCACACACCTGTAACACACCTGTACATCACACACCTGTAACAGTTGTTACACACCTGTACATCACATACCTGTAAAACACCTGTACATCACACACCTGTAACACAACTTACATCACATCTGTTACACATCTCTACATCACACACTTGTAACATCTGTAACACCCCTGTACGTCACACCCCTGTAACATTACATCTGTAACACACCTGTACATCACACACCTGTAACACACCTGTAACACACCTTACATAACACACCCGTACATCACACAAATGTAACATTACATCTGTACTGCACCCTGTACATCACACCTGTAACAGTTCAAACACACCTGCTTGTCACACACCTATAACACACCTGTACTTCACACACCTGTAACACACCTGTACATCACACACCTGTACATCACACACCTATAACACACCCTAACACACCTGTACCTCACACACCTATAACACACCTGTACATCACACACCTATAACACACCTGTGCATCACACACCTGTAACACACCCTAACACACCTGGACATCACACACCTATAACACACCCTAACACACCTGTACATCACACACCTATAACACACCTGTACATCACACACCTGTAACACACCCTAACACACCTGTACATCACACACCTGTAACACACCCTAACACACCTGTACATCACACACCTATAACACACCTGTACATCACACACCTGTACATCACACACCTATAATACACCTGTACATCACACACCTGTAACACACCCTAACACACCTGTACATCACACACCTATAACACACCCTAACACACCTGTACATCACACACCTATAACACACCTGTACATCACACACCTTTAACACACCTGTACATCACACACCTTTAACACACCCTAACACACCTGTACATCACACACCTATAACACACCTGTACATCACACACCTGTAACACACCTGTACATCACACACCTGTAACACACCTGTACATCACATACCTGTACATCACATACCTGTACATCACACACCTGTAACACACCTGTACATCACACACCTGTACATCACACACCTGTACATCATACACCTGCACATCACACACCTATAACACACCTGTACATCACACCTATAACACACCACACACCTGTAACACACCTGTACATCACACACCTGCACATCACACACCTGTGACACACCTGTGACACACCTGTAACACACCTGTAACACACCTACCACATGGGATTCCCAGAGTTTTTCACGCCTTCCGCTTCCTGCATGAGTTTACCGACTGCATTACACAGGGCCGGACCACTGTCTGCCTGGAACTCACTGGACAGGGACTGGAACACAAGGGGAACACAATCACAGACACAGGGCCGGACCACTGTCAGCCTGGAACTCACTGGACAGGGACTGGAACACAAGGGGAACACAATCACAGACACAGGGCCGGACCACTGTCTGCCTGGAACTCACTGGACAGGGACTGGAACACAAGGGGAACACAATCACAGACACAGGGCCGGACCACTGTCAGCCTGGAACTCACTGGACAGGGACTGGAACACAAGGGGAACACAATCACAGACACAGGGCCGGACCACTGTCTGCCTGGAACTCACTGGACAGGGACTGGAACACAAGGGGAACACAATCACAGACACAGGGCCGGACCACTGTCTGCCTGGAACTCACTGGACAGGGACTGGAACACAAGGGGAACACAATCACAGACACAGGGCCGGACCACTGTCTGCCTGGAACTCACTGGACAGGGACTGGAACACAAGGGGAACACAATCACAGACACAGGGCCGGACCACTGTCTGACTGGAACTCACTGGACAGGGACTGGAACACAAGGGGAACACAATCACAGACACAGGGCCGGACCACTGTCAGCCTGGAACTCACTGGACAGGGACTGGAACACAAGGGGAACACAATCACAGACACAGGGCCGGACCACTGTCTGCCTGGAACTCACTGGACAGGGACTGGAACACAAGGGGAACACAGTCACAGACAGGTGGGGACAATCACAGACAGGTGGACACAATCACAGACAGGTGACACAATCACAGACAGGTGGGGACAATCACAGACAGGTGACACAATCACAGACAGGGGAACACAATCACAGACAGAGGAACACGATCACAGACAGAGGAACACAATCACAGACAGAGGAACACAATCACAGACAGAAGAACACAATCACAGACAGAGGAACACAATCACAGACAGGGGAACACGATCACAGACAGGGGAACACAATCACAGACAGAGGAACACAATCACAGACAGAGGAACACAATCACAGACAGAGGAACACAATCTCAGACAGAGGAACACGATCACATACAGAGGAACACAATCACAGACAGAGTAACACAATCACAGACAGAGGAAAACGATCACAGACAGGGGAACACAATCACAGACAGAGGAAAACGATCACAGACAGGGGAACACAATCACAGACAGAGGAACACAATCACAGACAGAGGAACACAATCACAGACAGAGGAACACAATCACAGACAGAGGAAAACGATCACAGACAGGGGAACACGATCACAGACAGAGGAACACAATCACAGACAGAGGAACACAATCACAGACGGGAACACAATCACAGACAGAGGAACACGATCACAGACAGGGGAACACAATCACAGACAGAGGAACACAATCACAGACAGAGGAACACAATCACAGACAGGGGAACACGATCACAGACAGAGGAACACAATCACAGACAGAGGAACACAATCACAGACAGAGGACCACAATCACAGACAGAGGAACACAATCACAGACAGGGGAACACAATCACAGACAGGTGACACAATCACAGACAGAGGAACACAATCACAGACAGGGGAACACAATCACAGACAGAGGAACACAATCACAGACAGAGGAACACGATCACATACAGAGGAACACAATCACAGACAGAGGAACACAATATCAGACAGGGGAATACAATCACAGACAGAGGAACACAATCACAGACAGAGGAACACAATCACAGACAGAGGAACACAATCACAAACAGAGGAACACAAGATCAGACAGGGGAACACAATCACAGACAGAGGAACACAATCACAGACAGAGGAACACAATCACAGACAGAGGAACACAATCACAGACAGGGGAACACGATCACAGACAGAGGAACACAATCACAGACAGAGGAACACAATCACAGACAGGTGGGGAAAATCTGTTTGTTGTTGTTTAACACCGCACTCAGCAATATTCCAGCTTTATGAAAGCAGTCTGTAAATAATGGAGTCTGGACCAGACAATCCAGTGACTGACATCTCAGTGCATCTCACCAGCAGCAGATCCTGGGCCGAGATCCTCACAGAGTAGGAGAAGCTGTCGTCATCCTCATCCTCCACAAACTGGTCTGGGTTGTTGCTCCAGAGTCGGATCTGGAAAAGGTCAGAGGTCAACATCTAGAATGGCTTATCCTCCACAAAGTAAAGTCAAATCAAAGTCAAAAATGCATTTTTGGGGGTAAAAATATAATTAATACTTATACTAACTCATCTCACTGCCAAAAGGTACAGGAAACTTCCTGGACTGCGTTCCCGGAAAACAGAGAAAACATCTCACCTAAACGCACCGACACTCGCTATGAAACATGAGCAGGTTCATGTCCGTGGAGAATGCATGAATTGTCAAATTCATTGTTTGATAAGCATTACTTAGAAGTTGACAGATGACAAAGTAGACCCAATTTAAGGATAACAACTTCTTTATTTATTATAAAGGCGACGTTTCGGTATAGATCCTTATACCGTTGTCATGCAAAAAAAGAAGTTGTTATCCTTCAATTGTGTCTACTTTGTAAGGACATTCATTGTACCACCAGACACATCCTGTCCCCTCTTGCTAAGCGTTATATAAGAGGTTGTTGGCCAGATCGGATCGTGAAACATGGTAATAGCCGTGGACCACCCATGAATGGTGGAGCCTGGTAACCAGTCACCCAGACTGTAGAAACTTCAAACATATCCGCACAGAAGTGACCTGTGAACCCTGAAAGGTACACCAGCATAACAGGACCATCGATCCTCGTCCTAAACATTTGTAGAACTGCTGCTGAAACACCTTGATGTCGCAATCAAGAACAGAGAGTGGCCATTCCATTGATCGAATCCGAGGATTCGGGTGAACAAAACGTCAGCCTTTTATCGGTGCATCGTGAGTTGTCATGCACCGATACAATACACTATACATTTTTTTCTGCATTGACACAAGACGATACACTTGATAAAATACATTACTGCTCGCGTAATGACCACCTGGGACTTCTTGTCAGTCAAAAACCACAAAATGTGTTGTATTTAAGTTCACTACGAATAAGAGCCACAACGAACATGTGTCTACAGCTACCTTTCCTTTTGAACCTGCTCTGAAACGTTTGTATTCAAGATGTTTTCACACGATTTGACGTAAATATGCATACGTATTGGACAGTGACTTTTGTATCGTAATGCATATCATATTGTGACCTTGCTGTACTGTTTCAACCCTAGTAAGCAACTGGTTGAGTACCCTCGGAAATGAGGGTCTCAGAGGGAAACGTCCATAAGGTCATCCGTGTCTCCAAGAGCAGAACATGGAAATCTGGAGTGAGTGAGTTAGGGAGTTGAGTTTAACGTCGCTTTTAACAGTATTCCAGTTATATCATGGCGTGTCAGCTTAATTTAGGAGGAAAGCCCGAAGTGATGCAGGTCTCAGACGTTTACCACTTCGGTGAACAATGGTGAAACCCACGAGCACGGGTATCATGCTGACAAACCTAGAAACATAATCGGGGCGATCTTGGATTCAAACTCACAATCATAGGTTTCAACTCTGGAGAGGCAACTCTGCACAGCGAATCGTGGCGCCTTAAGACGACTGGGCCACCCGTGCCCCCTGGAAATCTGGAAAATTTACCTCGAAGAGATCCACCTGAAATGGACTGTACCCAACTGAGTTGTTTGAGATCGCTACCATGTGATCACTGGTGTGTTGTTGAATGGGATGCATTCACAGCCGTGCAGAAAAAACCACGTTCACCAAAGCTGCCATATTCCCTGGGCACAAGATCTGTACTGCTAGCACAAGGGAAACAGGAGAACGAAATCCTTAAGAGATGTGGCACATGGGTCGACAGAAATACAATCCCTCCCAGATCGGGAACCCTGACCCCAAGTAAACCAAATTCTGGTGACGGATGTAAGTCTGATTTCATGAAGTTGATGATCCAACCGCCTTGAGTATAATAGACCGGCTTGCTCAAGTCGTCCAGGTAAGGGTGGCATGGCACACCACTTTAATCAAAACCTCAGGGCTGGAAACTCTGGAGGCAAGCTGTCGAACCGCAGTCACCCATCCAAGGACTCTCCGCGACCAACATTGCTTAACTTCACACGATTTGTGTCCTGAGCGCTGTGCACAGGACCACGTGCCACCACCTTCAGTTGTGCTCCGAAAGCAGAATGGGTTGGTACTATCCTATCTGGAAGGTTGTTCCACTTCATGGCAACTGCTACCTGGGCACTAGGTAGTATGTGGAACATCACCTGTTTCTTCCTGACATTGAGGTACGAGCTGATCAATGGCTACTCACCTGGTCCTGTGTCATCTGCATGTAGATGATCACGTAGTACAGAATCTGATCAATGGTCTTCTTCACTGTGCTGCGGAACTTAGACGAATCGATGAGAGCGTGAACAAACTCGAACACGCTGTACACCAGGTTTTCAAACCCCAAGATGTCGCCTGCAAGAAAAAGACAAATTGAGGCAAGAAATGTTACTTAAAGAGAAACATGGCAGTTTGACTTACATCATACTTCACCATACAGACAGTTTCACATGTCAGTCAACATCACCCTACATTCACACAGTATTGCCACATTACTCAAAGCTACGGCATTGAAAGATAATGAGTAACATAAGGAAGCAACACTCCACGCTGTAGGGGAATCACCCCAGTGGTCAGTCAACATCACCATACATTCACACAGTATTGTCACATTACTCAAAGCTACGGCATTGAAAGATAATGATTAACATAAGGAAGCAACACTCCACGCTGTAGGGGAATCACCCCAGTAGTCAGTCAACATCACCATACATTCACACAGTATTGTCACATTACTCAAAGCTACGGCATTGAAAGATAATGATTAACATAAGGAAGCAACACTCCACGCTGTAGGGGAATCACCCCAGTAGTCGGTCAACATCACCATACATTCACACAGTATTGCCATATTACTCAAAGCTACGGCATTGAAAGATAATGAGTAACATAAGGAAGCAACACTCCACGCTGTAGGGGAATCACCCCAGTGGTCAGTCACATACTGGAGCCACTCTTCAACAAATGCAGGTTGCTGGAAGCCTGTCCTCGACACATCAGCTCACAGACGAACTCACCATCCGAATCTACCGGGTCCTCTGCCTCCTCCTGATTGTTGACAACTGTTCTCACATAGCTGATCAAGGTCAAGGACATTCACAGAAATACGTAATATTTTCACATCCTGATCAAGGTCAATTACAGCAGTAATCAAACAATATTTATCATTGTGTATAATTCTAAGAATACTACCTCTATTACATCATTGCCATAAATACCTGTTTGGGTATCAATTACACTATGATATTTTATCTAAATTTTTAACAGACGTCCTCTTCACTGCCAACATATCTGACAGTTGTGAGGGTAATGAAGGCGGGAAAACATCACAAGATGCAGATTATTGGAGAGGTTGGACAGACCCATTCCTTATGTACAAGGTCATTTACAAACAAACAGCAGTGCTATTGTGAGCTGATCATCATCAAGGAAATAGCAACTCAGCAAGTTTTACACCGCTACAGTCAGGATACAAGTCGGCACTGAGCGTGAAGATGTCCCACACAGTCGGCAGGACCTCCTGAATCCATTGCAGCATCGTCTTGGGGAAACTCTTCACCAGTGTTGTGATGCTCTGTAACAAACATGGGGAATCAGCACTGTATCTGGGGGTCAAGTACTGTATCTGGGGGTCAAGTACTGTATCTGGGGGCCAGGTGCTGTATCTGGGGGTCAAGTACTGTATCTGGGGGCCAGGTGCTGTATCTGGGGGTCAAGTACTGTATCTGGGGGCCAGGTACTGTATCTGGGGGTCAAGTACTGTATCTGGGGGTCAGGTACTGTATCTGGGGGTCAAGTACTGTATCTGGGGGCCAGGTACTGTATCTGGGGGTCAGGTACTGTATCTGGGGGCCAGGTACTGTATCTGGGGGTCAAGTACTGTATCTGGGGGCCAGGTGCTGTATCTGGGGGTCAAGTACTGTATCTGGGGGCCAGGTACTGTATCTGGGGGTCAAGTACTGTATCTGGGGGCCAGGTACTGTATCTGGGGGTCAGCTACTATATCTTGGGGTCAAGTACTGTATCTGGGGGTCAGGTACTGTACCTGGGGGTCAGGTGCTGTATCTGGGGGTCAGGTACTATATCTGGGGGTCAAGTACTGTATCTGGGGGCCAGGTACTATATCTGGGGGTCAGGTACTGTATCTGGGGGTCAGGTACTGTATCTGGGGGGCAAGTACTGTATCTGGGGGTCAGGTACTGTACCTGGGGGTCAGGTGCTGTATCTGGGGGTCAAGTACTGTATCTGGGGGTCAGGTACTGTACCTGGGGGTCAGGTGCTGTATCTGGGGGTTAGGTACTGTATCTGGGGGTCAGGTACTGTATCTGGGGGTCAGGTACTGTATCTGGGGGTCAGGTACTGTATCTGGGGGTCAGGTACTGTATCTGTGGGTCAGGTACTGTATCTGGGGGTCAGGTACTGTATCTGGGGGTCAGGTACTGTATCTGGGGGTCAGGTACAGTATCTGGGGGTCAGGTACAGTATCTGGGGGTCAAGTACTGTATCTTGGTGCAAGGTACTGTATCTGGGGGTCAAGTACTGTATCTGGGGGTCAGGTACTGTATCTGGGGGCCAAGTACTGTATCTGGGGGCCAAGTACTGTATCTGGGGGCCAAGTACTGTATCTGGGGGCCAAGTACTGTATCTGGGGGTCAAGTACTGTATCTGGGGGTCAGGTACTGTATCTGAGGGTCAAGTACTGTATCTGGGGGTCAAGTACTGTATCTGGGGGTCAGGTACTGTATCTGGGGGTCAGGTACTGTATCTGGGGGTCAAGTACTGTACCTGGGGGTCAAGTTCTGTATCTGGGGTTCAAGTACTGTATCTAGGGGTCAGGTACTGTATCTGGGGGTCAGGTACTGTATCTGGGGGTCAGGTACTGCATCTGGGGTCAAGTACTGTATCTGGGGGTCAAGTACTGTATCTTGGTGCCAGGTACTGTATCTGGGGGTCAGGTACTGCATCTGGGGTCAAGTACTGTATCTTGGTGCCAGGTACTGTATCTGGGGGTCAGGTACTGTATCTGGGGGTCAAGTACTGTATCTCTGGGTCAAGTACTGTATCTGGGGGGGCAAGAACTGTATCTGGGGGCCAAGTACTGTATCTGGGGGTCAAGTACTGTATCTGGGGGTCAAGTACTGTATCTGGGGGTCAGGTACTGTATCTGGGGGGCAAGTACTGTATCTGGGGGGCATGTACTGTATCTGGGGGTCAAGTACTGTATCTGGGGGTTAAGTACTGTATCTAGGGGTCAAGTACTGTATCTGGGGGTCAAGTTCTTTATCTGGGGGTCAAGTACTGTATATGGGGGTCAGGTACTGTATCTGGGGGTCAAGTACTGTATCTGGGGGTCAAGTACTGTATCTGGGGGTCAGGTACTGTATCTGGGGGTCAAGTACTGTATCTGGGGGTCAAGTACTGTATCTGGGGGTCAAGTACTGTATCTGGGGGTCAAGTACTGTATCTGGGGGTCAAGTACTGTATCTGGGGGTCAAGTACTGTATCTGGGGGTCAGGTACTGTATCTGGGGGTCAAGTACTTTATCTTTGGGTCAAGTACTGTATCTGGGGGTCAAGTACTGTATCTCTGGGTCAAGTACTGTATCTGGGAGCCAAGTACTGTATCTGGGGGGCAAGTGCTGTATCTGGGGGCCAAGTACTTTATCTGGGGGTCAAGTACTGTATATGGGGGTCAGGTACTGTATCTGGGGGTCAAGTACTGTATCTGGGGGTCAAGTACTTTATCTGGCGGTCAAGTACTGTATCTGGGGGTCAAGTACTGTATCTCTGGGTCAAGTACTGTATCTGGGAGCCAAGTACTGTATCTGGGGGGCAAGTGCTGTATCTGGGGGCCAAGTTCTTTAGCTGGGGGTCAAGTACTGTATCTGGGGGTCAGGTACTGTATCTGGGGGTCAAGTACTGTATCTGGGGGTCAAGTACTTTATCTGGCGGTCAAGTACTGTATCTGGGGGTCAAGTACTGTATCTGGGGGCCAAGTTCTTTATCTGGGGGTCAGGTACTGTATCTGGGGGTCAAGTACTGTATCTGGGGGTCAAGTACTTTATCTGGCGGTCGAGTACTGTATCTGGGGGGCAAGTGCTGTATCTGGGGGCCAAGTTCTTTATCTGGGGGTCAAGTACTGTATCTGGGGGGCAAGTGCTGTATCTGGGAGCCAAGTTCTTTATCTGGGGGCCAAGTACTGTATCTGGGGGTCAAGTACTGTATCAGGGGGCCAAGTTCTTTATCTGGGGGTCAGGTACTGTATCTGGGGGTCAAGTACTGTATCTGGGGGTCAAGTACTTTATCTGGCGGTCGAGTACTGTATCTGGGGGGCAAGTGCTGTATCTGGGGGCCAAGTTCTTTATCTGGGGGTCAAGTACTGTATCTGGGGGGCAAGTGCTGTATCTGGGAGCCAAGTTCTTTATCTGGGGGCCAAGTACTGTATCTGGGGGTCAAGTACTGTATCAGGGGGCCAAGTACTGGGGGGTCAAGTACAACACCTGACCAGTCACATGATATGCACCTCTTCAGTCAAGCCCCTGCTCTCACCTTGACGATCTCCATCTTGAGCCCGCTGTCTGACATCTCCCCGTCCGGCGTCCGCAGCGCCATGACCAGCGCTTGCACAAACTGGGGCAGGATGGGGAACAACAGTTGCTTGGCAACACCCTGGAGACAAGGGAGATAACAAGTAACACACAAACAGGAAATGAATTGAACCCTGCTTTCAAAAATATTTTAATTATATTATAGTATGGTGCGAACAAACCATAAAACGTAGATTCCAGGCACGCCTAAGGGATGCAACTCTGTCCCCATACCCAAATGTACTGAATCAAAACAGACTGTACACTACAAACAAGGGCCTCACCTTCTGCAGTTCGTTCATGGCTGCTATCATGCCTGCACAAATATTGAAGATATGAACTGCTCGACCTCGTGTTCTGATCCCAAATTTCTGAAATATACAAAGTTGAACTACTTTATTGATTATTTATATTTCTTGGTAATCCTGGTCGTTAGAATGTCATGAAATAAAATTATCAATCATCCTAAATTATCAATCAACAGCAAACAGTGGGTCAGTGGGTCAGTGGGTCAATGGGTCAGGAATAAATGTTAATACACGGCACAGATCAGCAATATGTCAGCCATGGCACATTGTAAATAATGAGGCGAGTTGAAATGGGGTCTAAATTCACGTTCAAGTGAGTGAGTAAGTGAGCATGATTTTATGCCGCTTTTAGCAATATTCCAGCAATATTACGGCGGGGGACACCAGAAATGGGCTTCACACATTGTACCCATGAGGGGAATCGAACCCGGGTCTTCGGCGTGACGAGCGAACGCTTACACCACTAGGCTACCCCGCTGCCACTCACGTTCAGGGTTGTTGCACTTATATATAGTGATGTGCATACACGTGTGTGTGGCTGCTTGTACTAGTCTGGACTGATGACGGTTATATAGTGCTAGCCCACTGAGATACCATGCCGCAGTTTAACATGAATACCCCACTCAGACACAGTATGCCGACTCCGAGCCGACCAGCCCTTGTTTTAGTCTCTTTATGCCAAACATCAGTCAGGATAACAACAAGTACCATCTGTTAAAGTCTTTTGGTATGACATGGCCAGGAATCAAACCACTGACCTTCCGCTCTCCAGGCTAACGCTCTACCACGAGACCAAGCAGGCGGTCTGTGAATAATGAAGTCTGACAAGTGAACTAGGGCTGACAGTAAACAGAGAACCAACCTGAGCTTCGAGGAAGATCTTGTACATCTCCGGCAAGATAATGGGGGCAACATGACTCATCTGGGTGTCCGTCACGTCCTGGCAAAACTCTACAATCAGTTAAACAACGTCACATGCATAACAAGGGAAAACACAGATGGAACAAGCTCAAGAATAATGGACATTGTAGAAAACCAAAATACTGCACATTTTACAATAAACTGTATCTTTATAAGATATCTTGAGATATCTCTTGTATCTTTTCCTTCTTTCGTTTTCTAGTTTCACATACAACATCGTTCATAGTTCGCGATGCACACAGGATTATAGTGTGACCCATTTGTTCAGGTGGTAACCATGCTGATGCTGGGGTGTGTTCGGGTGAAATGTTTTTTTTCAGAAGCTGGAAACTTTGTTCAAGCACATTTTCACATAGGATTGAAAGAAAAAAGGAAGAAATGCATAGTGTGAGACAGGATAAGTTTCAAAATTATATTCTACCTGGGAGTCACACCCCTCAAGGGGCAAATCCACCCTTCTACTTGTGGGTCACATCCCTCTACCTGGGAGCCACACCCACCTACCTGTGAGCCACACCCATTTACTTTTGAGCCACACCCACCTATCTATGAGCCACACCCATCTATCTGTGAGCTACACCCCTCCCCTCTTTTGAACCACACCCACCTAACTGTGGGCCACACCCATCTACCAGCGAGCCACACCAACCTGTGAGCCACACCCCTCTACATTGGGAGCCATGCCCATCTACCTGGGAGCCACACCCATCTACCAGGGAGCCACACCACTCTACATTGGGAACCATGCCCATCTACCTGGGAGCCCACACCCATCTACCAGGGAGCCACATCCCTCTACATTGGGAACCATGCCCATCTACCTGGGAGCCACACCCATCTACCAGGGAGCCACACCACTCTACATTGGGAGCCATGCCCATCTACCTGGGAGCCCACACCCATCTACCAGGGAGCCACATCCCTCTACATTGGGAACCATGCCCATCTACCAGGGAGCCACACCCCTCTACATTGGGAACCATGCCCATCTACCTGGGAGCCACACCCATCTACCTGTGAGCCACACCCCTCCCCACCTGTGGGTCACACATCCCTACCTGTGAGAACTCTCATTGCCCCATGGACGGCGTTGGTGTCTCCACTGGTCAGGGCTTGCATGAGGACCTGGAACAGCTGTGGCCATGCTTCCGGCCAGTCCCAGTGGGCGATGGCCGATATAGCGTAGGCGATGCTGGTCCGAACTTTACTGATGGACTCCTGTAGGCCTGGTGGCAGCAGCTCACGGATCTTCTGCTTCGCCTGGGATAAAAAACACATTTCTCATGAAAAGATTGTGCAGCTATATAAATAGTAGCGCAGCCTATCGATATTGATCAATTGTCAATAAATATCCAAGAAGTAACTTTCAGCAAATAAACAAAAAGTATGTCATCATCAGGGATTATCCTGGAAATTTTACCTATGAGAGAAAATCTCCCCTGGTCCAAAAGCAATGAGATTTTTTGGCGTGTGATGAGATTTTGCTATATTTCATGAGATATTTCATATTCACACAGTGTAGAAACTGTATTTGATTTTTGGTACTTGTGACTCAAATAATGTTGCAAGTAATATTACTAGATTATATAGATATATCCTATTTTCGAACATTAATTATTCCACTGCGAATACATGTAGATTCTATTTAAAAATATTATCATTCATATTAACAAAAAATTACATTCAACTTACACTTCTGTTCTACTTAAGAATAAATTACACTAATATTTATGTATTTCTGTTCATTGTTGACTTGATGGGGAATTATTCGCGAGGACAATTATAGATCGTTTAGGAGGCATGTTTACCACCATCAGCTGTTCATGTCATTGGCATGCAGGAGACAACAATCTGCAATTATCAAATTTCGACAATGTGTGTTTAGATAGTAATTCAATATATTTAGAGTGATGACATGAAATAGTGACTGTTGAATGGTATTGCAGTTTGTTGGCAAAAAATATATTATTTACATTGCAGTGCTTTCATCAATTTCGCCGTCTTATTTCCGTCTGAAGTGTGTACCATATCAGAGGCCTGGTCTCTGATCGTATAAAATGGAATCTTATCAATATGCACTTTTCAATTAATTAATCAATTAATCAGTTAATTATACAACGACTATTGCTCCAGGTTCACCCTCTTTTTTAATTAGCAACAATTAAGTCATTTATTTCACACAGAAGACGGCGTGTTTGTCATGTGCAGCAGCCAGAAAATGTTTACGAGTAACCGGAAGTTGAAAAGACTGTTGACATTAACAATGTTTAAGAGTTACATTTGAATGATTAAGTCACAGTTTTCAATTTTTATGGACAAATTTGGAAGCAAACGTGGGCAACTAGAAATAGTTCAAAATTTGTAATTCACGCACGGTGGCCATTCTTGCACGAGGGTAAGTTCATGAAAGCTCTTCCACTGGTGCCGTCACTGGCTAGACGAATCACATCTAAATTACGATCGTTTCTGATCTGCAAGTTGTAGATTATTATGGAGAAAGAGTTGTATTTATATTCATTTAGTTTTTGTTTTGCTGTCATTCCAAAATCGAAATTTGCTCGTGTTTTGAAACTTTACCCGTGATTGCCTTTTTCTCTCTTGATTTCTGCACGGACGCACATACATGTAGTTCAACGTCTTTGATTTCTGCTAGGATTTAAGTCTTAAAAAAATATTTTTAATGACTTGGATTTGTAGATCACGGAATAACATTTTTGTGCGCTAACAAAGTGTTTAGTTTGTAAAAACAAACACTTGTTTGCCAATCGGGGATAAAAAAATGTTGCGCACTCCGCCATTGTCAGCTGATGCAAAGCTCCATGCAGTGATATAGGAATCGGTTATGCACAGTATTAAGAGATACAAATGTAGCATGCAATGTTGCGAGTATGCAAATCGCTGTTTCGATTGACAACGTTTGACTATTGAATAAACTAGCGTGTAAGTTTTGTAGTGACATTTTTAGGTACCGTAGATAAATTTATTCAACCAATACGACATTTTAGATTTTTGTTGGTGAAAATGAGAGTGTTAATGCAGATAAAACTATTGAAAGCTCTTCGCGATTTTCAATCGCGCTGATTGACTGTTGATGCGATATCTACGACGACAATGCGAGAATATCGCGGAATCGCGGGCTAAGTCAATCCCTGCATCATATCCCAATTGCGTGCATCGATGTTCATGATGTTAATCACTGGATTGTCTGGTCCAGACTCGATTATTTATTCGATCATATAGCGGGACTATTGCTGAGTGCGGCTTTAAACAAATAAACAAAAAAATTGTTGATTAGTAAATAACTGACCATGAATTAGTGTACATCAAATATTGTAATTCACTTTAACCACCAACACCCGTCCATAAGGTTTTCACATTTGTGTTGGCTTGCAAGCACTGAGTATACAGAACAGGTATACCTGCAAATGTAGATTACCGGTAGAAAATGTTTGTTTGTTATTTAACCTCTTACGACAAGCATAGTCACTTTTAACGGCAAGCATGGGTTGCTGAAGACCTATTCTACCCCGGATCTTCACGGGTCTCATCTGATGGTAGATGAGGTGAGGGTGAGGTGAAATTGGGTTTAACGTCGCGTCGAAGATTATTGCACTTATATAGCGACGTGCATGCACGTGTATGTGTGTGTGTGGCTGCTTGTACTAGTCCGGACTGATGCCGATTTATAGTGCTAGCTCACTGAGATACCATGCCGCAGTTTAACATGTATACCCCACTCAGACACAGTATACTGACTCCGAGCCGACCAGTCCTTGTTTTAGCCCCTTAATGTCGAGCGCCAGACAGGGTAACAACAAGTACAATCTTTTAACGTCTTTTTGTATGACGCGGCCCGGGATCGAACCCTGGACCTTCCGCTCTCCGGGCGGACGCTCTACCACAAGACCACAGAGGCGGTCGGTAGATGACCAGATGGTGGAGACAGGAATACATACATACACTTGAAATGCAAGTGTCAATGTCACCCTGGGCAAGTAGCTTAGTTCAAATGTACCTCTGTTCACCCAGCAGGGAATGGCTACTCAAAAAGTGAGGTGAATGTAAAAACCTTCTAGCCCCATTAGGCTACTACTACTACTACTACTACTACTACTACTACTACTACTTATAATAACAATGACTAACAGATTACTACTACTACTCATAATGAGAATAACTAACCGGTTCTACTACTACTACTTATAATAACAATGACTAACCGATTACTACTACTACTCATAATGATAATAACTAACCGGTTCTGTTGTTTCTGGTGCTCGGAACTTGTCCGAGTGCTGTGACCAATGGGCCTCCACATACTGTTTGAGCAGGATTGAAGCAAGCTGTCGAATTGCAAGAGGCCCATTGCCATCAATAGTGATCTCAGCCAAGAAAACACCAAACTCTGAAATAAAAACGATCACACTATTGACAAGCCAACCAGAACAGATGCCATTTGCCATTAAAACAATTATTTAAAAAAACTCTTATAACAGCCATGCTGCAGAAATACGAACATGTGTCTTTGCAATGGCTCTCCTGTGTTTGTTTGTATGTTGTTTAACGCCACACTCAGCAATCTTCCAGCTATACAACGGCGGTCTGTAAATATTCAAGTCTGGACCAGACAATTCAGTGATTGATATCATGAACATCGATCCACGCAACTAGGGTATGCAGACATGCATCAACCAATTGGGGGCCTCATAGACAGCAAAGGGGGAATCCCCTTGAATTCTCACATTTGATTGGATGATGCTTACTATAACTTTTCACCATGTCAAATCCTTCTGCATGTGTAAGTGTGTATGTACAATTTTGCAGTCTAGTATACAGCAAATATGTGTACGTATTATATTTGGAACAATGAAGTTAAGTTTATATATTCAAAACAGCTCAACCCTTTTTCCTCAGACAAACTGCATATGATACAACAAGTACTTCTCCCTTCTTGTCATACCTGTTTCATGGTAAATCCCTACACCTGAGTATTTGTCGTCATTCACTTGTTGCTCAGTTAATGTTTTGGATGTTTTATTACATTAGTGGTAGAACCACTCACATTACCTGACAGACTGTGCAAAGTAACTCAATCACATTCACCCCTTGATGCCTCTGAGAGTGTCATTGATATATAGCAATCCGTGGTTCGCATTTGGCATTTCTCGTGTCTGGGGTAATTATTCAATCTAAGATTGGGTTATAAATCCAGGTATGATGTGGCAAATGTATTACATGTTATGGGGAGTAGTGTACTTTACCGGGCGCACTTTTTCAGATCCAATTAGCGCTGTGGGGGCTCGAACCACTTTGCCGGCTAACCGGCTTGGCTAATTAATGCGTTTTTTAGCTGATGCTCTACCACTGGACCACGAGCGCTATCACATGTAATCAGTGCTCGTTTAACGGGTCATTAAAACCCCATTAACACACACGTGTCATTCAGAAAACAATGAATTGTGCATGCGTGTGATGTCACAGTCCGTTCTCCCGTTAATCTTTTCTCGAAGCCACACCCACAATGGTTTATATCAACATGACCGACCAATCGGATTAACCGAATTAATGCTTGAAGAGGTAAGATTTTAAGGCTAGCCCCATCTTCCCGAGGCAAGAGAGTTAACTGACTTTAAAAGTCCAGTTTCCACCCTTGCCGAACTAGGCTAGAATTCCTGGGCTCGATCGTAGCGCCACCAGTGGCTATTACGAGTTATGTCCTTTCTATGCCTCTCCTATTGACCAATCAGATTCAACCTCTCGTCTCACTTGCATTTGTTTCAAACAAAACGGTGGCTCCCAGTCAAGAATATCTGATCGATAATCAAGATCTATATTGTGATAAAACGAGTCTTACATCGCGAAGTGCATCAAATCACATGAGCACCTTGATTCAAAACATGAAAAGATTTAGAAAAGATCTGTTGACAACGGGTTAGCGGTGCACATGCTTTGCAAATCCTGCAGTCGACCGAAATCTGCATGACACTCTACAAACCGGATTTTGATTTCTGTGTGCGATTTTGATTGGACTATGCATAGACTCGTTAGTCCAGCCAAAATGTAACTCCATAATACCAGCCTAGTTCGGCAAGGGTGGAAACTGGACTTTTATAGTCAGTTAACTCACTTGCCTCGGGAAGATGGGCTAACCCTTGCCCAAAAACGGGTCTTGGATCGTAAAGATGTGTAAGTTTCCCTTAGACCAAAAACGGGTGTTGGATCATGAAGACGTGTAAGTTTCCCTAAGACCGAAAACGAGTGTTTGATCGTGAAGACGTGTAAGTTTCCCTTAGACCGAAAACGGGTGTTGGATCGTGAAGACATGACAGACCATTCGGATTAACCGGATTAACGCTTGAAAAGTTAAGAATTTATAGTTAACCCTTGTCCAAAGCAAGCTAAACCGTAAGACCAAAAACGGGTGTTGGATCGTAAAGACGTGTAAATTTCCCTAAGACTGAAAATGGGTGTTGGATCTTAAAGACATGTAAGTTCCCCTTAGACTGAAAACGGGTTTTGATCGTGAAGACGTGTAAGTTTCACTAAGACCGAAAACGGGTGTTGGATCCTGAAGCGAGCGTCACGTGGGGCACGGTCAGATGAGTTCCAAAAAGAAGCATCAATCAAAGGATTAACCCATAGTTTGTTGATTGATTAATGACTGTTATCTTGCACATATGATCAATCTAAAGTAACTGTTTACATGAGGAGGTTTATTAGCAGATGGAATATCGGGGCATGAAGTGTCTATGTAACACTTTTCAGGCGACTATGCTTGTCGTAAAACGCGACTAACGGGATTGGGTGGTAAGGCTCGCTGACTTGGTTGATACATGTCATCGATCCCAATTGCGTGGATCGATGATCATGATATTAATCACTGGATTGTCTGTTCCAGACTCGATTATTTACAGACCGCCGTCATATAGCTGGAATATTGCTGAGTGCGGCTTTAAACAACAAACCAACCAACCAATGTAACCTTATTCACAACAGCAGATGGCGATTGTCGGACATGCTAATCATGACAGGCCTATGGTCATTTTTACAACATTGAACACATGTGGAAACAAATCAAGAAAATCAAATGACTAATCTAACGACATATACATTGTGAGCAGATACAAGGACAGCCTTGGTGTATTCATCCAAACTGACATTCGATACATCTTGTTTTGCGCCGTCATCGTGTTGTGGAACATGTGGCTCATGTATGACTCAAAACTTTAGTGTCCATTTATCGCACAAGAGACTTACCCTCTGTCACTTCTAATGCCTTAATTTGATTTTCCCCATCAGCTCTTGTATCATGTTGAGGTGACAAAATGGCTGTTAGACTTTCCAACACGACTTCCTTCAGGGATCGATTTCTATCGCCAACTCCCGCCATCTTGCTTCAAATTGTTGTGTAAAATGGCGGGCAATTATCAGTCGGATTTGGATTGTGTATATTTTTTTACGAGAATCAATTGAGAATAGTAATTTCAGTAACAGTAGATGAATACATATCTTATTCGCTACGGTATATAGAGATGGCAAAACCTTATAATAATTACCCAATCACACAAACAAAATAGATCCGTATTCCGAATTGAACAGTAGTCCTTATTTTAATGCACTATCTATAAATTTGGAATGGGTTTTATGACGAAACGAATTTCAACTCCCGCGTATCGATACAGCTTTTTTGAAAAGGGGGGGGGGGGGGGGGGGGGGGGCACAATTAAGATCTATTTATTGTCTTTGGTGGTAATTTATACAGAATCCGCCCATGCTGGGTATATATGTTCCTCTGATCATTTGTGACAACAATCAGGGATTCCATACACGGGTCTTATACAGATTCCCTGACATCCACAAGTGACCTGGTCTTCAAATATTTGCAAGAACACTTATTACGCTATAAGGCGTTATTGATGTAGGATGTACCCGGATCCCTGAAATTTGACTTTTACCTCAACGGAAATCGTGACCCCTAATTGCGAATTTGTTCACTCAATGTGCCACAAGCATTTAAACCCAATTGACCAATTTATCGGGCTCAGACATCGGACTAAAATAAAGCAAAATTCTTAATAGAAAAGCTTACATCCACGTTGTTCGTGTTGACAAGAAAGTAACCTATTAGTGAATCTTATTGACTGACCCCCACATACAGTGACAATAGCACATAATTCTCATTATTTTGATTGGCAGTACGAGGCCACACTAAACAAAACGTTAGCGACCAGTGAAGATCCGGGGTAGAATAGGTCTTCAGCAACCCATGCTTGCCGTAAAAGGCAACTATGCTTGTCGTAAAAGGCGACTAACGGGATCGGGTGGTCAGGCTCGCTGACTTGGTTGATGCATGTCATCGATCCCAATTGCGCGGATCGATGCTCATGATATTAATCACTGGATTGTCTGGTCCAGACTCGATTATTTACAGACCGCCGTCACATAGCTGGAATATTGCTAAGTGCGGCGTGAAACAACCAACCAACCAACCAAAACGTTAGCGCGCAATATTATCCCTGCCGAGTGGTTTCACCAAAGTGGTAAAAGTCTGAGACCCGCATCACTTCGGGGTTTCCTCCCACACAAAGCTGAGACGCCATGATATAACTGGAAAACTGTTCAAAGCGGCGTTAATACCCAACTCGCTCACTTAACCGAGTGTGAACTCCAGTTAGTTATGAAAACATGTTTGAAAAATATTTGACAGAGTCGCCTTTTGTACCAGGTTGTAAGTATAGCCACTTGTAACTAGCATGATTGAATTTGAACTATAGCTACGTATTGTCAGAAAGAAACGAATACATTAACATCAACTCGGAGTTTTCGTTTTATTTGAACACCAAAAGAACACATATTTCATTGACCAGCGTAGTTTCTCGTCTAGCCCTGCTCAAAGGTTGTATTAAAAGAAAAATCCATGGATGTGTAGAAATTCTATCCACCTAATAGGCAAGTCTAGATATATGAACAGTACATCTTAGGACTCTAGCCTCTTATAGGGGCAACCTGTTCTTATATTTACATAATCTAGAACTTATTATTTAAACTAATAATTATTGCCTTAGAGACTTGGACCCGCCCTTGTAAACTAAACAGAAGAAAAGATTTCAAGTCGGTTAACATATCCTTGACATTGCCGATTCCGTTTTATTTACTGTGCAGGTTTTAGTAGAAAGTGCCACCTAGGCTTTGTTGACAACGAGGCTGTGGAGTCAGCTCAGGAAGTGAGCGAGGGTTATCGTGTACCGGCGTTATAATCGGCTTCAATCTAGCAAAAGTACACGATGAGGACCCAAATCCTTCATTTGTTTTTGGTCTCAATATTCGTTTCTGTGCTGTGCAAAGTGAATCAGGACACTATCAATGCAGGAATTGTGAATAGCAAGGTTGAAAGGAAGATAGACATCGCAAGCCATTTAGTAAAAATTATTGCCACCGTGACGATAGAAAATAAGGGATCATCGTCCGTGTCATCTTTTGTATATGCAGTAGATTCAAGTTTGAAGAGCAAATTGTCTTTTATCGGTGCTGTGGTAAGTTTTTTGCATTGACAATGAAATAGTTTCCTTGTTGACGACTTGACCCAAACAGGGGGTGTGGCCTAGTTTTGCATCCTCCACGTCACGGCTTTCTACTGGCTAGTTAGTTTTGAGTCTCATAGTACCTTACAAACTTATTAAATATAATTGCTACGAACTTAAATATCTATTTGTTTTTGTTAGATATTTTATTAAATCAAGAATATTGCCAGTAGATCCATAGGCTGGTTCTGTTACGGAATGAAGTCAACGAACACGGCACAGGTGTCCAGTTGCCACGAATCATCCTTCCCGTTCCAAGTTGTTGACTAGAGACAAAATGTGACAACTGTTAATGAATTTGTGAATTAATTCACCAGCATGATTCTCAGATATACCCGGTAGCAAGCTCAACACCTGTGTATACCTTTATGGTTTAACTATTAACTGACTCAGACTAGTTCTAAACTAAAAATGATTGTGATTATTGAAATTTTTCAACTTTCATAACATGCATAGACCCATACTTCATGGTTCCAAATACATGCAGTGCCATGTTATCCCTATTTGACAACCAGTTTTTCAAAGGAACACCAAAAGTCACTTTGATTTAACTAAAACTAGTTCACCGTCATGTGAAACAGGTCCTTCTGCTTTCACCCAGGCTGATCGAGGATACAAATTGAGATCAGTGTGACACACTTTGTTTTCAGAAGGCGGCTCTGAATATGTAGGTAGCACTGAAACTAGGGAATTTGTTCTTTCCTTGTATTCATTTCCAGGGTTACAAATCTTGATTCAGCATGTTAATCAGAATGAACTACGCCAGCCTTAGCATTTCGTAGGTTATTTTTCAAGACTAGTCCAGAGGACTCGTGTAAACGTTATTTCACTCATCCTCAGGTTGTAGATAGTCGTGCTTGAATGATACAAAAATTGACAATGTCAATTTATTCAGTTGTAATTTGTAGCAAAATTGAAGCATTGAGAACAAGTTCAGAATTGTAGCCCTCAAATACTTCTCATTCAATGAGGACTCTTCTAGTACTGGATTAGTTTTGGGCAAGTGGACAAGTGTGAATTTCGATGGCTTTACGCAAGTGGAATCTTGGATGTATCCTTACTTTCCTGACTTTCTCTGTGGTGCCAACTAGTATCAAGTCTCTGAGGCAAACATTCTCATCTGCTACAAATGTAAATATGCGAAACAATAGTTTGTGAGCAACTACTTCTGTTACACTGTCAAATATTGTTGGAATAATTACTTCCACTTTTGTCTGACTCTTTACCAATGTTAACATAACTTCAAGAGAGTTCAGTAGTTTTTCAATTCTAGAAATATATATATACTTAACAAATGACATGGTATAATATACTACTCAAAAGAAGTTAAGGATCACCCGATTCTTTCACATTGGTAATGTTAATCTGTCATGGCATGAGAGATTAACTATTGTAATATGAGAAAATCAGGTGATCCTTAACTTCTTTTGTGTAATATATTAGACTTAATAAGGTAGTGCTGTGCTGAGTTTCAGAAACATGTACATACAGGACTTGGTTAAACTTGCATCATTAATCATTTATCAGTAACAAACAGAAACAATAGAAATAACCTCTGTGAAAAACAATCAATTATATAGGACACAAGCAGTGACTGACACATGATATTTTGCTGTACTCTGCAACACATACTCATCAACTGTCAAACATTTGAACTTGCTAAATTCCAGGTGTGTACTAAGTGTTACTCTACTCCACACATCCATCAGAATTACTAATATCAGCAAGCAAATTGATGCATATTTCATTACAGGGCTCATTTAGATATATAAAACATGAAACCAATCATGCACAATATTTTACACGATACAATTGCTCAGTTAAAGCATTCTGAGCTGGAAGTTGCCTCCCAAACTAGACCGGTCCACAGTAGAATCTGTTGTGGATGGTGTACTGACTTTCATTGTACATGTGTCTTTGTTACAGACAAGGGTGGATGACGCCAAGGAAAGGCTCGCTGTATCTCAGACCACAGTGGCTGGCCAGGAGTGAGTATAGCTTCTATCTTCGGTACCCATTTGTTCCAAAGAAACCATAGATAAAGCAGATGTTATAAACATGATAAACAATGTTTGAAATAATTTGGAAACCCAACAAGACAGTTGGGCAGGTGAACCAAAATGAGTTGCCTGCCCATCTTCAAACTTGCCCACCGCAATCAGATATTATGAATACCCAAAAAATTGGCTCCTGATTCAGTTGAAAAGATGCCAACAATCACTCGAAAATCTACAAAGAGTTATAATAAAACTGAAATTGTAAGTAGTCTTCAAATCATCTGACGGACAGTCTGGTAGAGTAGACAGTCTGGACAGTAGAGGAAAATATCATGCAGCCCGATAGAAAAGTTACCAGTCATGGGCAGGCAGTTATTTCTATTGTGATGTGATTCCTTGTTCTTTTTGCATTTTGTATCCTTGTCTAATACTCGCTTCATGAACTAGTTTTGTAGTCGGTGATATATTAAAAGTGATTACACTGTCCTTTGATGAATGTTAACTCACCCACTCCCAACACACACACCACCCACTCCCAACACACACGCACATGCTCACACACACACACGCACTCCCAACACACACACCACCCACTCCCAACACACACACCACCCACTCCCAACACACCCACTCCCAACACACACACCACCCACTCCCAACACACACACCACCCACTCTCAACACGCATGCGCGCGCACACGCACACACACACACACACACACACACACACACACACACACACACACACACACACACACAAACCAATATTCAAATACTTTGTTTGGTTCTTTGTTGTTTGCCACCGCAATCAGCAATATTCCAACTATATGATGGCGATCTGTAAATAGTCAAGTCTGGATCAGACAATCCAGTGACTGATATCATGAGCATTGATCCATGCAATTGGGATACAATGACATGCATCAACCAAGTAAGGAAGCCTGACCACCCGATCCCATTAGTTGCCTCTGGCCAACATGGGTTGCTGAAGACCTATTCTACCTGTGATGTTCACGGGTCTAACACTGGTTTATGTAGCATCTCTCTCATCTGTATTGCAGTGGCAAGTCTCTGTGGCGTGTGACGCTCGGCCAGGCCCTGGGTGCCGGCAAGAGTGTGACAGTGGATGTTGAGACCGTGTTTGCTCACGCCCTGCGAGCCTACCCTGCTTTAATCACCCAGGCGGAGAAACAGCTGGTGGTCCTGGAGGCCAACGTGTTCTTCTACTCCCCTTACAAGACCTTGACCCAGACGACCACCGTGGTGACCACGTCCTCCACCACGGAGTCCTACACCAAGAGCCCCAAGCCTGTGTCCCAAAGTGACAATGTCATCACATACGGCCCCTATGAAGAAAGAGAACCTTTTACAGAGGTAGGTGAAACTTTCCCCGATTTCACTCAATATAGAAGGAAGCATTTCTATAGATAAGCTGCGCATTTGCGTAAAATACCCCCTAAAAATGTTCAAAACCCAATTACTTTAAATGAACATGCATACAGAAACGCATGCATAAATATGATCAACTATAAAATGTATAAAAACAGCTCACGTAAATACCCAGTGAGGCTTCTTCAGCATGCGTACAATGGAGCTAATTTCCAAAGCACAATTACAAGCTACTTTCCGAGTCAAGCCTATAGTTAAAATCGTTATATACATCTGAAACATTAATTTTTTATATTTTTTAAATCTCAAAATGTTTACACATTTTGGGAAAACCCCAATAGAGTGATGAATAGATAAGTAAAAAAATATTGGTTACTCATTGAAAAATGTAATAACCCAGTTAAAATAGAAACCTTTGAGTAAAAACTCAATTGTTCAAAAAGTTATCTGGAGCTCTGATGAAGGATACTTTTGTTAAGGAGTCATTCACCCCTATAGCATGTATATATACACACCGCCAAAAGAAACACAAACCATCGAAACATATAGAGAAGTATGTACGTTAAGAAGAGATGTTTCCGATGTGTACCGGTTACTCACAAAACTAACCATCTGTCAATGTTACCACAGAGTGTCTTTATTCTTACCACGATATGCTGCACATGATTTCCAAACTTAAATGCTAATCTACGCACAAGACAAATGGTGCATCTCGAGTCATGGAAATATGACGTGTGATGTCAATATACAATGTGTTGTCAATATATGCTGGTTATCAATATACCGGTTGTCAACATAGGATGTGTTGTCAATATACGATGTGTTGTCAATATACCTGTTGTCAACATAGGATGTGTTGTCAATATACGATGTGTTATCAATATACCTGTTGTCAACATAGGATGTGTTGTCAATATACGATGTGTTATCAATATACCTGTTGTCAACATAGGATGTGTTGTCAATATACGATGTGTTATCAATATACCTGTTGTCAACATAGGATGTGTTGTCAATATACGATGTGTTATCAATATACCTGTTGTCAACATAGGATGTGTTGTCAATATACGATGTGTTATCAATATACCTGTTGTCAACATAGGACGTGTTGTCAATATACGATGTGTTATCAATATAACTGTTGTCAACATAGGACGTGTGGTCAACATACAGTGTATTGTCAATATCTGATGTGTTGTCAATATCTGATGTGTTGTCAATATACGATGTGTTATCAATATACCTGTTGTCAACATAGGATGTGTTGTCAATATACGATGTGTTATCAATATACGATGTGTTGTCAATATACCTGTTGTCAACATAGGATGTGTTGTCAATATACGATGTGTTATCAATATAACTGTTGTCAACATAGGACGTGTGGTCAACATACAGTGTATTGTCAATATCTGATGTGTTGTCAATATCTGATGTGTTGTCAATATAGGGTGTGTTGTCAATATACCTGTTGTCAATATGCGATGTGTTGTCAATATGCGATGTGTTGTCAATATACCTGTTGTCAATATGCTATGTGTTGTCAATATAGGGTGTGTTGTCAATATGCCTGTTGTCAATATGCGATGTGTTGTCAATATGCGATGTGTTGTCAATATAAGATGTGTTGTCAATATACGATGTACTAACATACAGTGTGTTGTCAATATACGATTTGTTGTCGTTATGCGATGTGTTGTTAATATACCTGTTGTCAACATACAGTGTGTTGTCAATATACGGTGTGTTGTCAATATACAATGTCATCCGTATTGTTTTGTGAGAAAAACTATAAAGATAATCTCAGGGAGTCCTTCTGTAAATGGAATAATGCTAATTTTCCAGGCCGAACTGAAGGTCCATGAAGAAAACAATTCCCCATTCCTGACTGTGACAAGCATGGAGCGTATAGTTGAAGTGTCACACTGGGGCAACATCGCCGTGGAGGAGCACATAGACATGCTGCACTCAGGGGCCGTCCTCAAGGGGCCATTCTCCCGCTTCGACTACCAGAGGAATCAGGACGGAGTGTCCTCCATCAAGAGCTTCAAGGTTTGTTTGTTTGTTTGTTTGTTGTTTAACGCAGCACTCACCTATATGACAGCAGTCTGTAAATACTCGGGGCGGTCGGGTAGCCTAGTGGTTAAAGCGTTTGCTCGTCACGCCGAAGACCCGGGTTCGAATCCCGACATGGGTACAATGTGTGAAGCCCATTTCTGGTGTCCCCCGCCGTGATATTGCTGGAATATTGCTAAAAGCGGCGTAAAACCATACTCACTCACTCACTCACTGTAAATACTCAATTCTGGACCAGATGATCCAATGATTGACATCATAAGCATCAATCCATGCAATTGGGATCAAGAGCTTTAAGGTTTGTTATAAAATTTGATGGGGTATAGGTGGCCCAGTCTAAGACACAGCAGTTCGCTGTGCAGAGTTACCTCCCTTAGGCACGCCAGAAACCTACGATCGTGAGTTCGAATCACGGTTTGCCTCATTATGTTTCCAAGTTTTTCTGCTCTGTGCTTGTGGGTTTCACCGAAGTGGTAAACATCTATGACCGGCATCACTTCGGGCTTTCATCTCAATATAACTGGAACACTGTTCAAAGCGGTGTTAAATCCAACTCACTCGCTACAAGATTGGATGACGATTAAGATCCGATGGATACAGTAGTTTTAACCATCTGAATCTGTATCCATCTCGTATATTGCCCTGTGTGAATGTAACCTTGACATTGTGCCTGTTGTGTTGCAGACGTTCCTTCCAGCCGCTGCACGAGACGTCTACTACCGCGACGAGATTGGAAACATCTCCACGAGCAATGTCAGAGAATCTGATGAATTTGTTGAGTTTGAGATTCGTCCCCGATTCCCACTGTTTGGAGGCTGGAAGACTCACTACTACATCGGCTATAATGTTCCTAGCTATGAGTACCTCTACAATAAAGGTGGGTGAAGATCCGGGGTGGAATAGGCCTTCAGCCACCCATGCTTGCCGCCGTAAAAGGCAAATATACTTGTAAGAGGCAACTAACAGGATCGGGTGGTCAGGCTCCCTGACTTGGTTGATGCATGTCGTGATATAACTGGAAGACTGTTTAAAGCGGCGTTAAACCCAACTCTCTCGCTCTTGGTCTTATGTGATCATTTGTTTTATAAAAAGTAGGGATTCTCAGGAGTCTGGATGCCTGTAACATTTAGAGAACCGACTCCTGTCAGTCTGTTCCAGCAGTAGGACTCAGTTGCTGTGACGATGACTCATTTGTCTCATTAACTCTGTCCTCTACCTTGCAGGTGACAAGTATGCCTTAAAGATGCGTCTGGTTGACCATGTATACGATGACATGATTGTAGATGAACTCACCGTCAGGATTATTCTACCCGAGGGCGCCCAGTAAGTAGCCACCTGTTGGTCTGTGAGAGTTGTACCCTTGGTTCAGATTAGAGCTGGGTATCGCCTAGGCATGCTTGCACAAATCCGATCTTAGTGCTAAGATGATCGTAACTCACATACTTTACCATAGTCTTACGATAGTCGTATCGCTCAGATTGCTTTTGGGCCATTGTATCTTTCGATAAAATTTGTGATACGGACTGACGATACAATATTTTACATCTCTAAAACCTCTCTCTCTTCGTACATTTGTTATTGTTATCTCAAAAACTTTAACAACAAAACCCACAAGAACAAAACAGTTTTAAATGAAGGGATGGTTATTATGTGCAACAGATAGTCGGCATGTCCTTGTGCACAGCCCTGCTTGCAGTTGGTGCTATGCTACTTCTGCCATTATGGGAGGTAACTCTATTAGTTCCTGTTCTATTTATAGCGTATTGTGATTTCACAAACTGACGAATCAAGTATCAAGTGTACCTAAGTGTCGATGATATCTTGGGTATCGGTGAATTGTTACAGCCCTCGTTCAGATGTATATATGAAATCAGGTTGTTTTACGTCAGTGTAGTGTAGACTGCTTGTCTTAAGAGGCTACTAATGTGATCAGGTGGTCAGGCTCACTGACTTCGTTGATGCATGTCTATGCATCCCAATTGCAGGGATTGGTGTTCATGATGTCAATCACTGGATTGCCTGGTCCAGACTCGATTATTCAGACCCCCATCATAAGGCTGGAATATTGCCGAGTGCAGCATTAAACAACAAACAAAAACTGTGGTTGTGTACTCCATTCTCTGATGACACACTTGTGTTGCAGGAACATTGACTTGAAAACACCCTATGATGTCAAGAAGGGCAGCGAGGGTCTCCACTTCACATACCTGGACACAGTCGGCCGTCCTGTCATCGTCCTTCACAAGGACAGGCTCGTGGAGCAGCACATCCAGAACATGGAGGCAAGTTGTGCATTCACCATTCCACCGGAATGTGAGCCGGTGGTGAACGTGTCATTTCTATGTGACCGAGTGTGACTGTCTGTGAATATTGTAGACTCACAATGTCTCTGTAAGTCAGTTGTAGGTGCAAGTTTTTCAAGAAATATTGGTTACATCCACCAAAATTCCAGATGGAATCAGTATGGAAACCTCTCTATAAGTAGGATTGTGTGTTGCAGGTACACTACACCTTCCAGAAGATGCGACTGCTTCAGGAGCCCCTGCTGGTGGTCGGAGCGTTCTACCTCCTCTTCCTTCTCGTCATCATCTACGTCAGGCTGGATTTCTCCATCACCAAGGTAACAGGCTGATGAAATCTTGTTATTAAGCAAGCTGCATCATCAATAACTGTATGAGGATGGGGTGGCGACATGTGGCCACCCCCAACATGGTGCAGTGTCATTGCCCATGCAGTGAAACAGGGGTTGTCTAATGTGCAGCTGTTGGTGTGCCGAGATGTCTAATGTGCAGCTGTCGGTGTGCAGAGATGTCTAATGTGCAGCTGTTGGTGTGCCGAGATGTCTAATGTGCAGCTGTCGGTGTGCAGAGATGTCTAATGTGCAGCTGTCGGTGTGCAGAGATGTCTAATGTGCAGCTGTCGGTGTGCCGAGATGTCTAATGTGCAGCTGTCGGTGTGCAGAGATGTCTAATGTGCAGCTGTCGGTGTGCAGAGATGTCTAATGTGCAGCTGTCGGTGTGCAGAGATGTCTAATGTGCAGCCATCGGTGTGCAGAGATGTGTGCAGCTGTTGGTGTGCAGAGATGTCTAATGTGCAGCCGTCGGTGTACTGAGATGTCTAACATGCAATCATCAGTGTGCAGAGATGTGTGCAGCTGTCGTTGTGCAGAGATGTCTAATGTGCAGCTGTCATTGTGCAGAGATGTCTAATGTGCAGCTGTCGGTGTGCAGAGATGTGTGCAGCTGTCGGTGTGCAGAGATGTCTAATGTGCAGCTGTCGGTGTGCAGATGTCTAATGTGCAGCCGTTTAGAGTTGTCGCCCGACAGGATCCTATCTTAGGAGATTTGAATGCCTGATACATGATGATGATCCATCATTTGGGTTTCAACCCGACAGTTCCTCGAGCATGGGTCAGAGATAGATGGACACCAGCCTTTGTTCAAGAAGTCCACTCACAGGGGAGATAACTCTTCACCACTATAGCACTATTGCTCCATGTGGCTTCACACTGTGTTCACCCACTCTCTCTCTGTGTGTATGGGATCGAGACTAAATTATTTACTGTGTTCACATAACATAAGTTACAAGTCCTTGAACCTTACATGATACAGGCATAATTGGCATTGGTTATTTGGGGTTAAAGTTCAGTTTGTCAGTTGTGTCAGTGAGAGTTACAATTGCAGGATGAAGCCAAGGAGAGCCGCATGCGAGTGGCCAGTCTGCTGGAGGAGGTCCAGAGTGCCCAGGACAAACGCAGCGCCCTCTATCAGAGCTATGATGATGCCATCAACAAGTTCAAGAGCAGCAAGGACAGCAGTGCATTCACCAGTAGCCGCAAGAAGATTGACAGCGACTACAAACAGCTGACGCAGCAGATTCAGAATCTTCAGACACAGTTGAAGAACGAGGGGTCTGAGGCCTCTGAAAAGGTGTGTATCACAGTTGCACTATCTTCACTTGAGTGTTGTTCACTGTGCAGGGCCCCGTTCCACAAAGCAATCGTAGCTCTAGGACAGTCATAAGTCTAACGTATCTGCGCTACGATCACTTTGTGGAACAGGGCCCAGGGTTCCATTGTACAAAACAGACTAAGCGCTACGACTGTCGTAAGTCTATGTTAAGGTATTGGAGTTGTGATCACCTTAGCGCTAAGATCACGCTGTATTACCACACCCAGGGCTCCAAGCATATTTCATATTAACTCATGTTAATTCCCCACCACCAATTCAGGCCAGCGATATACAAACTGATGTTATTCGTCATGATCTCAAATGATTTTGAAAGTTGTCTTAAATTCATTTTTTACAGAGTTATGGCCCTTGCTCCATGCTTTTCAACTTTGTGCATACTGCGTGAAATGGGGACAAGTTTTCTCAGACACTAAGTTACATAAATGAAAGGCTGCATGTTTATAAGAGATACTAAGTTCTAAGTAAAATACCATGGATCAAGGGCCGTAACTGTATGTGACAGTCTATTACAGTTACGGCCCTTGATCCATGGTATTTTACTCAGTGCACTGTGGCAACAATGGGGACAAGTTTACATGAATGAAACTTGCTTACCTAAGATTTTCTCATGACAAAGCCACCCTCGTGCCTATCTCTTCTCTAGGACTCTTCTTTTGTTTGTTTCATTCTGGTGTCCCCCACTGTGATTTTGCTGGAAGATTGCTGAAAGTGGCGCAAAACAATACTCACTCACCCACTCTAAATAATTGGTGGCCTTTTATGTCAAGCATAGGTTGTTGGGCATCTATTGTCTTAAATGGTATCTCCATGGGTTATCTATGTTGCTAAAAGCGGTGTAGAACCTCACTCACTCACTCACTATGTTCCAGGTGGGGGAGCTGCAGCGACTTGACACCCAGTACAAGGAGCAGATCAATCTGGCCATCACCTACGCCGAACGTCTTGTTGCCAACAAGATCGGCCGCCAGCCGTACCTTGATGCCGAGTCCGGAACATCCGCCAAGAGAGAAGACATTTACCAGAAAATGGAAAGCTTAAGGGCTAATCTGTAAAAGCTGGTGGCCTCAACTCAATGCAGCTTTTATTGACAGTGTTATTGATGGTCATCATTCATTTGTTCAACTTACATTTTGAGTATGTATTATCAACAATCATATTTAGGACGAATAAATTAATGTTGTAATAAATATTGTCTTGTGACCTTGTTAGGTGCTTTCCATGGGAACCACATTGAAACAGAACTGTTCATCGCTTGTGGTTAAATGCTGCTGTACAGGGTTGTCTGGTTAAAATACTGCTGTACGGTGTCATCAAGTTGCTAAATCCCATACAAGTATTAAGACTAATTTTATGAGATCAACTGCTTGAACTCAGCGCCACTACAACATGAACAAGCTAAACAAGCATGGAGTCATGTCATACTACAAACATTTGGCAGATATGCTGCATTACATATGGTGTGTTGCTGATGCAAGCATTACACTGCATGTGGAATTTGACTAGAGCTACTCACTGCATGTTCTTGTTTAACGCCACACTCAGCAATATTCCAGCGATACGACGGCGGATGTGGTGTTTCACTGATGACAGCAAAAAACAAATAACCAAGGCAGAAGAAAACTGTGACATTTTACTGTCCCAATTATACATTTAAAGGCATCAACACTGAAACATTCTCTATTTTGATTTACAAAGCCAGTATGGCAGACAGGTAGGTAAAGTATCAAAGTGGTAGAAGATGCATGAAGGGAGTTATGCTGGTTTCCTGTGCACAAGCCTGACGAGGAGGAAGCACACACATTATGCCGCCATAAACACCACTCACATTTCATACAATATATACACAAACTTATATACAGAAGATGAATGACAACATGTATTATAAACAGCTTCAAGATGATTATGATAATGGACTTTTGGAAGCCTTGATTTTGCATATGAAATTGCAACATGAGAAAGTGATATTAAACACTAATAAATAGCACACTTGTAGGATGACATGGAGGCATGTTCAACATGCATAATAACAGACTAGAAATATGCTGCCTTGACTCTTTCATAGTATGTACCAGTACATAGTTTATATACATGCCGCCCACTAGGGCACGTCAGCTCAGCATCCACACTGACTGACAAAGGCCTCGACAACCGTGATGGTCCATGATCGAAGGCCTTCTGTTCGACATCGCGACACCAGCACTACAGAGGAAGTCTGTGATGATGGACCGTCTGTTCGACATAACGACCAGACACACAAAGAACAAATTGAATCGATTATTAGCTCCTCGACAGTCAAGAAATTTTTACAAGACAATCATCAATACCTACACATGACCTTTACACACACAAACTGTTCAACATGTGGAAACAGTGACATATACCAGTCTAAAACTAAAGTAGACAATTTGAAAAAGGACACAAATCTGAAAGACTAAATGCAAAGGAGTCTAATCTAGAATGGTAGAAAAAGTGGAAAGAACCGTGTTCCACAAGCACAGGACTTACCCAGCATTGGATGAATGTACAACGGTGATGGTGCCCACAGAAGTACAACACCATGGAACTACGTAAGGTTCTAATAGCACCAAAGACAGCATCAGTAACAACACTCTACAACTACCCATAAAAATCATCACAATGCCAAATTGATTAGTAATAATGTTCATGTACAAGACCAAACTTTATGAATGTTTTTTTATGAAATTATTACAAGATTCTCATGTGCCAGCCAGGGCCCTGATCCACAAGGCGATCGTAGCGCAACGACAGTCGTAAGTCTATGTTAAAGTATGGGAATTACGATAACGTTGGCGCTACGACAGTTGTAAGTCTATGATAAAGTATGGGAATTATGATAACGTTAGCGCTACGATAGCCTTGTGAAATGGACCCCTGAGCCCGATTCAGAATATGTCTCCACACTGGACTTGAGGTCTGGATATCTTAACATCAAACATGCCCAACAAATGCACTTGCCTCATAGATAAAATAAACAGATACTTGTGTGAATATCCAGCTACACTCCCTCTGCCTAGAAGAACTCCGTATTATGCAAACCACTTAAAGTGCAACACTGAACACAAAGATTGAGTTTCCATGTTCTGAACATCGGATGCTCTGGGTAGAATCACCATTAAGTAGGCTTAAGTTCCAAAGTGATTCCACAACTACATGCTAACCCACAGTCCCCAGTCTTCATCTGCTCACATCCTATGTAGATGCTGACTCCCACAACTGATACTGTATTCTTGTGTTCATTTAACAGAAACTGATTCATACAACTTGTGAATATTATGAGTCTCATGTAAATAAGAATTATCTGTTCTTCAGAACAAGTTGTTCCTGGCAGGAATATCTGGTCTGTTACATTCTGTAGTTGTCTCACTTGCTGCTGTCAACTTGTTGATCCAGCATACCCAAGTGTCTTACGAGATAAAAAATATCAGGATGAGTTGATAATAGTTACAAATATCTAAGGCTTGCCAAGGATACTTTAATTCTTATCATGTCTCGATATATTTCTGCTTAGAAGACACAAGAGTAAGATTCTATTGATCATCGAAAATCATTCTGCCAACTTTTTCTGTTTGTGAACCGTCTTGAGAGTAAATATTCAGTGGCAGAGAGATTTGTGATGTCATTTGATTGTGATGTCATGTTAACCAATGATATCACAATGGCCTGCAAAGTATAATCATTTCATTTCATTGCAGTGATATCTACTAGGAGATACTAGCGATATTTCCAGTTGAAGCCAAGTTTGAATGATAAAGTGAAATAGTCACCAAATCACTAATTCAATTTAAGTAGATCATCAAATTCTCAAAACAAGATTCAATTCTTTCACATCACTCTACTGATTGAACATAAACTATTAGCACAAGAACCTCTCTAAAACAGATTTGTAACAAGGTTAAACATGCATAAAATGTATTGGTGGTAGGTTTTATGTGAAGCATTCAACAAAATGTACAATTCTAAGACTGGTTTAACATGAATCTCAATTTGTTCTGTATTAATAAAATAGATACAAAGAAATCTAAAAATACATTCAAGTAATATTGATCCAGAATACCCCAAATACACACACCCCACATAATACTACACTTTTTCGATTCAAAGATGACTTTCGAAAAGTAAACAAGGGAGATAACTGTCAATAAACAAGGGAGATAACTATGTCAGTGCTGCTTCTTGTCCCTTCGTGTCCGTGAGAATTGATATGCAAAGTTCTTCCGTTTGTTTATTGTCCACTTATGGTCAGTGCCTGTGGCTGCTGATTGTTGAATCTGATCACTAGCGACTGGCGTGTGTACCGTGCGTTCACTGGACCCATGCCTTGACCGCCGTGTGGTCACACCCTCCAGGATGGGGTCAACTCGAATCACCTGGACCCGGGGAGGGGGGTTGGTCTTGCTGTTGACCGGACGTTTGCGGTTGGAGTAGCCCATGTTCTTGGAGCTGCGCCGCACCATGGCCGGCATGTGGTTGGTGACTGGGATGGAGCTTGTCCTGGATTTCTTGCTGGCCGGCTGATCTGCTGAGAGAGCCTTCGACTTGGCAGCCTTCCGCGTCAGGATCACAGAACTGCGTGTGACTTTCTGATTTAAATTTTCCTTACTGAGGGAGACAACTCTAACTGATTTATCTATGGCAGGTTTAGGGTCGGACTTTCTGCTAGCCTTGAGACTATCATTTGAGTCAGTGACAGAATCAGCATCTGGTGCTGGAACAACCATCACACTGGTCTTGGCATCCCCGTCCTCCACTGGCAGTGTGTCACTCACAAACTCAACACTCTCCACAGAAGGGGAGCTCTCACCCGAAGAAATTGTAACAACAGATCTTTTGGCATGTGGTTCCTGGCTCTCAATGTCCGTCACTTTCCTCTTACAAGAATTACTCGGGACAACACTGCTGACTCGGATACAGTTGATGCTGTCGATATTGTCCACCACCCTCCCTACAGCCTCGACATCATCCCCACCATCTTCGTCCACCTCTACATTCCAGGTCACCGTTGTGAGCGTTGCTTCACATTCAATACTGGCTTCCTTCTTCTCACTGTCGGAGCTGCCTCTGCTGTCCCGTGAGTCTGTGGACAGCTTCATGCTCCTCCGGGACCGGGTGTTCCGTGTGACACTGCAGGAGGACACGGGAGCAATTTGCACGTGCTCAATGTCCGTGATTACGTGGGCTCGCTCCTCTTCATCCAGATCCCAAGTGAAGGGTGCAATGCTCACCTGCTGCCTGAACGCTTTCAGAGATCTTTGATTCCGCTCAGCTAACTTCTGATCCTCCTCGTCATCAACATCCCAGGTAAAGGGTTCGGACTTGACCTTCTCTCTCAGGGACTTCACTCCTTTCAACTTGTCCTCCCTCTGAGGAGAGTTGTCTGCGGCGACATCAGATGTGACAGGTGTAGTAACATTATTTTTGTTAATAGCTTGATCGGGGACCTCCCCATTTTTCTTGTTATCTGTATGTGGAGTTACAACAGTTGCATCAACAGAATTAGATGATGTTTTGTTCTCTGTTGGCACATCTATTGTGTTATCACAGGTTAGCTTGTCTTCAATGGCAGTGTCCTGTATCTCAGCCCCAGCTTCCAGCGGCTTGTGTCCAGCACTTCCTGCTTTCTGATCAGAACCCGCTGCTGCTGCTATCACAGTTGCATCTTGTTGTTCGTTTGCTTTTGGAGGTTTTTCGTCCTGAGATGTGTTTGATCCACTTGCCCCGAACTCCTCCAGGAGAATCACCTCATCTTCTTCCATGTCAGGACAGTCGGCCATGTCCACCTCACTCATGGCCACAGTCTGTCTGCTGGCCTCAGTCGGCTCATCCTCCTTCACACTCTCTGTGTAACCTGTGCAAACTTCTACTGTCTCATTCGGAGTTACTTGAACGGTGTCAGTGGGAATCATTGATGTCTCTGCAGGCCTAATCTCTGCCTCCAAAACTTTCAACTGTGGATCATACACAGCATCCTCTTCTTGTGTTCCTTGATAGTCTTCGGGAGTGGCGTTCTGATGCGAAGACTCTTCTGAACCCTCCTTGCTATCCTCTGATGCAGTATCTGCTTCGACCTGTTTCCCATCTCCCCCTTGTGTTTCTTCATTAGAGTTATCAGTCTCATTTTTCTGCTCTTGTCTTGCACATTTCTTTGTCAGCTTTTGCTTCTTGAAAGGATCATCATCATCTGAACGGGTATTGAGGTAGGACAAAAAGGAATCTAAGAATGATGGACTTGTTGGATTTTGTTTGGATGGAGGTGGTGACTTGGGGTCATCACATGACCCACTCCTGTTGCCCAATGTTGATGGCGTCAACTCATCACATGATGCACGTCGCGGCAATGCATCAGCTGGGGCGTTGACCAGCTCAGCACTCTTTCTTCTCACGGTCTCTGCTGACAAGTTGTTCAGACGAACCTCAAATGATTTTAGTCCAAATTCATTTTTTCTCTGAGTTCCTCTTGTCCTGCGAGACATATTGTGGTCAGGGTTAATAGTTTGTGATGCAGGAGCTGATTTGGGTCGATTGTCGTTTGAGTGAACCACTATTTGTCTCGTTAAGCTTCTGGTGACAAATTTAGCACTATGAGGTCTTTCTGGGGTTCGTTTTATGAGCACTTTGTTTTCTTCCTTCCTATTGCCTTGAGTCCTGTTTAGCCTACCAACAGATTGTCTACTCTGCGTCTTCATCGACGACAGTTTCTTGCTGCTGTGTAGCACATCCAGGATACTGCTCCTGGATGTCCGTGGTTTCATCTTTAGCGAACCTTTGTAGAACTGTTTAGCAGGAATTGTCTTCCTCAGCCTGTACACTCGGTCTGGCTGATTCATGACCCTCCTCTCAACTCTGGGCTCATCGCCTTTCATCTTTTCCCTCCTTGTGGAAACCCTATCTTGTTTGTTGCCACTGTCTCCAGAACTGAACTCTTTGTGTGCCATTTCAGGGTTAGATACTCGGTTCATGGTCTTTCTCAGACTTCTCTTGGGTTCAGTACCAGCTTCCACATCCTCCTCAGAATCCTGCCCATCAGAGCTCAGCAGGCCATCGCGATGTTCAACAGAAGGGACATCTTTCACTTCTTGACTTGCTGATTCAGATTCTGCTTTGGTTGCTTTTTTCAAGTCAGATTCATCTTGACCCACAAAGTCAGCTTTTCTGGGATTGCTTCTCAGATGTTTCACAATGGCTTTTAACTCTGAAGTAGTTTCCTGATCTTCTGACTTAGAAGACCCGTCCTGTTCTTTCCGCAGATCAGTTCCTCTGGGTGAATCAGATCCTTTGGACTCATCTTTGGTTAAGGTCAACTTACATTCAGAAATGTCAGTCTTATCAGTAACAACAGGGCTTGAGATATCTGACTTGCTGCTGGTCAGGAATTCAGTATTTCTTGGGTGGCTTCTTAAATGTTTGACATTCACTTGGTTCTGATCTACTTGAACTTGCTGATCTGTGGAGACGCTGCTGTCCTCTGCCAGGTAATCAGCAGGTCCGGCCATGCTCACTCCAACCTCCTCACCTCCGACAGGGGCGGGAGTGTTGACACTACCTGTTGATGGACATGGCTCACTTTCTGTCCCAGTATTACATAATTCTTGGGCAACAGTTTCTTGGCATTCCTCAGCAAAACTCTTTTTCTCTTCAAAACTCTCCAGCTCAATGCCTGTGACATGGTCATTAGGTTTAGCTTCTACAGAATCCACATTTGTCATGCCTTCTGCTTCAGTTTGAGGCATTTGGTCACCCAATTGAAGCACATCTACTGATGGAGTCTCACAAATCAAGTCTCTTTCTATATCTTCCTTACAAGTCACACTGGTCTCAGAAACCTGTTCCTGAGAAAGTGCAGCACTAGGTTCAACAGCAATGGTGGTTTCATTGATACTTTGATCAGGGAAACTTGGTACAACCACACTACTGGCAGCAGGTCCCGAGTCAGGACCTTGTTCCTGACAGACTTTAGAACTGATCACTGGAGCTACAGGCTGGAATGACGCTTGTTCTGAGATTCCGCTTGTAATGTCTGAATGAGGGGCTGGATCATTTATCATTCTTGCAAAAGCTGCAAGTTCATCAACGTTTTCTTTCGAAGGGTCAGGCAGAAATTCGTGGAGCGAGTCCAGGGACATGGATGTCGGCAGTGCAGTCTGATGATCACCAGCTGCTGCACAAGGGGACAAGAGGTGAACATCGCCAACAGACTCGGGACGGAGCTTTAGACCATCATCTCCCTGCGTCTGCTGCTGTCGGATCTTCAGCATGTCGTTCAGGGCTTCCTGAATGTCAGGAAACGGAACATAATTTTCCTCTGATTCTTCCTTTTCTGGACTCTTCTCCACTTCGACTACATCACCTTTCTCTTCAATCAAAGCATCCATTCTTTCTAAAATGATCTCGGAGTGCTGAGGAGTATGGTTCAAGTAGGAGATGAAAGCTGGGAAGTGTTGTTGACAGAGATGGCACACAGTTGCCCCAGACTCCCCCTTGCGAGTGGAGTATGGCTGTAAGTGTTTGATAACCAGGTGTTGGATGAGGTTCCTATGATTCCGGAACAGAGTTCCACATGGAGCACATCCGCAACCCCACTCCAGGCCAACAATGATGATCACCTGCCTTGTTTCCGACAGGATCTGTGGTTTAGGTCGGCCTTTACTTCTGGGAGATAATGGAACGCTCTTGCCATCACTCCTAACATCACATCTATCTTTCTTCCCACTCAGCAAACATTCCAGGCGGTCTTTCAGCATTTGCTTCACGTTCACATGCTTCTTCTTGGGGATTGGCTTGTTCCTCTTTTTTGGTGAAGACTTGTCCCCGGGCAGCTTTGGTACAGTTTCAAACACATCATCAGTTGGAATTCTATCACTTTTCTTGGACTTCTTCTTCTTGGGAGCAGGAGTACCTTCAGTAGCACCACTGCCATCTCCAGCTGGTTTGATCTTTTTCTTTGAGGCTGCACCTCCCACGTCGCCTGTTGCCCCCTCGCTGTTGCCTTCACCTGCAGGGATTGCTGCCTTCACTTTTTTCTTCTTCTTTGGTACCAGAGCTGCAGTGTTGTCACCAGTGGCTTGTAGTGTTGGGACATCACCGGCCCCAGCCATGATGATGCCTGCACTTCCCACGTCGCCCGTTGCCCCCTCGCTGTTGCCTTCACCTGCAGGGATTGCTGCCTTCACTTTTTTCTTCTTCTTTGGTACCAGAGCTGCAGTGTTGTCACCAGTGGCTTGTAGTGTTGGGACATCACCGGCCCCAGCCATGATGATGCCTGCACTTCCTAGAGGCAGGTCTCCCTGTGTCCTATCCATCACATCTGGACTCTCTGGAACATACCGCCCTGAAGAGTCTATCACAGACTGTATGGCATCTACATACCTAGCCAGCTCCCTACCGTCTATAGGCACAGGTGGTTGTTTGGGCTTACTTGGGCTTGACTTATTGGAATTTTTCTTGGATTTACTTTGCAAGCCAGATATACTCTTACTTATTTCCTTTGCATCTTGGTAGCTGGTTTCTGTTTCACCAGATTCTGCCACACCTGACATCCCAGGTGCCATGGCAACGGGAACACCACCGTCTGAGACAACAGCCAGCATCCCCGAGGTAGGTAGTTTTAGTTCAGACGCCTTCTTGGGTTTTCTGATAGGTCCATTGAGGTTGTAACACTCAGGCCAATGAGTAACTAAACTTTCCATACGGCAAAATGTTTGTTTACACAAAAAGCACTTGAAAAAGGTATTCCCATTATGACAAAGCTCTTTGAACTTTGGATTTGGTGTTTTTTTAGGTTTTGTTGTTTTTGTTTTTGGTTTTGGTTTTGGTGCCTTAGATTTAGCTTCCATGGAGGGTAACGGCGTTTGTCCTGGTGGTGGTAGCATGGCTGCCATGGCTGCTGCTGGTGACTGGGTTGTTGATGTCGCTGTTGCGGATGATTGGGTAGTAGATGTCACTGTTGCAGATGCTGTTGTGGAGATTGTTTCTGTTGCTGCCTCTAACCTGTCGACTACACCAGACATAACTGACACTACAGCCTTAGGGATTTCCACTTTCTTATTCTTACTCTTCGGTTTGCATGGCGGCGCTTGAGCCTTCTCCTTCATCATCTCCTGTCGTTTGAAATGTTCAATGAATTTTTTCAGATCGTCTGTGTTTGTTAAATCCAGGGCTGCCAGATCTATAGGGGGTTCTGGTGGAGGAGGTGGAGCTGCGGCCGGCACAGGCGGGGTGCACGGTCCTCTGTAACCTTCCACTGCCGTGTTTGGATGCCCAGGAACTCCTTCAGTTGATGGCTGCTTCTCACATTTCTTTCGTGGTCTGCATCTGCTCTTCAGGCATCGTGTTCTGTGGTCAAGCACTTCTGGGTCTGTCACGCAAAACATCTTACACACAGGGCACTGGTATACCCTACACGCTTCCAGTGACTTGATGGTAAGTTTGGGGTTCAAATGTCCAGGCTTCACAGACAGGTCTGATGTTTCACCATTCGAATCAGACGGAGCAAACTCTTCTGCTCTACATATAGACTGGATATGTTTCCGTAGATCATCCAGAGACAGCAACTGCTCTTGACATATTTTGCATCGATAAAAGACATTGAAGAGCTTCTTTGATGCCTTCTTTGGCTTATCAGTTGAGGAGATTGGAGCAACAACATCGTCCACTGGTGAAGATACTGTGGATGAGCAGGAGGAGGAGATGCTGGGGTTTGTTTCCACAGGACTTGGCTTCGTTTCAGTGGAGATGGCGCCTGGATCAGTCATTGGTGCAACTGAAGGGTCAGCTGTGTTCGGACAAGGTATTACTTGGGGCAGTGTCCCAGGCTTGGACACTGTGGACCCACTAGAGAGCAGGGGCTTTACACAGGTCAGACTCTGCTTGCCACATCCACCTAACAATGCTGTGTTTGTTGTTACTCTGGAGTTTATCATCGAGTTGGTAAATATTGTGGCCTTACTCTTAGGTTTGGGCTTTGGCTTGGTTAATGAGGACTTGAGAACAAAGGGCACGTTACTGTCCATAGCAGGACTTGGAGCAGTAGCATCAGCAGGTATCATGGTCTTGCCAGTGATTTCTGATTTCTTCTTCACAATAGGAAAAACTGGACTCCTACTTTTCAGAGCAACATGAGGATGATTTGTACTTGTGTAAACAGCATTATCTACAGGAACTGATTTCTGTTCTGTGGTAGTAACAGTCTTTGAAGATAGTTTGAGCATTTGTTGGAGATTAGCTGTAACAACAGAACTTGCTTTCATGTGATCAGTTTTCTGTACTCGATGTTGGTTAACACCTGCCAGCTGTGGTTTCCCCTGGTGTTGTTGCTGTTGCTGTTGCTGTTGTTGCTGCTGCTGCTGCTGCTGCTGCTGCTGCTGCCTCAGAACCTGCGGCCTACCCGGACTGAAAGTTGTGGACATCGTGGTCTGTCCTAGGTGTTGGTTCACCACGGCAACCGGAACTTGGGACTGTACCAGCTGGGGCTGAGCTAGCTGAGCTGCAATAGAAGGTGCAATCTGAGCAACAGTTGATGTGGGTTGCACACCGAGATTCACCGATGGTGGAGAGGCCTGTTGGACCGGGGCAGACACAGGGAGGGCCACTGCACGAGTTCCAATGAGATTGACAGCAACAGAGCCATGTTGTTGCTGGGCCACCTGTTGCTGGACCACTTGCTGCTGAACCACTTGTTGCTGCACTGTCTGAGCAAGATTTGTGAAATACTGAGACTGAGGCATAGACTGGGAGGGCACCTGTCCCCCGGTGAATGCCACTGCCATTTGCTGACCTGGCAGTGACGTCCCCCTGGACTGGTCATGAAGGATGACAGCTTGCTCCTGGTGTGTGGGTACTGGCAACTGGGTGGTCTGTGGCTGTGAAGGAACACGTAAGAGGCCTGAGGTGATGTGAAATACAGCTGACCCCACTGATGATTTCGCGGATGAGGGGGGCTTCACAGCTCCTGAACTACCTGGCATGTGCTTGGTGTGTATGTGTCCTGATCGAGCCTGTGTGGATGGCGTTGACTGAAATGGTTGGCTGGTTGTTGCACATGCTGACACTAATTTCATTGCTATCTTGTTCGAAGCTTGTGGTTTGCAGTTTTTCAAAGTTTCAATCTTGGAAAGAAGCTGTTGCTGTTGCAGCAGCTGCAGCTGTTGTAGCGTGTGCCCTGCGGACTGTGAGTGTTGAGGGACTGCCACAGCATCGTGTTGGGGGACTTCCTGTTCCGCGATGTTGAGTGACGAGAAGAGGGGATCAGCTGCCGACACAGGGGTGGTGTGCTTCATGTGGCCTGGCACCGGCACCGACATCTCCTCCCCGCCAGAACCATTGTTGTCGATGGTGATCTCCTGAAACGCCTCAGGCATGAGGTCAATGTTGCCCTGCTGCAGCAACTCATTCAGAGTATGTGTGTCGGGGAGGTCAGCCAGAGAGAGATCTTCTGTAGCAAAGAGCAACTGTCGGATGAGAGTATGCTTGTCTCCCAGCTCAGCATCCGACAGTTGTAGAGTTGGCTCAATACTCGCAATACTGCTGCTTGTGACATCTTGACTCTGGCCCTTGGCTGCCGACACAGCAGTGAATGGTTTGAGATGTTTCGACACCTGAGTGATTTGTTCCGTGTAGCCTGGCATGTTGGAGTTGATGGGTCTGACGAGGTGCTGGTGGAGCAGGGTCCTCTGGGAGCTATGAGGACTCATCCCACTCTGGTCCAGCTCGGGGATGCTTCCCTCGCTCACAGAGCTACTGTCATTGATGAGATCTTCATTGGAGTAGTTCTGGGCGACTGCTTCCCTCTCTGCGAGATACTTGTCGCATGCAGGGCCCAGTGACAGCCAGTCGTGATCCGGGTTCAAGTAGTAGGGTCGGAGCATGTTCAGGAGCCTCTCCACTTCGAAGAACGTGGCTGGGTTGATCTTGCCACTTTTGCTGGGGTGATCGCACTCTCCGGTTTTGTTGGTACAGTTGGAACAACACACCTTGCCCCTGTCTTTGACTAGAGACAGGCTCTGGTTGACGTAGAAGGACTTGACGGCGGCCAGAGTTGCCTGGTTGGGGTTGAGGGCGAAGGCAGTGACGGCAGAATACATGGCGGTTTTGGGGTTGCGGGTGGCATATATGAGAGACAGCTTCTCACACGTGGCTGCCATTGCTTGTTGTCTCTCCCGAAGTCCGTCCATGTCTCCCTCCTGCATGTGTTTCTCCAGGCAGCTCTTGTCGTAGTTGATGGCGAAGATGCAGAGGTCTGTGTACAGCTGAAGGAACATGTTGCCACACTGAAACATAAACACACATCATCAGACACTGAAACACATCATCAGACACTGAAACACACATCATCAGAAACTGAAACACTCATCATCAGACACTGAAACATAAACATCATCAGACACTGAAACATAAACATCAGACACTGAAACACACATCACCAGAAACTGAAACACACATCTTCAGACACTGAAACACACATCATATACTGAAACATAAACATCAGACACTGAAACACACATCAGACGCTGAAACACATAATCAGAAACACACATCATCAGACACTGGAATAAACACACATCATCAGAAACTTAACACACATCATCAGACACTGAAACACACATCATCAGACGCTGAAACATAAACATCCGACACTGAAATACACATCATCAGAAACTGAAACATCCGACACTGAAACACACATCATCCGACACTGAAACACACATCATCAGAAACTGAAACATCCGACACTGAAACACACATCATCCGACACTGAAACACACATCATCAGAAACTGAAACATCCGACACTGAAACACACATCATCCGACACTGAAACACACATCATCAGAAACTGAAACATAAACATCAGAAACTGAAACATAAACATCAGAAACTGAAACATAAACATCAGACACTGAAACACACATCATCAGACACTGAAACATAAACATCAGACACTGAAATACACATCATCAGACACTGAAACACATCATCAGACACTGAAACACGCATCATCAGACGCTGAAACATAAACATCATCAGACACTGAAACAATCAGACACTGAAACACACATCATCAGACACTGAAACATAAACATCAGACACTGAAACACACATCATCAGACACTGAAACACACATCATCAGAAACTGAAACATAAACATCAGACACTGAAACACACATCTTCAGACACTGAAACACATCATCAGACACTGAAACACACATCATCTGACACTGAAACACACATCATCAGAAACTGAAACATAAACATCAGACACTGAAACACATCATCAGACACTGAAACACAAATCATCAGACACTGAAACACATCATCAGACACTGAAACATAAACATCAGACACTGAAACACACTTCACCAGAAACTGAAACACGCATCATCAGAAGCTGAAGCATAAACATCATCAGACACTGAAACACACATCATCAGACACTGATATACATTATCAGAAACTGAAACACACATCATCAGAAACTGAAACACCCATCATCAGAAGCTGAAGCATAAACATCATCAGACACTGAAACATAAACATCAGACACTGAAACACACATCATCAGACACTGAAAGACACATCACCAGGCACTGAAACACACATCATCAGAAACTGAAACATAAACATCAGACACTGAAACACACATCATCAGACAGTGAAACACACATCAGAAACTGAAATACATCATCAGACACTGAAACACACATCATCAGAAACTGAAACATGCATCATGAGACGCTGAAACATAAACATCATCAGACACTGAAACAAACATCAGACACTGAAACACACATCATCAGACACTGAAACATAAACATCAGACACTGAAACACACATCATCAGAAACTGAAACACACATCATCAGACACTGAAACACATCATCAGACACTGAAACACACATCATCAGACACTGAAACACTTCATCAGACGCTGAAACACAAACATATCATGAGATACTGAAACCCACATCAGACTTTGAAACCCACATCATCAGACACTGAAACACAAACACACATCATCAGACACTGAAACACAAACAAATCATCAAAATCAGAAACACACATCATCAGACACTGAAACACACAGACACTGAAACACAAACACACATCATCAAACACTGAAACACACACCATCAGACACTGAAACAAAAACACACATCATCAGACACTCAAACACACATCAGATTTTGAAACACAAACACACATCATCAGACACTGAAACACACATCAGACACTGAAACACAAACACACATCACCATATTGGTTCTACAAATGTACTGACAGTTTCTATGTAAGCTGATCACCGAGTGCCACAACCAACTCACCTCTTCTCTCACACCATCGATGATGAGACCGATCTGCTCGGTGGAGCGGGACAGTTTGGCCACGGCCCACACGCTGCTGAGGAACTTGTCCTGGTCGCCATCCGCCAGATACTGGTGGCGGATCCACAACGTCAGCAGTTCCTGAAACATCGCAACATCAACAACATCATACGTCTGATGCACCAGCAAACTATTCATGACAATGTTTGTTTGTTTGTTTGTTTTTGTTTATCGCCGCACTCAGCAATATTCCAGCTATATGACGACAGTCTGTAAATAATGGAGTCTGGACCAGACAATCCAGCGACTGACATCATGAGCATCGATCCATGCAGTGGGGTACAATGACATGCATCAGCCAAGTCAGTGAGACTGACCACCCGATCCCGTTAGTCTCCTCTTAAGACAAGCATAGTTGCCGGTTGTTGAAGAGCATTCTACCCTAGATCTTCAAGTGTCCCTATATCAGAGCAACACGCTCGTCATATGATAGGTTCTAGAAGGCAAGGTGTCCCTATATCAGAGCAACACGCTTGTCATATGATAGGTTCTAGAAGGCAAGGTGTCCCTATATCAGAGCAACACGCTCGTCATATGATAGGTTCTAGAAGGCAAGGTGTCCCTATATCACAGCAACACGCTCGTCATATGATAGGTTCTAGAAGGCAAGGTTTTCTAAAGGAGCAACAGAAAGGGGGATTCGAGGCACTGGACCCGACTTGCGCTGAGTTTGGATGGGATGCCTATCTGAAACAACTGACTGCATGCCTCCAACACTAATCTGTATTCAAGAACAGAGCACGTCTCTCAAGACCCAACAGATATCTTAAACAGATAATGTCACCAGTTATGTTTACTTTCAGGTAACCAAGTGGCGAGCAGTAGATAAATTTAGGTTGCCAATCAAAGGTTTAAATCGCATTGGCCACCAAAATGTTCGCTACTTAGAGGGCTCAACCTTTGTGTGTGAAATTTGACACGACCTTGTGACCTACTGACCTTGCTACTGCAGTGGTCCGAAGGTCGGATCCAGTCCTGGACGAGGAAGGTCTGTGCCAGCTCAGTACACAGTGATTTGTTGTTTTCCGTCTGCTGAAGCCTCGTAATGAGACGCACGCCATCATGGCAGGGGATCTTCTGACACTGCAACATACACAACAGCAATCAACACTGTCTCTACCAGGGACTATCTTGCTGTCTCGCTGCTGGTACTATCTGACTACTATCTAGGGAGTCCGGCTACTATCTTGGAGTCCGGCTACTATTGTCCTGTTCAGCTACTCCTGATACTATGTTGGAGTTGGGCTACAATATTTCTGTCTGGCAAGTCCTACTATTATCTCGTTGTCCGGCTACTACACCAAATGGCTACTACACCAAATGGCTACTATCTTTGAGGCCAGTTATTATCATAGTCTCTTGCTGTACGGCTACTACGATAATTTCTTGGAGTTTAGTGCTCACTCAAGTATAATGCGCACCCCCTTGTATGTACAGAAAAAATACATCGTAACCCTTCAGCAAACACCGGTTTACCAATGGGTGATAATTGCCGGTTATTTTGTTACGCATGGAACAATTTGACCAGTCACCGTCGAGGCTCCCGTGATCACGAGAACTACATATGACATAGAATCGTCAAACTACAACAAATATAACTTTTAACAAGTCAAAGTATGGCATTTATAATACATGTATCCATTCTCTGTCAATTAAAGTTCGCAACAAGGCGTCAATAGCGGTAATCTGACCGTGGTTGCTGTTAATAACAGTGAGTTCTGCAATCTTCTGATCGCTTCTCACACTATTTTCGCCGAGATTAATTAAAACAATATTAAAAGAAATTTTGAATAAAATTAATGAAATAAGTAACAAACGTAAGTCCAGATTACAATAAACACTTTTTATAACCAGACAGTGTAATTATAAGATTACACTGTGTACTCCAGTACGGATTTGTTGACATGGTATTTCCGGTGTTACGTGCTCACAGTAATGTCTTTGCGTTGGGGAAAAAACTCATCAAAACTCATTATGGCGTGTATAATGCGCACCTCCTTCTACACAGCTGTGTATTGGGGGGAAAAGTGTGCGCTAAACTGAAGAAAATGTGGTATGTTGGTGACTTTCTACCATCTTGCGGTCTGGCAACTCACCTCCTCCTGAAGACGATCCTGCTGGTTCAGCTTGTGCAGCAGCATCAGTTGTGTCTGGCGAATGTCAAGGTCATCTGTCAGAGCGGGGTGTTTAAGGCACCATGAGCACAGGTTCAGTGCAAACTCCTCACAGTTCTCCTGAATCATGATCTCCACACGGATCTTCAGGATCACAGGGTCCTCTTGCTTGATGTAGTTCAAACCTAGAAAAAGCAAAATATACTTTAAACATCATCATCATCATCATCATCATCATTATCAGAGTAAGTGAGTGAGTGGTTTTGTGCCGCTTTAAGCAATATTCCAGCAATAACACGGTGAGGGACATCTAAAAATGGGCTTCAGGCTTTGTACCCATGTGAGGAATCAAACCCGGGTCTTCGGCTTGACGAGCCAACGCCTTAACCACCAGGCTACCCCACCACCCCTAAAAAATTAAAAACGAACTCAAGCCATGGGTTTGCTCAAACAAATAATGACCGCATGTAGATATCCCATGGAGATACCATTTAAGACATTAGATGCCCAACAACCTATGCTTGACATAAAAGGCCACCAACTTCATGGGCTGGTCTGTGACTCTGAGGTCATCATCTCAATCATGTAGATCGATGGTCATGATGTCAATCACTGGATTGTCTGGTACAGACTAGATTATGTACAGAGTGAGTGAGTATTGTTTTGCACTGCTTTTAGCAATATTCCAGCAATATCACGGCAGCGGACACCAGATTTGGGGCTTCGCACATTGTACCCATGTGGGGAATCAAACACGGATCTTCGGTGTGACGAGCAAACACTTTCACCACTTGGCTACCCCACTGCTCCAGATTATTTACCAGGGTTAGAAACTAACAATATTTGTCCATTAGTCCTTATAATTATAACATATAGCAAAATCCTTAAAATGGGCCAATTTCTACTAGTCCTTAGGATACCTTTACTATTGAGCAGTTTGGTAAGGACTACAGGACTAGTGCCAATTTCTTACGCTGTTTACAGACTGCCATTGTAAAAATGGAATATAATCTAGGGCTGTCTACACAGCTAAGGCAGGCAAACTCACATTCCTCTTCCTCGTTGTCGTCCTCTTCAGCCATGACTAGGCCCAGGGTCGGGTGGGTCCAGCCCGTCTGGATGAGGTCGTGGATGAGGCTGAACCGTGTGTAATTGTGCGAGGACAGCTTGGTGTGGAACGTCTCCAGCGTGGTGTGGAAGTTCTGCTTGCTCTGGCTGTCATCGGCAAGTTGCTGCCACTGGATGTTCAACACAGTCCGTGCACAGTGCCTGAAATACACATTGCCCTTCATAAACACACTGTGGCTTCTAACACAGATCAACACTTGATTAGTACAGAACACCTTGACAGTCTTAATAGAACATACCAGCACTATTTCAGTTGAGAAATAATGATGATAACAATAATGATGACATCACAGTACTGTATGACATCATAGCACTCATTAACATCATCAAGGGAATGTCTCTACATGTCAGAAATTGAGGGAAATACATAAATGTGCATGTCTTTATCCATTTGCACGAACTGAAACAAAGATGTTTTCTCATATTAACCATGTTAACATTTTATCCATAAAAGTGCTCCTAGCTCAATAGAATGTATACCTATGTTAGAAACATTTACTTTGAAGACAGATCAGAAAACATCGTCAAGGGACCAGTTCAAAAGTTCCATGGATAAAAATCTTAATTCCTTAAGTCTAGTGTCAGTGTGTGTGAATGGCCCAGCAAGTTTTCCATCAGTCAAAATCAATTTACCTGACGTTTATATGTACGTATTAACTAAGCTAAGCAAAAACTCTGATCCTATTTTTGGTCATATGCTGTTAGGAGTGGTCATTAACAAAAATGATTACCGTATTTGACGTAATAAGCGCCCGGGCGCTCTCAAAATTTGAAATAGGGGGCTCTTATTCGAATATTATTTTGGTGAAGAAAAACATAGTTGAAAGATAAATTTTGTTGTTTATGCTGACAGCCTGAAATGTTTATGTACGACAGATATATTTTTCCAGATTTTAATTGCCCATAAATAAGGGTGCATATAACACACGTGTGCGTATTATACCGAATAAATAAGTCTTGTGTACATTGATCAATCGGAAGGGATGCAAATTGGGCTTGTTCACTAGCCAATACATCAGCAAATATCGCCGTGGGCGCTTATTAGAGCGAGGCGTGTATTACGTCATAAGTCTATGTTTAAGTATGGGAGTGACAATCACCATAGCTACGACTGTCGTAAGTCTATGTTAAGGTATGGGAGTAACAATCACTATAGCGCTACGACTGTCGTAAGTCTATGTTAAGGTATGGGAGTTACAATCACCATAGCTCTAAGATTGTCGTAAGTTTATGTTAAGTTACGGGAGCAATACGAGTTACAATCACCTTAGCGCTAAGATCGCTTTGTACAACAACACCCTGGTCTTTCCATGGGGTAGTGTTTTGTCGCCACTGCCGGCACCCGTGATAAGTCCTTCTGACATGTCTAATGCAGTGCATAGTATAGAACATGTAGAACGGCAGATTGGATTAACAAAAACCATACAGATGATTTTCAACACCTAATAAATGTCAGTGAATAAACGTTCTGAAAAAGAAGGGCAAAACACTAGAATGTGTGCCACTAAACTCTGGAGATCAACATTTTAAAAATTAAGTCGAGGGGGGAGCAAGGTGGAATGCCTCAAAACTTAAGGAATAAAGATTTTTGATCTCACATTGAACTTTTGAACTGGTCCCTAGCATAAGCAATCTCAACAAACATGTCTGCCCCAGTGTTTGCAGTAAAAGTAGGAACTGTCTGTACAGGGAACCTACCGGAACAATTTCTGGCACAGAGCATTTGTGACGGGTCCAGTTGTCAGTCGAGAGTACATCTCTCCGATGTAGCCCAGGATTATCCATAATCCGATCACCTTGTTCTCATAATCTTCCACATTCTCAAGCTTGTCAATTGTCTGCAACACAAATATATATAAAGCATGTGCACCGCCAAGTCAGAGTCAACAGATATTGTCCAAATCTTCACATATTTTCAATCAAGATGCTCACGTGATTTGATGCACTTTGCGATGTAAGACACGTTTTATGACAATATAGATCTTGATTATTGATCAGATGCAAGTGATATAAGAGGCGGAATCTGATTGGTCAATAGGAGACACATAGAAGGTGGCACTATGATCGAGCCCAGAAATTCCAGCCTAGTTCGTCAAGGGTGGAAGCTAGACTTTTATAGTCAGTTAACTCCCTTGCATGGTCCTGAGTATAGCGCACAGTCACCGAGAATAGTTGGATGGACGACGGCTTTTGGCATGTTGATCTGCAGTAGTTTGGGTGAAATGTCTTTCATGCAGGTGACTGGTGAGCTATAGTGTCTACTGTTTGTTTTAAGCCGCACTCAGCAATATTCCAGCTATAGGATGGCAGTCTGTAAATAATCAAGTCTGGGCCTGGCAATCCAGTGATTGACATCATGAGCATTGATCTACTCAAATGGGATACAATGACATGTATCAACCGAGTCAGTGAGCCTGACCACCCGATCCGGTTAGTCGCCTCTTACAACAAGCATAGACCCGATCTTCACGGGTCTACAGTGTTGTTTCTGACATATGGCGGTAGTGGTCGAGCTACAATTCGAGCAGTTTAAGGAGGTGACAGTTTCTAAAGAGAGTTGGGTGTAAAGCCGCTTGGAACAGTATTTCAGATTTATCACAGCATGTCAGCTTATTGTTTGAATAAAGCCCAAAGTGATGCAGGTCTCAGACGTTTACCGGAAGCCACGAGCACGGGTATGGTGCTGACAAACCTAGAAACATAATCGAGGCAAACCAGGACAGGAACCCCAAATCATGGATTTCTGGTGAGCCCAAGGGACATAACTATGCAGGTCGAACTACCGCACCTCAGACGACGGGGGCAACCATGCTCCAGACAGTTTCTATAAGGCTGGCTGTGCAAATATGAAAATGACAAGGGGGCAACTTGAGGCCTTTTACGACGTGACTTGTGTCGTCTCAACTTGCCAAGTGCAGAATGGACACCTATTTGTAAACACTTTGGATTAACGAGTATGGCGGATAAACGAAATTAAGTAGTATCAACATCTTTGATCGAAAATCAGACAACTACATGATAGATAATGATACAAACACGTTGCAATAAAAAGATAAAAAATAAAATATTCATATTGTTACGTTACATTGTTAGCGGAATATGTTTTTTTAATCATGCAACCTCTGAAGCTTAATACAAAACAACTGTTACGGACTGTGTGACTGATTCAAAATACTTTAAAAAGCATAGTCTGGAATGGAAGTCTCCAGTTTGAAACTAGTGCCGCAAAGCTCAAGAAAGCTGCTTTATTAGTGGCTAATGTTGACTTCTTGTTAGTAATTTCATTGGTCGGTCATAGTCCACGAAAGGTCGTTCTGATGGGATGTCCTCATTGGTAGCCAGAACTTGTATCTGATTTTAATGAGACTGAGGTAATCTAAGCATGTGATTAATCCTGTTTTGTTTATTTAAAGCATTAATAGTTTATTGTTAAGCTAGTATTTCTCGGCTGATGACCACAGCATACTCTGATCACTGTGTTGGATTAACGAGACAGTGATTTCGGCAATTCGTTGCAAATTAGGTGTGTCGGAGTCGGAATGCAAGACCGTTAGATTAACTAGCACTGATTTAATCAGTTTCCATCATTAGCGTTTGAAAATCAATGTGTCACCAAATTTATGCGAGTATGGATGACAGGCCTAAACTTTGTCATGAAATTAATGTGAGAAGCCTTGCCTTTGAACAATAAGAACTAATCTCTCATAGCAGTACACATAGATACAGTACACATGCACACTGACACCACACCTTACACACACACACACACGCGCTGGCAGCACAGTACACATAGATACAGTACACATGCACACTGACACCACACCTTACACACACACAACACACACTGACAGCACAGTACACATAGATACAGCACACATGCACACTGACACCACACCTTACACACACACAAACACACGCTGGCAGCACAGTACACATAGATACAGTACACATGCACACTGACACCACACCTTACACACAAACAAACACACACTGACAGCACAGTACACATAGATACAGTACACATAGATACAGTACACATGCACACTGACACCACACCTTACACACATACAACACACACTGACACCACACCTTACACATATACAACACACACTGACAGCACAGTACACATAGATACAGCACACATGCACACTGACACCACACCTTACACACACACAAACACACGCTGGCAGCACAGTACACATAGATACAGTACACATGCACACTGACACCACACCTTACACACAAACAAACACACACTGACAGCACAGTACACATAGATACAGTACACATAGATACAGTACACATGCACACTGACACCACACCTTACACACACACAACACACACTGACACCACACCTTACACATATACAACACACACTGACAGCACAGTACACATAGATACAGCACACATGCACACTGACACCACACCTTACACACACACAAACACACGCTGGCAGCACAGTACACATAGATACAGTACACATGCACACTGACACCACACCTTACACACAAACAAACACACACTGACAGCACAGTACACATAGATACAGTACACATAGATACAGTACACATGCACACTGACACCACACCTTACACACACACAACACACTGACAGCACAGTACACATAGATACAGCACACATGCACACTGACACCACACCTTACACACACACAACACACTGACAGCACAGTACACATAGATACAGTACACATGCACACTGACACCACACCTTACACACACACAACATACGCGCTGGCAGCACAGTACACATAGATACAGTACACATACACACTGACACCACACCTTACACACACACATACACAAACACACACTGACAGCACAGTACACATAGATACAGTACACATGCACACTGACACCACACCTTACACACACACAAACACACACTGACAGCACAGTACACATAGATACAGTACACATAGATACAGTACACATGCACACTGACACCACACCTTACACACATACAACACACACTGACACCACACCTTACACATATACAACACACACTGACAGCACAGTACACATAGATACAGTACACATGCACACTGACACCACACCTTACACACACACAACACACTGACAGCACAGTACACATAGATACAGTACACATGCACACTGACACCACACCTTACACACACACAACATACGCGCTGGCAGCACAGTACACATAGATACAGTACACATGCACACTGACACCACACCTTACACACACACAACATACGCGCTGGCAGCACAGTACACATAGATACAGTACACATACACACTGACACCACACCTTACACATACACGCACACGCTGGCAGTACAGTACACATAGATACAGCACACATGCACACTGACACCACACCTTACACACACACAAACACACACTGACAGCACAGTACACATAGATACAGTACACATGCACACTGACACCACACCTTACACACACACAACACACTGACAGCACAGTACACATAGATACAGTACACATGCACACTGACACCACACCTTACACACACACAAGACACACTGACAGCAAACCATACACACACACTGACAACACACAAGACACACATTGACAACACTCCTTACACACACACAACACACCTTACACAGCATGCGCACACATTTAGAGCACAGCATACACACACACACGCTGGCAGCACAGTATGCACACACATTAACAGCACAGCTTACACACATACACACAAACACGCTGGCAGCACAGTATGCGCACACATTAACAGCACAGCGTACACACATACACACACACACACGCTGGCAGCACAGTCAGTCTACATCATACTTCCTGGTCTTAACCCTCTTCAAGTATGTCACTGCTTCCAACATAAATATCATCCAAATTAATGAAAACACAGATTCCCACTGCATAAAACAAGTTTCTACTAGAAAACCAAAATTATTAATGCAGTAACCTAGCAACGGTATCAATATTATACTTAATAACATAGTTTATCAAAATGATAATTTTGATGTAAATGGACCTAAACACTAAAACCTGTATTTGTGTCAATAGCACTGTCAGTAGGAGCATGATTATGACAAAAGGAGGTGTGGTTTTGCAAGAGGTAGGATGTCTCAAACTGACATTTAACATGCACCAACATCATTAGGGGAACGAATACTCATTATACTCTATTACGTGAGACTGACAAATCCTAAATTTATAACAAATAATCCATTTTCCGCCACCTAATTGTCACAAGGTCTCAGACACACAAACACTACCAACTCACGCAGCTGAAAACCATGCACAGGGTTTTACCTGGACTTCCAGGGGGCCCAATAATTAATATGAGGGCCCTTTAAAATAATGAAATGGTGTAACGTACTGTATGTCTAGATATTACGTTAGCGGCTGTAATGAATAATTGATCATGTGGACAGTAGTCATGAAATAACAGACACACACAGCTGCTGTAGGTACAATGAATATGATTTTTTTACCTGCGTCAATTCTCTACATATGTGTGCACTGGCCGCACATTTGTGCGCTGTTAAAACCCTGATATACTATCATCCTTATTGATATCATCATTATCATACAGAGATATAGTTTCACAAACTGTTTTAATTATCTGCATAAATATTGCCATATGGTCTGTACACCGTGCAGTTTGACATGATAGTGTATTGCTTACAGTGCTACAACAGCACACTGTTTTTTTTAAAAGAAACATTTGACATCTAAACATGCTAAAAGTGAACTTAAAGCAAATCCCACCAAAATTTCTCCCCTTTGTCATATCAAACATTGAATACATTCAACCAATCATCATGATTATGCTACAAAATCGCACACATGATGACAATACAACATACTATTATTGATACTTCGTCTGAGCCCCTCGATAAACCAATATCCTGTATATTCTTTGTTTGGGTCAGTTCTACTTTAAGGGCAACAATTTACACAATATCAAATCCTTCCAGCAACACTAACAACGGAAAGAGCATCAGCTGGGAATTAGAGTTAATATTTTTTCATTTCTTTAATCATATCAAAATATATATATGTTGAGCATGTTGAAATAATCAAAAAGTTAAAACAATGCAGCCAAATGATAATTATTATGTGCACTATAAGTACAGTACTGGAATTGTGGGAAAATAGAAACAAACCCTACTATAAACAAGCTAAAGCCTAAAACCAAGTCTGAGAATGATCATTGGGCTAATATGCAAAATTACATGTCTCTGAAATTATACATGCTCTCCTGTCCCATAAAATAATTGATGAAACATGCAGACAAAATTTACAAAAGATCCGCAAATGCAAAACATGGCAAAACAACATAGCTCTATAAAAAATAACAGCATGAGCCTTGATCTTACACAATGAACTGTGTCATTATTAACGTGTGTTTACAGCCTATGTCTGTAATTGATGCAATATCAGGGGCATTCAGTACTATCTACTTGTCCGGAAACCTTGCCTACATCTAGCATTTAGCCTATATATTTTTTTCTTCTCAAGTCTTAAATCTGTAAGTATATCAACAAAGAAACATTGTTTACGGATAAGCGGTGAAAAATACAAAAGTGCTTTGTAATTCAGGAAGTAAAGGCGTGTTAAGCTATATGTTGAGGGATAGCCACCTGTCAATGTGTCCAAACACACAATACAAAGCCGATTTATTATTCATAATTCATGAAATCATAACTTATATTTTGCATAAATCATAATTTTCATTATGATACATGTATTTCATATAATTAATAAGAAAATATCGTTTAGACATCGTTTGTGTTTATATCCCTCGACAAGCGAGCCCTGTTCTTGTCATGCGCTGTAACCTACATCAGGAAGTCGCTTTGTTGATAAGAAATTAATGTCGGTTGATATTAGATGTTGTGGGGGTCAATCGGAGCGTAGTTTGCATGGGACTGCATTATAAAATGTTATATATCATTATGCACACGTAACTGCACCACTAGACTGCTTATTAAATTATATATAACCAGTTTAAAATGCGTGCGTGCGTATCGACACGCCATTAATGGCACTCCAAAATGAAAGACAAGTTGGCTTGACTTAGACCGGGGACTTGACAGCGCGGATCACTGACCTTGCACGCTGTTTCGCAGTAGGCAACGGTTGCAGCATATTTATCGGATATTTTCTGACAATATTGTTGAGCTGCATTCCTCAATTCTGCGAGTAAGAGGTTAAAATCCATAATTTACTGAGCTATGCATGTGCGCCATACGTAAACACACAGCTCAGCCTTATATGATGCCATCTAGCGACGCGGGTCAATGTCAAGGGCAGACAACTGCATTGTCTGCCATTATTGAAACCGGCTAGATTTTCTCAGGGCTCGATTTAATTGATTTCGTAAAGACGAAAAGAATAAAAGACCAATAACAAACATTTATTATATGTCGATTTAAGTCACGGGTAGTAATAGCAACGTCATCGGTAATATGTTTAATTGTCATTTAATGGATACAATTAAGTAATTCAGAAAACCATTGACACGTTGCGGGAACATGAGAACTGGTTTCTAGGACCAAGTCACATTGAACCGTGGACTCTACATAGATTGTTAACTGAAGTTTTGAAGCCAGTCGCTGTTTAGTCGATACAGACTGTCTTCATGTACCAAATGAAACTCAGTAAGCATCGTCGCCAGCTCTCGTGGTCTCTCAAAGTTTTGGCGAGAGTTTAGTCTTCAATTCCCCTCTAGAAGTACCTAACATCTGTTACCTACGTTATCACCCAGACAACGATATAAATGCGAAGAGCACAAATCACGTGGCTACTATAATTCCTATTTTAATTCTTCCAATTATTTTTGTTGTAATTTACACAGTATTATATCCTTTTAATTGAGTTTATACTAAAGGAGTTTTCAAGCAAGTCTAGGCAGGACTGCTCGTCCTCAACGTCCTGATGTGCAATTTGGCTATGTCTTTCTGTCAGAGAAATCCATCCGACCTGGGTCATTCTGTTCAAGGTGTGGGGTGACAAGTCACCCATTGATTTAAACTTCATGTTTCCTGAAGCGTTCGAATTGACGTTGTTTATGTCAACAATCGATTATCTCCCTTTAAATATTCTTTGCACAAAGAGACATATATTGTGAAGGCAGTCTCGTCACCGGTGCGTCAGATGAAACAAGAAATATTTTCTTCACTGCCAATATCTGGATCCTATCTGTTGTTTCTTATTTGTCAGCGACTAAGAGCAAGGAAAAGGTCCTCCGTTTACCTTAATACTCATTAACCTATAAAGGTTGGAAGGTTAACTAACATTTATTAGATTATCGTATCTGGAACAGATACGTTACCAAATAACAGATATACGTTGCCATAACAACAGATACCTAACAACCATGTATTTGTCAAGCAATACAAAAGTTCATTCACACAGTGGTATCTAGCCAAACTGAACTATCTATTGCCCTGGCATTATGATAATGTCATGTTTGCCCTTAAAATACGAAATCTGTGTGACTTAAAAAAATACTAGAAACGTACGTTAGAACTACCTTAACAGAAACGTGACCAACATAGTCTTTTGCCATCACCTTGAAACTTTTTTCACTTTAATAAACAAACACCCCAATATACAAGCATGGTACTGAGTATTGGATACATCAATAGTTAATGTAAATGGTTACCAAGTTTCATTAAAACATCTGTCAATTTCCCCTCTCTAGAATTAAGCTATCTGCTTCAACTTCCAAACAGAAAATGTCAAATGATGAAATTCCCGAAGACAATATAAATGTAATTTCTTAGAATTGTTTCCCACAAAGGGATATTTCTGTTATGTGTTACTCACACGAGAGCCTATTGTAATTTTAGAAGGAAATCCTGATTTAGAGAAGCAATAATATGATTGTTACATGTTCTTTCCAACTATGACAACGACATAGTATATTTATGTAAATACCCCATCACCCACATCACCTCACCCCCACCCCCTTTATTTGCTTCCTAGATAAAACCAGGATATTCTTTTGAATCATTATCACTTTCCATAACCCTAGTGCCATTTGTTACCAAAAAAATATCTATTGACATATAAAATTAATGTTTTGATTTTGTAATATATGAGATCCATGAATGATGACCAATGGGCAATGGCGCCTGTAGGTGGAGAATGAATGTACAGGAACATGATATAGCGTCTGTTAACACCCCAAGCACTTGCACATCCCTATCAACATCAACGAGTATTTAAACAGTTAACCCCTTTCTGCATATAAACCAAAGACCGACCAGTGATGACCCTCGGCCGACACGTGAAGACCAGTGATGACCCTCGGTCGACCAGCGATGACCCTCGGCCGAACAGTGATGACCCTCGGCCGAACAGCGATGACCCTCGACCGACCAGCGATGACCCGGCCTCTACCGACCAGCGATGACCCTCGGCCGACCAGTGATGACCCTCGACCGACCAGCGATGACCTCTACCGACCAGCGATGACCCTCGGCCGACCAGCGATGACACTCGGCCGACACGTGAAGACCAGTGATGACCCTCGGCCGAACAGCGATGACCCTCGGCCGAACAGTGATGACCCTCGGCCGACCAGCGATGACCCTCTACCGACCAGCGATGACCCTCGGCCGACCAGTGATGACCCTCGACCGGCCAGCGATGACCTTCTACCGACCAGCGATGACCCTCGGCCGACACGTGAAGACCAGTGATCGATGACACTCGGCCGATCAGTGATGACGAGTGATGACCCTCGGCCGACTCATGATGACCCTCGGCCGACTCATGATGACCCTCTACCGACCAGCGATGACCCTCGGCCGACACATGATGACCCTCGGCCGACCAGCGATGACCCTCGGCCCAATGACGTACGGAACCAAATTATGAAATCAGTAAATAATCACACACGATCACTGAACAAACCACTAACTGTATTGAAATACACAGGATTAGGTTCACAATCATAAAGGCAATACACTGGGGCACATACTGCCAGCAGCAGTAAAGAAAGGGCCTCTCCACAAGTCAGTGCACCCGCGAGTGTCCAGTATTTGTCCCAGTTGAGTGTTGGAAGCAGGTAGACATGTCCGATAGTTGTCCGATATGTATGTCGTCTGCTCTAGGCAAGGCAAGTAGATAGTTCAAAGGTCAAGTTGTAGATGGAAGGAATGGACTCTCCCTCGTCTCGCTCTTATGTAGGAACAGGCACCCCTCTGGACACTGCGAACTGGGAGTGTGAAGATCCGGGGTGGAATAGGTCTTCAGCAACCCAGGCTTGCCGCCGTAAAAGGCGAGCAAGCTTGTCGTAAGAGGCGACTAACGGGGTCGGATGGTCAGGCTTGCTGACTTGGTTGATACATGTCATCGTATCCCAATTGTGTGGATCGATGCTCATGATGTCAATCACTGGATTGTCCGATCCATACTCGATTATTTACAGACCTACGTCATATAGTTGGAATATTGCTGAGTGCGGCGTTAAACAACAAACAAACAAACACACAAACCTGGAAGCGTCAATAAGTATGTAGTTTGTGCTGGAAGTTGTCAAGAAGCCAGCATTTTATGAGCGCCTCATTGAACTGTCACTGACAATGAACACTACTGCGCATGTCCATATAAAGACATTCTGTCTCATTCAACTGTCATCCAAAGTCTGGCTGTCGTAAACGAAAACTCATTACTGGTTATTCCCACTGACAAGACCTCAAACTAAAATAATCATCATATGCAAGCGACTCCACATTAATTGTTTGATCAAAGAATATAAAAGAAGTGACATATCAACTAATACGAGGAAGAAATCTGCCAAAACGACATGCGAGTAATATCGACTTGACTTTAAAACTTGAATACATATCCATTCCTCCATTCGACTTGATTTCGAAGGTCAGTAAAAATCCTTAGAAAGAGAGTTAATATTTCTGGGTCGAGCAAATGTGCTACCAACTCCGTCTTACACCATAACCCTTAATATAATCACGGAAGGACTTTCGTTATATTCACAGGAAGTATTTCAGACAGGTTGACTTAATACCATGTCAAAGGATTTGCATAAATGTTTGTACACCACTATCCTACGACTATCAAACCACTATCCCACCACTATCAAACCACTGTCCCTCCACTATCAAACCACTATCCCACCACTATCAAACCAGTATCCCACCACTATCAAACCACTGTCCCACCACTATCAAACCACTGTCCCACCACTATCAAACCACTATCAAATCACTATCCCAACACTATTAAACCACTATCCCACTATTATGAAAATTTGAGTAACGTGAATCAACCGAGGTTACCATATTTCTGGCAAGCAGGGTTGACTAGAGTCAACCTGAGTCAACCAGAGTCAACCTGAGTCAACCAAGGATAACTGAGGACAGTATTTAAACTATTTACTATTCGAACGAATTATTCACATATTACAATGTTATGAAATGTATGTAGGAGAAGGTGTCACTGGTGCCTGATCCATTTGATTTTCCCCAATAAAATGTTTTTAAATCAAAATATTCGCTCTACCCCCTTAGATTTAATCATGGTCGCCAGGAGACGGAGAAAAACAACAACCATGTGCTACAACACATAACAATGAGAAGTTTCATTGTGTCTCATTTCTTGACAAAGCTCTCATTGGTTTTTTTCTATTGAATGAGTGTAAAACGACAGGAGAGTTAAAAAATAACGGGTAGAACATCAAACGACATGCAACATCCTTATCAAAGTTGCATTAGTAATTCTCAAGTATTTATATTCACAATCAAATGTTAAATATACCTGACGCATTTCCAAATTTACCAGTAACAATAAATACCTCGTTTATTATGTTCTTTAAATTTCTTCTATTCATGTCTGAATCAATAAAGGAAACTAATTTTCGTTACCGATGCCGTCACTTGGAGCTTGCTAACCGGGGATTTCAACTCGAACACAAGTAGTGAAATCGTTTAGCGTGGACATACCATGATGTGATAAAAGGTACAGCCACAACATCAAGTCTTTTGAGAAAATGGTTTTGCTTTTACAGGTCCGTAAAATAAGCAGGGCCCTGTGACCTTTGGCAAGTGGACAAAGTTGTGAACTGTGCCGTCATCAAGGAACTTATAAATCAATCCTCGTATATAGCGATAATCTACATTAGTTTTTCCAGAATTAGTGATTTAAAAATGATGTTTAACTGTTGGTTTGTTGGCATATTAATAGGTGGATCTGTGAGGATGGATTTTAAGTATCAAACCAAAGAGTGGTGTGTAAAATCCAGTGATTGACAACATGAGCATCGAT